AATTGACTGTGTGAAAGCGAACAAGGGAGCCCAAGCCTTCGACTCCTCGCAGGACACCTGCCAAAAATGTGGCAATGTGTACATGGATGACTCTATATTCTGCCGGAAGTGCGGCACGAAGCGGCAGGCCCGAACTCTCGGTGAGCAAGAGGGCTAACCCTACTTTCAAGTCCTGGCAGGCCCGCTGCGTTTGTGGCAACATATACAAGGAGGACTCGCTGTTCTGCCGGAAGTGCGGCCGCAAGCGCCCGGATGAGGTGTGGACAGATGTGGGGGTCAGCTGCACGCTTGGGGCTGCGTTTGCTTCCCGTATCTTGACGGTGCATGGTACCCTAATGATCCCGAGTGGGCCCCAAAATGCTCCTGGCCAACCTTCCTCATCCTCACCCAAGCAGCAGAGAGGGGGAGAAAGAGAGACAGAGATCACCTCGATTTCTCACATCCATGGAGCCGCCCTATTCCCAGAGGCTTGAATTGCCACATTTCGGTAATGATGCAGTTCAACAAGTTTATGTTTCTGGCACCACTACAATCCCCCAAACTAAAAGTCGAGCCATATGGATCGGTTGGGCAGAGCCTTCTTTGTCTCCAACAAGAAAGCACTTGGCGCCCGACGTATGGCTGCATAGCCCATCATTCTATCTGAGTAGTCAAATGTTAGAAGGGATTAGGAAATTCGCTTGGTGCGAAGTTTCTTGAAGCCTTCTCCAGAATTTTAGCAAACAGCGAAGGTGACTCTCTCGACATGTGGAAGATTGCTGCGAAAGGTATATGATTCCCAAGGGTAAAATCGAAAGGGTAAAATCGAAACACCTCACGCATCCGGAGAGCTATCGCCCATTCTCGTTCATAAACCCTAAACCCTAAACCCTAAACCCTAAACCCTAAACCCTAAACCCTGAACCCTGAACCCTGAACCCTGAACCCTGAACCCTGAACCCTGAACCCTAACCCCTAAACCCTAAACCCTAAATCCTAAACCCATCTTCAGAATTTTATGCAGCCATCGATGGGTCGCAAGTGCGCAACCGTCGTTCGCGCACGCCCCAATAGAAAGTGCCCTACTCAGGTTGGGCGTCCACCTTAACTTTACGGCAACCGACATTTCCATCAGTCATGGTTGTACCTTGAAAATTCGAGAGACAGCCTAGCCCTCCTTTCATCCAGGAAGTCCGATCGCACTACTTGTTTGCACGCTGATATCACAGTGCTCCTTTCCAGTACCTAGCGTTCTCACACCAGGCTTCTTTACATCATGGAGAGCGTGCCTACAAGAGACGTGCGGTACATTTTTCAGCGTGGAAAAGTGCCAGCTCTTGGCATGATGTGCGAGCTGCTTGTGCACTTTCAGTCAGTGTTAGCCCTTCTATTTTACCGCTCTGGGTCCCACATTTGCTGACCAGGAAACCTCACTAAACTGAGCAGGCTACGCTACAAGGTCTTCCATCAAGTAGCTTACCTCAAGTCATCCTTCCACCACAGTTTCATGTGCCCTTCCAAGCAGGCTTGCTTCGTTGAATGCATCGTGGTTTTTTCCCCCAAACAGTGTGTCAATACTAAGGGGTTCCGACGTGCAGGGTAAGAGGGGCCGGGTCGATGCGCTCGGGTGCTTGCTCGCATTTTGGTCGGAGATCGCGCTTTTGCCTAGGCTTTTGGATGTTTGGATTCGCATCGCTTTTGGATGTGGGCTTGCGTTGTGAACTGTCATCACTTTTTGACTTCTGGGCTCACATGACCTTTCACTGTTTGGGGTCTAAGTTGGGATAGATGAGATGATGAGCACACCCCCGAACATGGCCAGAACTTCATAGTCACACAGGTATTCGATCACCCGGCAGGAGAACTCCATCGACTTCGTGTTGAAGTGGAAAGAAAGAAAGAAAGATAGAGAGAGAGGGAGCGAGAAAGAAAGAAAGAGAGACAGGAGACAGAGAGTGAGCGAGAGAGCGAAAGAAATAGAGCGAGCAACGAGAAGGAGTTTCGTTGTTCGATGGGCAACCCAAGGAAGACCGGGTTGGTTCAATGGTGTGGAGAAGTTTCACCAACTGACTCGGGCACGTCTTTGGGCAACCCCCTTGGGTGCGCAGGAGAAGGAAGAGAGAGAGAGAGAGAGAGAGCGAGAGAGAGTTGATCACGGTTCTGGTCATAGCATTTCACCCAAGAGTCGGACCATGTGTGGACTGGGCGCGCCTGTGCGCGCGGGGGGTCTTTGGGCCCTCATGCCCTGCAGAAGAAGAGACAGGAAGAGAGAGAGGGAGCGAGGGAGAGGGGAGCGATTTTGCCTCCCATGCTCATCAGAAGAAGCAAACAAAGAAGGCCTTGGGGCCCAGCAGAAGAAGAGGAGATGGGAAGAGAGAAAGAAAACGAACAAGTAGAGTTTTGGGTCTGTTTCCTGAGGCTTAAAGCTTGCAAGGTCTTGGGATTGGGGGACCCGGGCCTAGAATCTGGGATCCATAAGGTGGTTGTCAAAACTAAACTTTCAAACACGAAGCAGGCATTCGAGGCCATGCCCTGCCGGAGTTGTCGATACTGCCCTCACTGGTCGCCCCATTCGTGCACTTGTTTAGTGACCACTCGCAACTTTAGCACACCGATGCTGGGCGAGACTTTGTTAGTGCAATTGGTTATGAAGCGGCTGTCCCCACACTCTCATCTTGAAGGCGGGTGCGACCACGAGCGAAGCAACTGGACCAGCAGCAGCCGGGCCAATATCAGTGATTTTTTCCCGTTGGTGTTGGTCTGACTTTGGGGCTGCTTCTTGGCCACCTTTTCCTTGTCTTTTTTCCACACGTAGTTCTTGCGTGCTCTTGGCTTGGGGCCAAACCGCCATTGACGTCCTTAGGGAGAGACAGCAATAAAGCAAAGCCATCAGCATCAAGGACACAAAGACATGTGCATCAGCGACCATGAGCAAAATGTAACATAGGCACCAAGCTGTGTTGAACATTTCTGGTCTGTTGTTTGTGCTTCAACAATCACGCCGCTTGGAGGGAAGTCATGAGATGTGCAGAGAAATTCGAATCAGCACTCGTAGGCCTGTTTCTTCAAGGACTTACAGACATCAGCGACTGAGGTCCTTGATTTGCTTCTGGAACGCTAAATCCTTTCATAGATTTTGAAAGTATGGCAAGTTTAAGTCTTCAAGAGTGCGGGACTGGGGCTTAGGACATCAAGGTGTAAGGCTGTTGCAAGACGGCACTTTTGTAGTACAACTGGCAAAGGCCGTGTGTCTGTCCCAAGCTCCCTCATCTTGAAGGCGGGGTCAGCCACCAGCGAAGCAGCTGGGCCAGCCGCAGCCGGGCCAACACTAACACATGCTTCTTCAGTTGGGGGCTCGTTTGAACCTGTGGGTGTTCGGGCTGCTTCTTGAATTTCCACAAGACACAGCGAAGTCACAAGTTTGAGCAAGCAGTTTTGAGAATTTCCGTCGTACGACGTGCTTCAACAAGTACTTGGCTCAGAGTGACGGTAGACCAACAACGCTGTACAACACTGGCTGCAAGACAGTACCCATTCATGAATCAGTGCCCGTAGGTCTGGTGCTTCACGGACTGAAAGATACCAGTGAGTGAGGTCCTAGGCTTGCTTCCTGAACCCTAAGCCCCTTTTGTGATTTGGGGGTTTAATGTCTTTGGCTTGCGGGAGTCGGCTGCAGGAACCGAAGGTGCGAAACCCTAGACCCGAAACCGTGCCTTGTCGAACTGGGGGTGCCAATGACTACAGCAGCCCTGACTCATCGCCCCTACTTGCTTTTGTTCGTTGATCTTCTTGCGGCCTTAGCAAGCACGGTGATGCGGGCTGAGGCTTTGATAGGATGATTGGTTGAGCAAACGTTTGTTCCGAGCTCTCTCATCTTGAAGGCGGGAGCGGGCGCAAGCGAAGCAGCTGGACCAGCCGCAGCCGGGCCAACATTAAAGCTACTATTTTGAGTGAGATGGCGAGGGAGGGCAGGGCCCAGAACCGAAGGCAGAAAACAGAGGGAAAGAAAGGTATAATTCAAGGAATACAGACATCAAGAAGGAAGAACAAAGATGGATAACTACATGCAGAAAGAAAAAAGAAGCAAAAGACAAGGTAAGCAGGAAATGCATAGCAGTACCGAAGTTTTTTCAAAGCCATACGATTCATATGAATCCATTCCGCATTGTGTTTGCAAATGGAGGGGTCCGCGCACAAGCCCCCCACCCAACCCCTTCGCTCTTCGAGAGCCATATGAGTCCAAAGCCATCATGTAGATGCTGCGTCGCCCCCCTCGCCCAACCCCCGCCGCTCTTTCAATTCGTAAAGAATATCGCGCTGTTAGTGAGAGCACTTGGAGCTACACGAAGAAACAGGAACACTATCATTCACAGCATTAGGAGTCTATGAGATGTCATAGAACTTTTTAACCCATCATGCAAGCGTTGTGACCCTCCTGTTCTTATTCAGCAGCACAGGCTTGCTTCAAAGCATGTCGCGCCATCAGTAGAAATTCCCTCAGAACCATATGAACCCTTTCCCAACCCATCATGGAATCATGCAAGCACTGTGTTTGCAAGGGGGGGGGGGGGCGCTGCGCCCCAATAGCTTCCCAAATGCTATACTTCACAAGCAAAAAACAGCTGCAATCTGCAGCATCTGGAACGGATCTTTGTGGTGCTTTACTGTAACTTTACATCTTTAGCCTTTTTGGGTTCATTGGGTTTCTTAATAAGGCAGCTAAAAGTTTAATTTTTTACTAGCCTCCTAAGTGCAGCCAAGGGATAAGCGATCAACAAATGCTGTAGTTGAGATCATCTGGAGCCGATGACAAAAGAGTTCATGCGATGTGCCGAAAAGACAGTACCAATGAATGAATCATCGCGCGTGGGTCTGTTGTCTCCGCGAGAGGGATCCTGTATTGTTTCTTGAAGCTTAAGCCCCTTAGGGGGTTTAAGGGTTTAAAGGTGTCAATGTCAGGATATGGGTTTAGGACATCGAGCTGCCACAAGGCGGGTTGTCAACGCTTCATTTAGAAAAGCATGAAGGGACAAGACGTTGTGTGTACAATTGGCAAAAGCATCCTTTGTCCCAAGCTCCCTCATCTTGAAGGCGGGTGCAGCCACAAGCGGAGCAACCGGACCCGCCGCAACCTGGCCAACACTAAACATGCTTCTGCAGTTGGGGGCTCGTTTGAACTCTTGGGTGTTCGGGCTGCCTCATGGCTCACCTCTTTTTGCCATGCACAATTTGTTCGTTAACAAAGCGACGCAAAACCGCAACTGCTGTCCCCAAACAAACACAGCAAAGACATCGACATCAAACACATGTGCATAAGAGCCCAAGGGCACGGGTGCGAAGCAACAGTTGTGCATGGTAGCAGATCAGGACCGAAGTAGTACATCAGATTTCAGCGAGTGCGGGAAGAAGCCTACGCAAACCCCCAAGGGTTTAGGCGTTGAAGATTTGGGGTTTTCGGGACTCGGATATTGGGCATGGGTTTAGGACATCAAGGTCGAATCAAGGTGCCGCAAGGCGGGTTCTGAACGCTTCATCTGAAACGTCCGAACCGACAAGACGTTGTTAATCTGTACAGTTGGTAGAGGCCTTTGTCCCGAGCTCCCTCATCTTTGAAGGCGGGCGCAGCCACAAGCGGAGCAGCCGGGCCCGCCGCAACTGGGCCCGCCGCAGCCGGGCCAACCGCAAGCGGAGCAACTCCAAGTTCTGGGCGCGTGATGACCCCTGAGGACCACCTCATCCTACCTTAAGCCTTAAACCCTAAGCCCCTAAAGGCTTAGAGCTGGATGGTAGCTTGGAGAGAACCGACACTAAGGTCATGAGGGGTCGATGATCAGTGCCATCAAGTTTATCATCGCCCTTTTTGTTGACTGCAACTTTAATGTTGCTGCATAGCCAGGGAGATTCAACACCCAACCCTGAACCTGCTGACCGTATACCTTGGCCAGACAGAAAACTCGAAATCTGAGACGGATTCTCTAAGAATTACCCTGAGCACAGAAAAAGCCGCTTGATCGCCGTAACCCAAAATTACGCACCCAACCTTGATTGCACGAAACCTTCATCGCATTCCCTGTCCCTAAACCAGAATGGCAGGAAAAGTCAAAGCAGGAAGTAGACGAAGCCAAAAAAGCTGCAGAAGCAAAGGCATGTTGTCTTTTCCGGCTCAGTTGTGCAAGGTGACTCACTTGTCTCGTTTAGACCACGAGAGTATATTTCATGTCCGGGGTCTTAGGGGGCAATGATCTTCAGGCCCTGGCAGAGAAGCAAGCTGCAGAGGCAGGGGTTCGCCAGAAAGCGGTGCAGTCTCAGTTTCGACGTGTCGAAACGAAGCGTTGCGCTGGTGCGGATCTCTGCGTGTGTGAGCTGTGGGAGTTGTGAGAACTGCAGGCCAAGGCCCAAAAAGCGGCTGAAGAAGCAAGAGCTGCCGAGGAAGCAAAGGCTTTTGACACTCCGGATTTTCGTAAAAATGACTGCTTCCATGTCTCACGTGTGTCTTGCAGGCGGATGAGGACAGACGCAAAGCCGAAGCAGCAGCTGCAGAAGCAGCTGCTTTAGATCCTGCCGAGAAAAAGAGAAGAGTCTGGACCTTACATCTTGTCGAGGTCTGTTGCCAGTAAGCAAGTGCACGCGGCTCAGGAAAAAGAAGCAGCAGAGCGCAAAAGGAAGCAGGACAAAAAGAAGAAGCTGAAGGACAAGAAGAAGGCGCCTGACCAGCACATGATTGGGAATCAGCCTTTTCGCAAAACGCAAAATTGTGCGGCAGGCAGCGAAAGCGGAGGAGCTGAAAGCCTCAGGTCTACCGACCAAGGGCAAGGGAGGAAAAGGCAGCCCCCCCGCATTGTTGCAACAGCAATGCACTGCAAGGTGAGATTTTCTTCTGGGTCATGTTGGGATGCTCCGATTGAAGGCGCTCAGGGAGGTGCCAAGGGAGGTGCGAAGGGCAAAGCCGCTTGTCTGCATGACTTTCAGGGGCTCGATGCCTTGGCAAATGAAGTCGCTGCTTTCATTGAAGCGGCACGTCTAGGCTGGTGCGCCTGGACGCACTCCTGGCACTGCAAGCAAAAAGGATGAGGATGACATGGAGGTGGGCCTTTCATGGTCTTTCTACCAGCGTACGAGGTCAGCAGTCTGTTGACTGACGGGGTTGGGTCCTGCATCGATGCGACTCCCTGTCCAGGTCGATTACGCGGGGGCCTGAAGCATCTGCTTTCTGACAAGATGATGCAACACATGAGGATGTGGGCACAAGTACTGCGCAGGTGATACCTGAAGTTCTCGCTGGAAATGACCAGCCCGAAGACGAAACCTTTGCGGCGATCATGGAAAGGTTCAAGTATGTCGAGCCAGAGAACAAGGCCTCATGCATCTGGCTTATGATTCCTTATGATGTTCCTTTCAGGCGCTCGCAATCAAGGATCAAGCTTACCACACAGAACTAGAGCATTCGCTCACCACGAAGAACCTCACCCCAAAGTGGTTGACTCTTTCAGAATCTCAAACCCTAAACCCTAAACCCTAAACCCTAGACCCTAAACCCTAAACCCTAAACCCTAAACCCTAAACCCTAAACCCTAAACCCTGAACCCTGAACCCTGAACCCTAAACAACACGCAGGAGGAGCCGGATGAGGACGAAGAGAAGCCAAAGAGGCGGGCCAAGCCGAAGGCATCTCTTTTGGAGGAAGCCGAGGACCGCCACACGCGGTTTAGGGTTTAGGGTATAGGGCTTGGGGTTTAGGGTTTAGGGTTTAGGGGTTAGGGTTGAGGGTTTAGGGTTTAGGGCTAGATTCTACGTGCGTTCGGGTTCGTTATGTTCCTGCCATGGCCTCAATCGGCTTCAGATGCGTACGTTCCCAAGAGCTTCGCGGCAAGGACAGTGAAGATGAGGATCAAGATGGTGGCAAGATTTCCAAGAAGAAGCGACGAGCGCCGCCGGCTGTTTTGATGACTCGGATGGTTGAGGTGTCCTTGAGGGTGTCCTTGCAGATCACCAGCAGATCACCAGGTTCAGAACCGAATGTCTGTCGCGGAGCTGAAGACCCTGGTCAAGAGACCGGACGTGGTCGAAGTTTGGGTTCGCGCCTCGACTCCTCGCATGGCTCACAGACACCGAAAAGGTTGCGGGGGGGCCCTTTTTGAGGACACGACGGCATCGGATCCTCGACTCCTGGTGTACCTGAAGGCTCGAGAATGCTCGAGAGCTTGGATTCCAAACGAGCTCGGGGCAGCAGCTCTTGGATCAGGCGTACCGCAACACCGTCCCGGTTCCCAGGCATTGGAGCAGCCTTGAACTCGGCTTCCAACCCGCTGTCCCGTGCAAGCTTGGAGTTGGTTAGCAGCACGTTTCGCTTGAGCCATAGTAGTGGAGGGGCTATGTGTGTTGCTAAGGCAAACGAAAGTACATGGCTGGAAAGCGTGGCGTCGAGAAGTCTGCACCTCTGCTCTGCGGACTTCGGCTGGCTTCCGCACTGCCCCCCCGCCCCCCCTTGTTACTCGGAATATCTGCAAAGGCCCCCCTTCCGACTGCCGGAGTTTATCGAAGCCACCGGCATTGCCAAAATCCGGCAGGTCCATGGCTCAAACAGCTTGATGGTGTTTGTAAACCCATTGTAAACCCATTGTAAACCTATGTAAGCTCGTCATGCTGGCTCGTCCTCCTGCACCTTGATCAGGCCATCATGGAGAAGCAGGCCTTTCCAACAATCTTCTGGCAGTTGCGCTTGCGCATGTTTCAATTACAAAGCTCGGGCAGGCAGACATGTCGTTCAAGCAGAAAAGTCGAGAACGTGTCCATCCGAAGATGGGCAAGTTGGACATTGACTATCAGGCGATTTGAAAAATGTGCAAATGCACGTCATACTTCATGTCGTGCTTCGTTGTGAGTATGACAATGAGAAGGTTCTGCACGATGCCTTCTTCAAGTTTGCATCCAAGCCGAAGCTGTCGACACTTGCCCAGATTGTTCGGACCAATGACTGATGACCAGAGAGCTGGAGTCGCGCTGCAGTCAAGCTTTGGCAGTCAGGAAGCACAATGACATGTACTACGAGGGCAAGGTGTGTTGATGCTGATGGTCAATGCTGTGACGTCCTGGTTCAACTGTGTGCCTGGGCAGGAGTACGAGACCAAGATGTTGACGAAGAGGCCCGGACTCAGGGTTCAGCTCCACCAAAGTCCGCGGATGAGATGGGCCACTCTCCACTCCGGGCTCATAAGTTTGAATCATTTTCATCCTTTCTTGCACGTAGAGGTCGTCTGTGGTGAGTCTCGTCTGGTGCTTCTATCATCTTCCCTGTAAGTATCCTCCATATCTATTTCAGACTGAGGAGCTCCATGGATGTTGCCTGTTTCGTGAGTGCATGTGAAACGGAAAGTGTGCTGCGACGTTCTCATCTTCCGCCAGGCCCGGCCATCTGAGCGCTGCCCTGAAAGAGGCCAGTTGCACCCACATCGCAGATGTTGTGCGTTTTCGTTGAGTTGGCTCAGTTGGGTGAGGCACTTGGGATCCACGAGGGGAGCCCACCGCTGGATCCCTTATGCCTCGGGGGCTCTTGAAGGGATGCATTATGAGCATTCTGCTCGTCTCAGTACCCACGAGGCCTTGGCTTTTCAACATGCAGCGTCGAGATCTCGAAGTGTTTGATAGTGTTTGGATGATCCCGCTTGCCGCTTGCCGACTGGCACCACAAGCACTAAGCAACCGCAGCTGCTTATCTGTTCAAACAAAAAATGCGAGAATAATGCGAGAAAATTATGAGTGAGCAAGAGAAGGCTCAGGCTGCACTGGATGCTTTGGTAGAGCTTCAAGATGACGTGTCCGGGCGTTGCGACAGTTTTATTTGACATCTTTGTGATGGTCTTAGCGGTGTGCCACGGAGTTGTGTGTTTTGCTTTTTCTTTAAGCTACTAGTAGGAGATTTCTGCAAGTGGTGCAGTTCGGTGGAACCGCGAGGGTCTAAGTCGCCGAGGCATCTCTGATACAAGTGATCATTGAGATCCTCAAGCACAGACCGCAAGTGTGCCCTGCAGTGGTTGCGGCGTCCTGCCCTGATCTCACCTATGCTCCGGCCAAGGCTCGCGCCTCCTCCCACTCCACACATTGTGTAGGGTGTACATGAGCAGGAGTTGCTCTTGTTGCTCACTTGCCCAGGCCATTACGGAACGCAGAGCGAAAGGTGTGATTAAGGCAATCAATGCGCATGGTGGATATGGATTTATTTCGTGCCCGGACATTTCGTAGCTCGCCTTTTTTTGGAAAATTTCGGAGCACAGGTGTAGCAGAACCCGATGTGCCCCGATGTTGTCCCACTGTCCACCTAAGGCAAGTCTTTGGATGTGACGTGTTTGCGCATGCCAAGCAAATCGGCGGCTTCACTCCGGGCACAGAAGTTAGTTTTGCAATTCTTCTGAACAAGGACAGCAAGCCACAAGCGTTTGACATCGAAGAACTGTCGCCATCTCCCAACAGCATGGGCAAAGGCAAAGGAGCAATGATGGTCAAGTGCTCAGTCGCTGAGGATCTCTCAGTGCACTCAGAGGGCAGCGAAGAGAGCACATGGCATGACCTAGGCTCCTAGAAGGTCTTAGAAGGTCCTAGAGTGCCTCTACCACAAGTATCCATACGCATATAGTTTCTGAGGCAGCAGTAGCAGGCGTAGTAAAAAGCCAATATGCCCACTTGACATCCCCTCTGTTGCGTCAAAGCAATCTAGCACCGAAGTCTTCCCAAGCCAGCGCCCCGGCCAAAACTGATGGTTGGAGAAGCTTTGCCATTTTGAGGCCATGATGGGTGGCTACGAGCAAATGAGCCCAATGCCGAAAGGCCCGCCGAAGGGAATGGTGAAAGGCATGGGTGGCCAAGCCTTTGGCGATCTTGGACATTTCGTGGGAACCATCAAGAACTACAACGCAGAGAAAGGCGGGGCTGCGGGGCTTCGAAAGCCATTGCATGCCGAGAGTAGGGCTCGGTTGCGGCTGCAAGATGCTGCATGTGCCAGTTGGCAGGATTTGGCTTTATGGATATTCCCGCTCTGGCTGGAAGAGTCGAGGGTGATGTGTTCCTGCACTCCAGCAATCTCGGTCCCTTTGGGCCAGGATCAGTTGTAAGATGTACAGTGTACTTGCACAATGGCAGGGCTCAGGCCAAGAATCTGGAAGAAGCCAGCCCCGCTGAGTTGGCTGTCGCTGATGGTAGTGGAATGGATGGAGGCAAGGGGATGGGTGGACAAAGTGGAGGTGGACTGGTGCCTACTGGGGGTGCTGGGCCTGGCATGCCTGGCCACATTCCAGATCAGGAGCTGGGGCAGTACGTGGGAACGGAGCCTCTTCCATGTTTCCCACTTCTCAGCTAGTCTAGGAGTCCATTAGGAGGCGAATGTGGGATGTGTGTTCCTACGTCCAGCGCATCCATCAAAGCCCCCTGCCATTTGAGGTCAAGGCCTTCAACCCCGCAAGAGGCTTTGGCTTCATCACTTGCGACAGCTTGGCCCAGCAGGGCTATGGGGATGTCTTTGTTCACCAGAAGCACATTGGGGAGTACCAGGCCACCCTAGTGCCATGCAAGATAAGCTGATCGGCGCTCATGCAGGAGGAGTTGGACATGTGGTGTAGTAGGGTATGCAGTGCAGTATGGTACGGTGAGCCACGTGCTTTGTGAAAGAGGGCCAAAGTAGGCAGGGGCAACATGTCGAGCGTGGCAGGTAGGTGATCATGTCGCTTTCAGCGCTTTCGTGCACAAGGGCGCCTTGGCAGCAGATTTTGGACTCCTACGGTAGAGACAGTGTTTTTGGGTACCGAGTTGGCAGCCGCAAAGTAGTGCTGTCCATGGACCGAGGTTCACACCTGCAGGCCAAGGCCAGGTGGAGTCCTCTGAGTGGGAGTGTTCGGACGGTTGGGGGCGGGCCTTCTTTCTCTCTCCCGCTCTCTCAGCACGTTCATCTTGGTCATTGACAGAGTTGTCAGAGCCGCTGTTTCCTCTAGGCATTTTGTGCATCCCTTGCAGGATCTGTCGCCTGTGTCGGAGCCGGGCATGGCCTCTGCGATGCCTGGAATGCCCGCCATGAAGATGCCGAGGTTCTTTTGATGGGCCCAGTCAGATGCACACCGGCGCGGCCATCTCGGCTGATCCGAGATCGTGCCAGATCGCGCCAGGGCTCTGACATGTATCTAGGTTCGCCAGAGGCTTGCTGCCAGCCTGATCGTGCCATCTGAACCGCTGGGAAAGGCAGTTTGCAGGCTAGCCTCTTGTAGTACAACCTCACTGTTGCCTGAGAAACGCTCGAAGAGTGTCTCTTGAACGAAGTATGGTGACAAGCGCCAGAGTTCGCTGAGGTGTATATATGATATGTATATTGACGTTAATGCTAACCGATAGACTCGACACGAACACCTTGATGTCGCAGGAGTTAAAATTTCTCAAGTTTTTGGAGGGCAGCTTGTGCAGACGATCTTTCGAAAGGCTCCCATCAAGCAACCTGTCAGCACACAAGGCTATGGGCCGCCTCCGGCATACCCCAACCTGAAAATTCCGGGGCTGAATGCACCAATTCCGCAGGCGGGTCTCTGCCAGTGACTTTGCGCCTGAGTGTTCTCGCTTCTTGCAGGGTGCAGAGTATGGATATCACCCTGGCGGATGGGGGAAGCCGCCTGTGGATGAGCATGTGCCCAAGAACCGAGCTGTGAGCCACAGCAGGGGATGTTTGCTGCAGCTGCTGGTTTGTCAAAGCGTGTGTATTGGCCATGGCATGTGTAGATGTATATGGGCATGGACAGGTTCGGCAACCCGTTGTATGGTGACTGGAAGGACCAGGCCCTGTGCACAGAACATGGGACGATCCTTCCCCGCTGCCCTGCTCACCGCTGGTGACAGTTCCAGAGCCAGGCACCTGCGCCATCCGGTCCGGAGGCCATGGGACATCAGCTCCACCGAGACTGCGCGAAGAGTAGCCTGAGACCTGAGATGCCCAAACTGTCAGGATGCGACCCTCTGGGGTGAGGTGGATGATTTTGAAGAGGAGGACTGCAACACCTCTCGTTGGAATAAGGCTTAAGACCGTCCAAAAGCCCGTTCATTTCACGTAGGAGGAGGACGAAGAGGTCGAAGAGCAGAGGCACAATTCATGTACAATTCGTGTGCTGCCCTGTTCTGCTCTGCCCTGTCAGGGGAGATGGCACTGCCACCCCAATGCTCGGCACCGCCACTCCGCTGGTGGGCTCTGGCTCTGCAACTCCTGTGGTGCCAGAATCCCAAGCATGCTCTGAGAAACAGATGCAAGCGATGGACGTACACGTTGCTTCAGGTCACATGGGGTGCACAGCATAAGTGGCGTGTCCTCGATCACCAGCGGCATGGACACGCCGTGTTCTCATCGAGGGCTCTTGGGGCTTTCTCTGACTTTCTCCTGCGCGCCACTGCAAGCCGTGGCTCCAGGCCTGGGACGGGCACGCGAAGCAAGAAGGGCGGAATCGCCTCAGCACGGGCCTGAGTCCGCTCAGTCTCCAGAGTGCGCCCTCTCTTCTGCGAAGGTCCACACACATCCATACAATGCACAAGCGATTGCCAGCCATCACGTGTGGTACAAGAGCATCACTCATCCTAAGCAGCAGTTGGGAAAAACAGAATGGGGTGTCGCTTTGTTTGGAATCTTGGAGATTCACGACATGCACCCCTATGAGCTTCTGTGAAATGCCTGAGGTGAGTGGCATTAGCTCGGCCTCCTTGACTCCAACTCCGCAGCTCTTCCAGGCCCTTCAAAGTTCAAACTTGAGATGCGAAAGGTGCGAAAGGCACAGGGAGGTGGGGTTTCTTGATGTTTCTTGCAAGTGAATTGCTCGGGTTCTTTTCAGGTCCTCGAGGAGCAGAAGTCGAGATCCGCGAAGAAGGGCGTACCTTTCTCATCAGCATTTATCATCATGGCCTGTGCTTTCGTGGTGACGATCCTACTGGAAGATGGTCAGCTGCATGCCGTCAGGTCTACCCTACCTCGCACACTTACAAAGTTGGCAGCAGGATTGGGATTCAGCAAGCCAAACAAGATTCACCTTGTTTTACGTTGAGTTGGTGTGAGGAGTGGAGGTGGCTCCTCGACGCCAGTTGGAGGTGTGGGCAGCTCCGGTACAGGCACTCCGCATCTCGGCAAAACAGCGGGCGGGTGGGATCATCACGGGTGAACATGCTGAGCGTGCCATGGATGCTCCTTACCAAGGGTGGCTGGCATTGGCACTCCGATCGGTGGCATTGGTGCCCTTCAGAGAAGTACACGTGTCTTCACAAAACAAGAGCGACTCTGGTGTACGAGTATGGTGTTGCGTTGTGCGCCGCGATGGCGGGCAACTGGTCGGGGTCAGGTACCCCCATTGCAGGCATCGGCACCCCGCACGGAATTTCCACGCGCGGGGCCCACGTGATCGTGTCAGGTCTGGCAGGGTCTAGCCTCTGCAAGGTCATTGTTTAATGGGTTGCTCAAGCTTTGTCACGTGCTACTTGAGGCCCCATGGCATTGGCACCGGAATGGGCACCAGGACGGAGTGCTGGTTGAGAGCAGTCCTGTGAGTTCTCGCGGCATGAAGCCTCCCATCGTTCACCAGGACACCTCAGGGAATATCAACTCCACTGGGCATGGGTTCTGCAGGCGCCACACCTCAGTGATTTTCCTGTGCGCTCCGTAAAAACTCCTATGTGTCTTGGTGCCAGGCCACGGAACTGGGACCGGAACGGGAACTCCCGGCATGGGCACACCTGGTGCCGGGACTCCCATTGGCGGGATTGGCACGCCCGTCGGGGGTGGTGTTCACACGCCGCAAGCTGAGATTGCGTGCTTACATCGTGCTTGCTGATGCTTGCTGGTGCTGGCTCATGCTTGTCTTGTCCTTGTGGTTGTCTGGGAGCCGCTTCGCCACAGAAACTCACACGGACCCTCAAGGCGCAGTACCGGTACCACTAGTACCTATCATAAGCTATCGCGACACTTCTACAGAACAGCGAGCTTAAGGTTCTTGGCCAGGCCAGAAGCCTTCACTGTAGCGTTGTAGGCCCTCTGGGATTGAAGGGTTTTTTGTCAAGACAAAACAGCCGCTTCACCGTAAACCTTCGATTATGGCGGACCTTTGAAACAAGCCTCAGGAACTGCAGCCAAGACAAATAGCCGCTTCCCCGTAAACCTTGGATTCTGGCGGACCTTTAAAACAAACCTCAGAAGATGCAGCCAAGACAAATAGTCGCTTCCCCGTAAACCTTCGATTATGGCGGACCGTTTGAACAAACCTCAGGAAATGCAGCCAAGACAAATAGCCGCTTCCCCGTAAACCTTCGATTGTCACGGACTATCGCGGGCCTTTTAAACAAACCTCAGGAACTGCAGCCAAGACAAACAGCTGCTTCCTCGTAAACCTTCGATTCTGGCGGAGCTTTTTAACAAACCTCAGGAAATGCAGCAGTTTTTCAAACATCAGGAAATGCAGGGGGACGCATTGCCACAGCAAAAAGGGGCGTCCATGCAAGGCCGGTTGGTGGAATTGCGACCCCAGTCGGTCGGCGCCTAAGTACCACTGCCAGTGTGGTTTTCTACCCAAGTTGAGACTTGCTCTTTCTTCGCCTACGCATTGCATATGCTTGCAAAAGGTGGTATTGCAACGCCAGTAGGTGGCATCGCCACTCCAGTGGGTGGCATTGTTGCTGAGCTGCATTGCACGTTGAATTGTCCATACCTTTGATTGATGGCTTTCACACGCATGTGTTGGGCTGGCATACTATGGCATGAGGCTACACCAGTTGGTGGGATAGCAACGCCAGTCGGCCAGCACACACCTGCGGGAATTGTGGGCATCCCAGTGACTCAACGGTGGGACAGTAATACACGGCACGTCTCGTTTCTTGTATGATTGTGCGATGTTTGCTCATGGAGCGGCGTCGCGTGTCAAAGGCCACCCCCGCGGGCGGTGTCTCCACCCCCACCGGCATTCCGGGGGGCATGGTCTGGCTCATAGTTGCCAAGCCTAGTCGGAAACTTGCAGAAGGATGCCAAGATGACCCGAACGGAGGCGCCGACACCAGTTGGCGGAGCAGACACTCCTGGCCCCGTGACCATGAATCTCAATCCAGAGCAGGCCAGCATGTAGCGCATGCAGCATGAGATCGATCACTGTAGCCCTTTGAATCGGAGAGAGCAACAGACTCCAGAGCAGGTCGAGACAGAAGGCATTCTCACGGCAGACATCATTCGCGGCTGCCTCGATAAAAAGCATCGCAGCAAACTGATTGCTTCAAAAAAAGAGTCACAATAAGCAAGTGCAGGTCAGCAGCTCAAGCAGCACGAGGAGGCCGCCGCCAAGGCCAAGCTGGCAGCCGGCCAGAAGGAGGCCCGAGAGACCACCAAGGGATGAATAACAGAACTCACACTGCGGAGAACGCGCAAGCCCGAGGTGGAGTCTCAGAAGAAGACGGTGGCTGCGAAGCCGACCAAGAAGCGCAAGGCACCTTCAGTACCTTTCATCAACATAGGGCAATACGTAGAGGTGGCGAGAAGAGTGGCAATACAAGTTGCTATCAAACTTGCACCTTCGAGATCCCAGTTTGTCCATAGTTTTAGCGAAGTGTTTTTGCCATAGTTTCGAGCTTTGTTTCAAGCCATCAATACATAGCACGGTTCAATCTCCAAAGACAATTTCCGCTGGGGAAATACTCCGACGGTGGTTTAACCAAACACCTCTTCACCTTCGCCGATAGTAGTGCGGAGAAATGCCGTAGAAATGTCAGCCAAGTTGATTCACCAACTTCGCACTGTTGCTTTCGTCCCTAGCCCATAGAATCCATACAGTCCGACGCGAATGAAGCTGTCGGCACATGTTTGCACTTCAGGAGAAGACGAAGTTCAAGTTCTGAGCAGCTTCATGTCATTGCCATTCTTGGATGGTGGCTCTTGCAATTGTATGCTCATTCCAGGTAGCAGATGCGATGCAGATAAGAAAGCTTGCTTTTCGGGCAGACTGCAATGATAGGTTGGAGCAGACCGACAAGCTTTGGAGGCTAACCTAGAGCCTCCATCGAGCCGCAAGCGACCTCGCCGCGTTCTGCAGAGAACAAACTCCACACTCCGGCAGCTTTGTGCACCCAAAGTCTTGCGCACCGCAAAAGCACGGCAGACAGAGACTTTTCTCGTGGCAGCTTTCCCTGACTTGCTCGCAAAGAAATGCAGTTGGGAGACTTGGACAAGTGGTACATCAAGCACACTACCTTACATCTCTCCACTGTTAGAGTACGATTGTGCGTTCTACATTCGTTGGAGCTTAGTCGTGGAAGAGGGCAAGACACGAAGGATCCTTGGTTCACTTTTCATGTCTGATTAATGGCCGATGGTGGGACGGATTCGGTGAATGATCCATCGCTACTTGCTGTTATTCAAGGCTGTGCCTTTTTGGCTGCAGATTGCAGATGATGGATGCAAACCTGCCAAGGCAGTTTCGACTCAAAAGCCGAAGATCTTACCATGGAGTAGACGCTCGACATGAGACGTGTGACTCAGTGTGCATGCAGCTTGTGTTGACAGTCGTACGATGTAGCAGCCCTACGAGGACAGAGAAACAGTGTCGAAGGAGGCCTTCCTGGAACAAGACAAGGCTTCTTTTCTGAGATGTGCTTGTTCTGCTGGTCTGCTTCTTGTGCCTTGTTGAGCTTCCGAGAATTTGCTCTACGCGAAGGATGAGAATTTTGCAAATCTCTATGACGAAGTGTCTGAGCAGAATCTGCGCCGTGTGTGGAGCAGCCTGAAGCTCGTTGGCAAGAAGCCTCGAGTGGGATTGCAATGCAGTCAGTGACAGGTAGCAAGTGTTCTTGCAGGAGTGGTCTTTGGCTCGTGGCCTCCTTAGTTTCACATGAGACTCTTAGGCTGCGCAGGTTGTATTCAAGGTTATCAGGAGTCTTCCCAGGGGTGGCATGGATAGGTTTGTCCAAGGCGCACAGCAGCTTCGCGGCAGCCACCGAGGAGCCTTTCCACGTCCGAGATGTGTCGCTCCTCCCCAGGTGTCGTGTTGCAAGTTGCAAAAGTTGGCAGACGCATTCTCAAGGGAAGCAAAAGCATCAAAGGCAGATTCTCATGTCGTGGACCCCAAGGTCGAAAGAATCCGGGGAGAGCGTGCTGGTGACTTGGTGTCCTCTGGGCATTTAGGACCCTGGATTTTGCACTAGCAGTCCGAGCGCTGTATAGCACTGGTAGGAGACTCTTCTGCTTGAATGAAGTGTCCCACAGCCGAGGCGAGACACAGGATCGCAGTGCAGTGTTGCAAGGGGTGCAAGTACCCTGATGATTGCAGCCCAGGGCAGGATAACTTTAGCTGCTCCCGGCTGCCCGGGGGCTTTCGCCTGCACTGCGTGGCGGATGGCCATGGCGAGGAGGGAAATTGGGTTTCCGAGCGAGTCGTCCGGGCACTGCCCTACTTCTTGAGCTCACGAGATTGTCGGCAGATGCTCCGCGAGGGTGAGGTGGAAAGTGCCTTCTCGTCGGCGTTTGATCGACTTCAGGAGGATGTTGTGTCTGCATCGCGGGAAGCTGGAATAAATATTCAGCTTTCCGGGAGCACTGCAGCATGCATCCTGCGCCAAATTCATAGCCCCGTCGTCTGGGTTGCGTCCACAGGTGACTCTCGAGTCATTCATGTGAGCCGGGATGGCAGCGTCTCTTTCGCAACCGAAGACCACAAGCCCTCCAATGCCAGTGAACGTCAGCGCGTCATCATGAGTGGCTGCGAAATAACCACGAGCGACGCCGCAAATGGAGAGGTGCTGGAAAAGATTGTCCGATTCTTAGCTGAGGGCGAGCACGGCGCGACACTGTCGCAGGTTGACCAGCTGTAATGCTAGAATCACGTGCAAATTCACACAGCTAAGTGCCTCCTTGGGCAGCGTGGCAAGCTTCCGGAACTTGGATTCACGCGGTCCATCGGCGACCTGATGCACCTTGGCTTTTTCATGTCTTGGCAGCACAGCCGAAGACTCCGCAAGAACTTCTGTTAGGTACAAGAAGTATGGCGTCACTGCCAGACCAGAGGTTTACAGGCTTGAGAAGGACTGAGTCAGACTGAGTCGCTGCTAGCATGTAGGAGGCGATGTTTCCTGTGCACACAGGAGTTGGGCGATGGCTCTGGACACTTCCTTCTGGCCAGCGACGGAGTTTGGGAGTTCATGAGCAATGAAGAGGTTGCCTCAATCGTCCACAGTGTCTTGATCCAATCAGTCGCTGGGGGTCTCGCTTCTCGCCATGCTTCAAGAGACCCATGCGAGAGCTTGTTTGGTCCATCGGGTCGTATTGAAGGCCTGCTGGAGACTCATGACGCATGTGCCCATGTTTGCCCCACGTGCGCTGAGTTCTTAAAGTCGCTGAACTGAGGCAAACTTCAGGCAGGTGTGGCAAAAGACTCAATAGTTCAGGAGGTGGTCAAGGCAGGGACTTCGCGGTTGTTTTGCTGACGTAGCATGGGCCAGTATGGCCGAAGCAGCTTGTCCAGGTGGCTCAAGGCAAGTGGAAGGACTTTCACAATCTTTCACATGTGGCAGATGCTTTGCCGTTGTGGCATCAGATGGTGAGGCCGTTTATGAACCTGTTGAGATCGTGTAGTTGGATTCCAGGAGCATGAGTTTGATTATTGCGATGACATAACTCTGATTATGGCAGCGAGCTGAGTTGTCTCCTGTTTCGGATGGCGTTTCAGCCAAGTTTGTGTCTTGAAGGCCTTATTGCTGGTCAGGTGCCGACGCGGCAGGTGACCGGCGCCCCACCTGCTCCTGATGATAGTTGCCTGGGAGGCAGCAATTCCATGCAGATTGAATGATCATTGGTGCTGTGTGTGTATTTCTTTCGCTTTGCTGCGTTAAGTTGCAGGCGTCGTCTATGCTTCGGAGGAATGCTTGGCGCGTGTAGATAGACTTTGCGCCATTCAGTAGTGCTACTCTGGCTGAGATGACCAGGGTGCTGCACTCTGCAGAGCAAAATTTACCATCAGCCTGGCCATCTTTTTGTTCACAGAGCAAAGAGGATGCGCGGGCTTAAGTAAATGTTATGTGTTGAAAATTGCAAACCTGCGCAGGCGTGACGTTCACAGACATTCTTATGTCGCATTTGACACCTCTAAGCAACCCAGGTTTTCTTCGTCCTTCTCCAATTCTGTCCAGATTTCCATTGAGGCGATTCGCCATGTTTTTCACCTTGGATGACACTGTCATGTCGGGCTGTAATTAGGGCCCAGACAGGGACCGTTTCCACCAATGGACATTGACCCAGACTCGCTATCGTGTCATCAAGTGTTCCTGAATATTCCGGTTGAAACCTGGTCAAAGACAGGACTCAGCTTGTGATCTATCTACTTGGCGCTCATCCCAAGGGTTCGAAGTAGCCTTCAGGACTTTGAGCATCCGTTGCCGCGGATTGTCCGGGAACTTCTATCAGCAGGACGAGTTGCAACAATCACCAACGGGGGATCAAGTGGGGCAACTGGCCGAAGTGAGTTGTTGCGCATGCATCTTTCCATCGCGTCCACCTTGTCACCAGTGTCATCGTTGTCATCCAAGGCCACTCATGTGAAGAGACAGCTATCCATCAAGCAACCCCTGGCACTTCCCAGTCTGGGTACATTCATACCTATTCTCAGTTCGGAGGTTACCGTAAAGACCGCAAAACAAGCAAGCGCAGTACCTCTAGACATCGAACTCTTCAAGTTGGGGATGTAGTGTTCATCGTGTATTTATCTCCTAGATGGAGGAATTGTTCTTGGCGTTTTGGAACTGCAGAGTGCAAGCAGTTTTTCCACCCCGACATGCGCAATGTGCGTGAGCAAAAGGCAGCGCTCTGGATGTCGAGTCAATCTGTTGAAGTGATGTCCTGCATCCCCTGTAGGCCACTGTAGGCTCTTAGGTGCGGACTGGAATGTAGGGCCTGTGACCCAGATTTGCTATAGCTCTCAGGCAGGGCCTTACTAGTTGTCCCGGCATGTATTTTGACAGGATGTGTAAGATTCCTCAACTTGCTGAATGTGACATGGCCATGGACACTTAGCGCAGCGGGCGCGCAGCGGGCAGCGATGAGATGCCATTAAGCAGCTTGCAGCTGAGGAGCGTGACTGAAAAGAAAGCATGTGGAAGTGTGAGCCATCGTCTAATAGAGTATGTTTCGTGTTCAGGTCGCAAAGCTTCCAAGGAGAATAGGAAGAATGCAGCAGAGGCCCACTTAAGTTTTTCAGTCCTCTGTGATTTTTCTGGTTTAAAACCTGCCTGCCGAGTCAGGTGGAACAGAAGCTGGCAGGCCTACGACAGCGCACTGCTTTTGGTGGGCTTACTGCCGGCTTCTCAATGAACACGCATTCTTTGACTCCCGCACAAACATGTGCAGCTGCTGGTGATCCTGGAACAGAAGCTGTCAGAGGCTGAGTCGGATGAGTCCGAAGAGGTTGAAGAGGATGAAGAGGCGCCAGTCACCCTGTTGGGTTCGTGTCATCCGTGCTTTCCGTCAGGCAAAGGCACCCTCTGTGAAATCGATTTTGGCAGAGGCCCCCCTGGCATCTTCATGAGTTAGCTTCAGCCTTGCGTGTGTGACTGACTCAAAGCCTTCGAAGTTGTGGTATGCTGCACAATCTGCTGCAGGTGCATAGCGCGATGCATACTTTCAAGCAATCTCGCGCAGTGCAGGCTCGTTGAGCATCTCTAGCTAATGAGACATGACTGCAAAGTCATGCGGGATGTGATGCTGTCGGCTGTCAACGAGCTTCAGGAACATGGCTGTGCAATCATCCGGAATTTGGCTTGCTCTTCTGAGTGGTTTGCTTAGGCCTCAGCTTGTAGTTGGATCAGTTTGGGAATTCTTTGGCTGCCGCCTCAGGGTCATGGAAAGGCTCTGAGGTTTAGGTGCTTACAGCCTATCGAGCCGTGATGTCAGGCTCGGTTGAATTGGCACGGTGAGGTTGGGTGGGTGTCAGGCTGAAGCATCAAGGAGGTTTTCTGCAAGCCTGCTTGGCAAAGCCACAGACACCAGAACAACAGAACCTCTTGCGTGCTAAGGAGTACATAGAGAAGGTCGACGGCGTGGGCTTGCTTTTCATGGCCTTGCAGAGATTCAAGCTCTCTGCGTTGGTTCAGGTCAGCTCTCTGTGTGTGTTGTCCTGCAACGTCTTGCGCGGTCCCTCTGACAGCAGACGCAGGAGCAAGGCTTGGGCGCGTCTTGGGCCCTGGGCACCCCAAGCAGATCTTCAACGGTGACGTGTTGCAGCTCTCCCAAGGCTCAGCAATCTCGCGAGCAAGGCTGCTCTTAGAGAGAGGCTCGCCGGTGTAGGAAAAGCCGCTTGTGGGGCAAAATGGGGGGGGTGGGTGGGTGTTCTTGTCAAGGCTGACGAAGGCCAATGCAATGGATCTGGTGCAAACAGCACTCCTCGCTCCTGGGTCTGAGATGGAAGCTGTGCCGGGATGGAATCACAATCGGTTCACAGCGGCGCCGTGCGATCTTCGTGCGCCCAAGGAACATCCCGACAAAGCTCACACTTGCGCTCAGGCATGCTGGACACTTACACCTGTTTTACAGGCCAATGCATGAACCTCCCAATCCTACGAATACTTCTTGATTCTTGCCTCAGGTGCAGCACTGTGGAATCTCGTGGCTGATCACAAGGAGAATCAGGTCTGCCAGAGCTGGCTGCAAAAACCGTGATTGCACAGAGCTGCTGATTCTGAGAGGAAGCTGTTCATCGCCTTGACATCACAAAGCTGGTGTGTGAGGCCACGCTTTGTCTAAGGCAGAAGTTTGACAGCACGAGGGAAATTCGTGGAGGCAATGAACACGCACGTGGAGAGCGATGAAGTCTTGGAAGGTGCCTTTGGCGCGGCGGCCCCGATTGCACATGGAGAGCAATCTCATCCATCTGAAGTGGAGACTGTAGCAGTAGCACCCTCCTTCTTTTGGAAAGCCTAAGGCCTTGTGCAACATCACCGCCTTCAATCACGACAACAAGCAGGCCACACTTTTCGTAACTGTTGGAGTTGGCTTCCGAGATGCGAGATGGGTGAACGGTTCCAGAGGACATTGTCGACGCCGGTGGGCCAGCCGCTCAAGTTTTTTGCTGAAAGAACTCTAGGAGGAAGTGCTCATAGTTCTTGGAGGGCAGCGAGCATCTGCCGCGGCTGGCCCCCAAGTTGGGATATCCTGTCACATATCCGCGTGCGAAGAGAGACGCGCCGTTGCTGTGCGGGACAGGGATGCAGGAGCACCTCACCATCACAGGAGTGGCTGGGCTCAGCCACGGATGTGCTCGGCATGTGCGGCTCGAAGTGCAGCCGAAGATGGCATTAGGTTCAGCGGGCCGGCTGCGCGGCACTGTGGGGTAGTTCCGTCATGTTTCGATTGATGATTAATGCCAAGTTTTGGTAAGCGCCAGCCAGTATTACTACGTCTAGACCTGGTCAAGACGCCATGGCCGAGCAAAGCCAGTGGGATGTAGTGATCCCAGCACCTCACGATGTGGCGAACAGGACTACACACAGTCTTCGTTTTTGTGGAGTGCAGCTTCATGTTTTTGTTACTCATGTGCTCCTGTTTGGCAGTTGCATTCTTGCTTTGAACATACCAACGCCGAGCGTTTCATGTTTATACTCGGATGCCGAATGAGGGTCAAGAAACTGCAGCTTCATGCCGCTGTCTCCGCGTTTCTCCCTTGAGTCTCGAGTCTTCATGTGCTTGCTTTGACAGCACCGCGTGCCAGACTTTGGCTCCCAACACTAACAGCTTCGATTCAGAAAAGCCGGCCAGGCCTCACTGCGCATCATGAGGCAGCACAAGTCGCTGCTGTAGAGGCCGACGCGCCTGCAATTGCAGCAGCCTTAACGATGTGAAACCGAACTCTCAGTGCTCTTGAATGTTTTCCGAGCAAGGTTTGCAAGGCCATGCAGTCTGAACTCGTGGAGCCCTGAGAAAGTGGTAATCAGCCACAGAAGCCACAGCCATAGAAGCCTCAGCCAGCTTGTGCACTGCAGAATCTTGGCTACAAGATTTTAATTTTTACATGCGTGATGTGTGGACATCTGCATCACAACAACTGTATTAAGGACAACTCAATAATGTATTCTAACAGGGCCATCGGGCACAGCTGTCCACATCCCAGATCTTGCCACATAGCAGGTAGCTTTTAGGCTAGTGATGTGGCCCCGTCCGCGATACCTCCAGCCCGGTCCCAGCCGACTGTACTTCGTGGATGTTGCACATCGTGTTTTCGCCTCAACCGATTACTACGGTTCCTATTGCTGATACTTATGACTACTATTCTTACTAATGTTAGTTACTATCATTAGATGAGCATTTATATCATTGTCAATATTGGAATGTGGTATTACCATTATCATAACTATTGTTGCTTCAATTACTGTCATTGCTAGCAGCATGATGATTGCTGTTGCCATTTTTCAAGGCGCAGGTGAGAAGCGGCGAAAGCCAGGTTAGTGAAGGTTTGCCATCATTGAAGTCAGAAAGCTATCCTACTTGCATTACGGTTATTCTTCATGTTACTATGAGTACTCTTCCGACTATGATGACTATTACCTTTATGAATACCATCACCATCATTACTAGTATTGCTGTTTTTATTTAATGCTATGAAAGCTGCTATTATCATCATCATGATTGCTGTTGTCACTGTTTTCTCGTTGATACAATATTACTGTTACTACTCTTCTTGTTGTTGTTATTGCTGTTATTGTTGCTATTTCGATTGCTACTATTATTTTACTGTTATTGCTATTATTGTTGTTATTTGTTATTGCTTCCATTATTATTGCTAGTATTTCCACGCTGATTGCCATGTTGTTGCTATTATCACATCAGTCACACGCTGGTACATTCTTTGCGTAGGCTGGCTCGATGTTCCCATTATTTTAATAGCATTGCTCGCGCATCCTCTCCGCACCACCAGCTCCATCTATGCAGCACTCCAAAACAGCCGTGGGACAAAAGGGCTCGAAGGATGCGGCCCCCCCAGGCATCTTCATACTCATGTTTGCACTTTTTTTCGTGCTGGCTCCCCAAAGCAGCAACGTTTGGCGTCCTCTCCTCAGATCAAAAGAGGAATGAATGCGCCTGGCTGGGGTGGAACGCGGCTCCCGAGCTGGGGGCCTGCGGGCTGGAACGCGGCCCTAGAGCCGGGTGTTGCCTCCGCAAAATTGTTTTCGTCCATGCTGTTTGGGGTCTTCGCCGGTACTACAGTAATTTATGCTCCTGCAGCGCTACACACGCACGTGCATCTGGTGAACTGAGATGGACCCTCGACTTCAAGAAAATGGTTGTGGAGCCTTGCGGAATTTGTGTGCCTACAGCGACGACTTTAAGGCTGGATTCTGAAGCCCAAACCGGTGTAAACCTTAAGGCCGAAACCTTGTTTGGATGACTGTGCAGGTTCAAACGGTCACGGCTGGTGGTGCGGCACGGGCATGGACCTCAGAGCCTTACCTGTTGGTTTTGGTTTAGGATGTTTCGGGATGTTTAGGAACATTTGCATGGGATGGCCTAGTCGTCACACTGGAGCATTGAGAAAAGTGATAAAGCCCAGCGCCTTCCTAGCTGCTTTGCTGCCTGAGAACTACGGCAGGACTCTTTCTGCTTTTGCAACGCAAGAACCAATACTCCAACATTGTTTTAACACAGTGGAGCCTGTCCACGTTCTTCGTGTCCACTGACACACACTCCGCAAGCACGTGTATGAGAAGGCTGGTGGACAGCGTAGCAATTGGCTATAGGTGCTGAAAGTTAAAAGGTGCATGAATGAACGACCGTAACGCCTGGTGTGACAACTCGCAATTCCTCAGCATTGGGGGGATCGGTACTGGTCATTGCCGGTCCTTAGGTTTCCAACGCTCTGGCGCGACATGAGGACATTCGAGTGCAAGCCCTGCCCGCGTTAGATGCTCTCAGACGCGTCCTAAAATTCTTCAAGCATGCCAGGCGCCGACAAGCATGCAGTGCCTTGATGAACATGTCATCGGTTAGCTCGGAGCGCATCGAGGACGCTGCTTTTGCCAGCTGCGCAGACTTTGCTACAACAACATGCTCATCATCAGCAAAGATTCAGAGGAATGTCACGACGAGATTCTGCAGGCGGAGGCTGTCAGTCGGCTGTGCAATGCCATTGAAGCTCACAAGAAGGTTTGGAGCTCAGCATGCCTAGCGTGCCTTCATTGATGATTTGGCGAGGGAGGAAGTGAGCTTTCACAAAGCTTTCCATAGCCTTCCTTCCCTTGTTGGCAGAGGAGATCACAGTCGTGGAGCCAGCGTGGAGCCCACCCTGCCTCACTTTTTTTGATGTCAAAATCATCGTTCCAAGTCGTCAGCTCCCCAAGCCTCGTTTTAGGCCTGTGCAGCCCTTCGGAATCTGATCGCTGGTGCGCAGGCCGATGGCACAGCGCCTGCATGCCATGAACTGACTGTAAAAATAATATCTCTAATAGTAGTAATAGTAAAAATCATCATAATCGTAATAGGAATAACAATAATATGGTTCTTCCTTTTGAAGGTCGGCGAGGAGCGAGGCCAGACCACCTGCTCATCTGGTTGTGAACATGCCCACGGTGTGGAAGGTCAGCGATACAAGCAGATCCTAGATGAAGACCTCGTTGAGTGCTGAGATCCCTAACGTTTTGGTCTTTCATGTTGTAAGACCATCTCTGGCATCCTGCTCAGAGTGATCATGTGAGGTCAAGCATCTCGTGCAGACAGTGTTCCTGAACTTGGATCACAACCTTGTGCTGCTGCCCAAGTCATGGTAAGAGTCTGTAGCTTAGGTTGCCCGGCGTGATGTATTTGTTTCTTGCGAGGCAGCACCATTGCCTAGAGGCACTTCGCCACGTGTTCGGAGCCCGGCAGTTGCGATGCTGTGGCACCCCTCCTCTCCCTCCTCTCCCTCCCCCCCTCCCTCCTTCCCCCCGAATGCCCCAAACTGCCCAAACTGCCCAAACATCCCAAACCTTGTGCACTTCGTAAGGTGTAGCTGGGAGTCCGGGGCCCGGCTGTTGGAGCGCTACCGGGGTCCGGCTCTAAGAGTCTCCTAACACAGAGTGCTCTCCCCCACCTCTGGTGGTGTTCGTATGCTTTGGTATGCTACACTCTGCTACAGCATGCTGCAGTATGCTACAATAATGCTGTGCTGGAGACCCCCCCCCCAACAAGGCGACCTCTTGAGCCGACCGTTGTCTTTCCCATTCGCATCACCTTGTCAGGAGGCCAGGCCGTGAAGCGAAGCATGGAACGCGACGAACAAAGGCCTGGGGGCGCCTCTGGCCACATCAGCAAATGTTCTGTGTGTGCGTGAATATATAGAACTCAAGCAATCCTCGAAGTGACAGGAAGGTTCATGACCCAGTCATCCGTGAGCGAGGCTGCCAAATCTTAACGGGTGCAGACCTCACCCGGCTCACTTTGTCAAGAGCTCGGAGAACCGTCCTGAAGCCCGGGTTTGGCCCGAGGCCTTGCGAGGGGTCGCGACCTTGATTTTGGCTTTGCCACTTTTTGTCAGGAATTGTTAGGGGAGACACTGAGTCCCAGGTACACCGACAGGGTCACGATCCATTTTGGAAGATGACCACCCTCACGGGCCGGGAGCGCTGCAATGTGCGTGGGCTGGCGGAAGCTCTTTTTGCGTATCAGGTTGAGGCGTATCAAGCACGCCATGGAGAGCTTCCGCAGTTTGAGGGACGTGCAAACCTTAGGTCATCCATAGGCTGGCCTTGTTACACACAGTATGCCTTCCTTGCCTGCTTCGCTTCTTGGGTTCCAGGTGCAGACAGCTGCCCTGCAGGCCGGACCAATCCGATTTGCCGTGCGCTTGTTCTGGTTTAGGGTTTAGGGTTTAGGGTTTAGGGTTTGCCGCTCGTGGGGAGGCTCTGATGGCACTGGCAAAAGGTTGGCCGAAAGAAGGAGCTGAGAAGATCAAGGCTGTGCTTGCTGAGATCTGGTGCCACTTGGGTGGCTATAAGATATAGTATACATTTTTTAGACATTGTATGTAATAATAACAAATCAAATGCTAATCGCAAACTATTCACATATTTTTATTTATTTATTTTTTTTTTTTAAATTTTACTTCTTCTTAAATTCCAAAATATTATCAGTATTATTATTATTATTATTATTATTTGTTATGATTATGATGATGATTATTATTGTTACTTCTATTAGTTTTGTAGTGTTAGTATTCTTCTTCTTCTTCTTCTTATTGTTATTGTTATTGTGTTCTCACAAGAAAATACAAATAACAGTAATGTTAATCATATTAAGATAAGTACTAATATAAATTAATGCAAATATAACTAAAACATAAATATAACTATAAAAATAAAATTAAAAATAAAAATAAGTATAAATATACACGTAAATAGAAAATATAAATAAAAAATATACATAATATATATATATATAAACATATACATGTATATGTATATGCATATGTACATGTATATGTAATGCAACTGCAAGGCTTCGGGATGCTTCAAGGACCCGTGCCTCGCAGATGACGAGCTTTGTGCTTCTTTTCTACCCCGGAAACAGTTTAGTGTAGACTAGGGCTCTTGTTTCAATCGAAGAAGTCGACCTAGCCGGATACTCCGGCCAGCCCAACTTGTTTGCGCTTGCCTCCCCTTTGTCTCCCTTCATGTGTGGCCTCAACCGATTTGCTGCACTGCTTGTCTCCGCTTGTCTCCCTTTTGTCTCCCTTCATGCGGGTGGCCTCGGCCGGGTCCTGGGCGGCTTCAATGTAACACGTGTTCTGCTCTTATGCAATCTCAAGCGTGGATGTTGGCCCAACATCCAGTCCTCAAGCGTGTATGTTGGCCAAACATCCAGCCGTGAAGTTGGCCCAGCATCCACCTGTCAAGTGAAGAAGTTGGCCTAACATTCGCCCCTCAAGCATGGATGTTGGCCCGACATCCAGTGGATGTTGGCCCGGCATCCACCCCTTAATTGTGGATGTGGATGTCGGCCTCAAGCGTGGATGTTGTGGCCCAACATCCTCCCCTTAAGTGTGGATGTTGGCTTAACACCAACCCTAAGGCCCTAAGGTGGGTATTGGCCCAACATAATCCAACATATACCCCTCCAGCGTGGATGTTGATCCAGCATCCACCCCCTGAAGCGACGATGTTGGCCCAACATTCACCCCTCAAGCATGGATTTTGGCCTCAGTATCCACCCCTCAAGCGTGAATACTGGTTTAATATTTGTTCTTGAAGCTTGGATGTTGTGCCCGCATCCACCCCTGAAGCGCGGATGTTGGCCTAGCATCCAGCCCTCAAGCGTGGATGATAAACGCTATGGGTGTGGGCTCCAGCATGGATGTTGGCCCAACGTCCACCCCTCGAGCGTGAATGTCCCCCTCAATGACTGAAGCGTGACCTCTCAAGCGTGGATATTGGCCCAGCATCCACCCCTCAAGCATCGCTGTTGGACCAACATCCACTCCTCAAGCGTGGATTCCTTTCCTTCCTTTCTCTGTCTCTCTTCTCTTGCTCTCTTTCTCTCTGTTCACGCTCGCAGCAAAGCAACATGCCGTCAATGTGGTCCGTATTGCAGGACATCCTCGCCGCAATGTCAAATCACCCGAAGGATTTTGCACTGCTTGTCGGTATCCTGGCTTGTTCTCGCCAAGTATATCACCTCGGCTTACTCGAGCACGTGTTCTGACTTGCAAGGCCATTGCCTGTGACGTCATTCACCAGCTCGCTCTGCACGGCATCTTAATCGAGGCCCTGTGAAGTAGCTTCCTTGCATCAGCTCAGTTTCAGCGAGCAGCTCACGAGGAAGCACGGCCGATACTAGAAATCTACATCAGGAGGCTCAACGAGGAGGTGACATGGCTGTATGGCCTTTGCGTTCAATCTTGAGGTACAAGTGCTGTTGCATCAGTTGTCCACAGTGCCGTGTTGACAAAGTTCAGGTGAACTTGCTCGTGCCTGCAATGCACGCATTGGCTGAGATGATCACCCACATGGAGCCTACAGCAGCTTGACAAACACGTTAGCGTGCCAAGGTGCCGAGTTGGGACCGAATGAAGATAGTTGATTCAAGATGATGTGATGCACGGCACTTAGGACAATGACAAGGGCCTGGCCCACAACATATCAAACTCTCTGGCACAGTCCCCTGCTTTTGGTTTCGGCAGCTTCTGTGAGCTTCTGCTAAATTTTCGCAGATTCTGTCAGATTCAGCTGGATGTTAGACGTAGTCGCAAGGTCGTGCACAAGCGGAACGCAAAGGTGCAGGCCCATGCCTGTGTTTTGCCTCCATGCACGTAAGACCGTGCTGCAGTTGCATAAGAGCACGAAATGCAGATATCTCCTAAATAACAGTACAACAAGTGCCGGTTGCAGGCTGCTGGCCTCAGCATACTGCGTGCTTGGGCTGCTGTCGGCAAGGGCCACAATCCACGTGGCAGGGGCATGCTGGGCCGTGCGCAAAACCTACCGTGCAAGGTGGTGCAGGCCTCCTCGCAGCCACCGAGGCTCGCACAGCGAGGTTGAGGTCAACATGAGTTTGCCAGAAGTCGAAGACACTCCGGAAGAAGGAAAGTTTGTGGAGCGGCTGGTTTGAGACAGGACAGCTGCGGCGGTTCTGCAATCCGGTCCGCAATGGCCCTGCTGTAGAAGACTAAACGCAGCCCATCTGCTATGGCGGTATCCCCACCCTCTCAGTCAGAGGCGAAGCAGAAGAAGCCTTAACACGGCACTTACTCGTAGCATGAACAACTACTGCATTGTGATGCTCAGACACATCAGCCATCTGTCAGCATCTAGCAAAGGCTGTAAACTGCACTGAGCTGCACAGTTGCGACTGCGCAACGCAGTCGCTTGCTGCCTTTGCCCAACTGAAGCCCAAATAACCCGAAATGCATCAGCTGCACATCGCTGTTGAGAATCGGAATAATAACCATGAAGCGGGTCTGGTGGGAGTGGGGCTTGACGGAAGCACGAGCCCTTCAACGCCGAACAGCCCAAAGCCTGCCACAGCCTTCATGGGGACCCCGTAGCACATTTTTTTTGAAGAGGCCCTTGAGCTGAACTGCTAAACCTTTTGCAACAACTTGTTGATCGGCGGGACATCGGATGGTTCGAGTTCGCAGGGCAACAGTGTTGAACGAGCACGCGCTCATCTCAGCTCCATACGACCTTTCTGCCAGCGACCGACATGATTCTCCGGATTTGTCGGTTCTAGCTCCAAGGCCTGGCCATGATCGAGCACAAGGAAGTTGAGGCCTCCATGAGAGTTGAGGCCTCCGCCGGAGAAGCGTTTCGGCGCGCGACGCCTTCTGAGGCTGTTCAGGGCATGGCATGTGACCTTCTGCGCCGAGCGGGGCTCTGAGGGAGAGGCTCAAACATGACACATCATGACACTGTTCTGCAATCTTGTGCATGTTTCTGACACCTTGTGGCAACGTGTGAGAGCGCACCCCAGAATGACAGCATGTGACACCCGAGGTGGCAGCTTCCAGCACGCAAATGCGTCGGAGACCTTGGGGTGAGTTCGCAATCACTTCCGCATTCTGCTTGCTTTCAGGTGATCACATCATCGAAGCTGGTCTGTACCCCTTGATAGTGACGGCCCAGGCCTCACGGAGTGGCCTGAGCTGAGAAGTGGCCAGAGGTTTTGAGCATCAGAGCTTCATTGCAGGAGACATGCCGGACAAGCCCGCAGGCAAGATGCGACATGACGCAGCAGACCTTTCCAGAAAAACAAGGTCAGGATCCCATGCTCCAAGCTCCAGGTCTGTCGGCACAGTCTTTGTGCAGCCGGCACGCTGTTGGGCTTTATGGCCGGGCGCAGCCAAGGGCGGCAGGCCGGTCGACGAACGAGATGTGTTTTTGTCGGCTTTCGCGCATGGGCTTGCGATTCGCAGGAGGAGCGCATGAGGATGATGATGCAGAGTGCTGTCGGCGTCCCAACTCCGTCTAGCTGCCGTGGACCACTAACAAACTCACTTCCCAGCTTGCTAGGCCAAGGCCAAGGCAGCTGTCACGCCCCGAGCGGTGGTAAATTGAAACCTGTTAGCGACAGTCGAATGTGCGCCAATGCATGGAGAGAGAGGGCTGTGGATTGAAGGCTGGAGCTCCGCCGCTGCCTCAGCGCAGTGCAGAGGGGGAGAGCGCTGCACAGCGCTCTGTGCAACGCTTTGCAGCGCCGCACAATGCCGTGCGGTTCGTCGGTGTTTTCCAGGCAGCGCGGCGGGGCCATAGCATTCGCGAAGCTGGTGAAAGAGACGGTGCCGGCCTGAATAGGTTTTCCGGACCGCGGCCTTCGCACGCCTCTGCAGCCTTCTGCAACCTTGGGTAAGGACTTTTCCCAGTTTGCCACCCATGCATTCGCCCCAGCTGCCCAAGAGGCCCACACGCCCAAGCGGCAATTCTCAAAGGCTCCCTCTGGATTGTCTGAGGTGCAGGAGCTGCTCCTCTTGCACAAGTCGAGCTCTCTCTTTGTACAAGACGCCTGCCACGTGCCATGGACTCAAGATGGTGGGTCAAGTGGTCAATCTCGCTTGACTTTAGCTGGTAGTTGCATCACTGTTGCATCCTTCGCCTTGGCTCGAAATGAAACCAGCAACATGTGGCCTGGTGATTCTAATTGTCTCTATGTCGATGGCATCTGCCGTCGAATGTGAAAAGCTCTATGTGACATCCATCCTCCGATGGTTCTTGCTGCTTACAGCCGCAATGCAGCCACACCTTCAAGGCAGGCATTCGTGGGATATCTGTACCTTGTTGTCTTTGTCCGTGCCGTGCGCGATGACGCGCAGCAGAGCGGATGGGGTGGCGGTGCTGTCGAGGTAGGGCGAGCCGATCCCGTGCTCACACAGGGAAGAATCGCAGACCGGCTTCCCCCGAGTGGCTTTTATCCTCCGGCTCGCCATGACGCGCAGCAGTGGGATGTGCTTCAGCTTTCCAGCCAGAGGGCGTCCCCAAGCGCACCCGGAGCACCAAGATCGAACATGGGCTTGGAAGCAGAAGATGGTAATTTTGGAGAAGGGTTCAAGCACCACAGGGCAGGGCTGGATCAGGGAGGCTCCACGAAAGGGGTGAGTCGGATGGAGGTTGTCAACGTGGCTCAGGCCTTCGGACACACCCAGTCCTTCACAGAGACAACCCAGAATCGATCGGGGCAAGAGCGAGGAGATCAGAAGCTCAGCGAAAAGCAGGCTTTTGCTGATTCTGATTGGAGGCAACTTGCTTCAAACAGTGGCGGCACTTTACAGCGCCAGCATCGAGAGTGGTTCCATGATCGTCCGGCCCAGAAAGCCCTGCAACAGATGGGGAGAGTAGGGACATCCTCGACATCCTCGACAAGCTCTGACGCAGGAATTGAAAGTCTGGCAGTTCAGGAAGCTCTGCAAGGCCAGCAGCGGAATCAGAGCTCGCAGCCGGCAAACGGCTCTGATTCTGCCCCTCAACCAGGAAGAAGCCACGATGAGGCCAAATACGCCTACAAGAAGGCCACCGACGACATGGAGGGTTTGCGTGACGTCGTCGAAGCAGTCGAGGCTGCCAAAGACTCAGCAGCCAGCAAGGCCCGAGCTGTCCGGGCCTCAGCTTTTGTGAGCTTGTGCTGACGGTGCGATATGAATAAGGTCCTGATTATCATTGGGGATCCTACCTTGTGGGGGGTCCCCCTAGTATCGTAAACCCTCATATGATTTGTTGTGAGAGATGTGTTGGGATTTGCAGCTAGAGGGGGCCCTTTTTTGGGGGCTTAGCGGAGGTCGACAAGGCCTTCGCCAAGCAGCAAAAGCACGTGAAGGAAGTGGATGCGTAGGGATGTTTGGGGATGTTTGGGCATGTTTGGGGATGTTTGGGGATGTTTAGGGATGTTTAGGGATGTTTAGGGATGTCTAGGGATGTTTAGGGATGTTTAGGGATGTTCAGGGCTCTAATGTGTTGTGGTCTAAGGGGCTTGCTTCGACTTGTGGGGCATCCGAATCATGAGCTCATGAACGCACAGAGCCCGCAGGAGTTGGGACGCGCTCTGGATCACCTTGCCGTGTCTGCCCAAAAGTTCGAGACGAGTGTTGTGGGTTTCTTTGCTCAGGAGGAGGATAGCGAGAAGTTTTCACCCCTCGCACAGCGTGCCGGATGACTGCGCACAAGGAAAAAGAGGTACCTTGTAGCTCAATTTGCATTGCTGGGAGCCGGGCTGGAGCTAGTCTGGCAAATACCAAGGCTGCAAAGTCTTGCTGAGTCATCTGATGATGGCTGTAAGGCACGCTGCTCCGAGCACCTCGCGATCACCTCTCTGAGTTGTGTTGTGTAGTGCAGGTTGTGCAGTCGGTCGGGGTGCTGCCAACCATCCTGGCGGTCCTCAAGCAGCACAAGCGCCAGCATCCCAACAGAGAGAGCAAACGAGAGAGAGAGAGAGAGAGAGAGCGGGACGGAGAGAGAAGCAAGAAGGTGTGTGTGTGTGTGTGTGTGTGTGTGTGTGTGTGTGTGTGTGTGTGTGTGTGTGTGTGTGTGTGTGTGTGCGTGCGTGCGTGTGTGTTACCAGACACAGTGGTTTTGCGGGGGCATGGGGGGGCTCCGGGATGCCTTGGGGTGAGAGTTTGTTGAGGTCTTGGGCTGAGCGTCGACATGAGACCGTGGAAGGCTTCAGGGCGGTTCCTGCTGTGGCCTTGTTGAGGTGGGGAGGTTTGCAGTCTTTCTTAGGGGGATCCTACGGAAGCCCAAAAAAACTTGGGGAGGGTGAGGGTGATCCTCTGTCCCCACGAAAAACAGAAAGGACAACCTTCTTTAGTTTCCCCATGCCCGCCGAGAAGAAAGGATAAGAGAAGTCTTTTCAAACGCTTGGGGGGGTGGTTCGTGGCCCTCCCCCACAAGAAGGGATTTTGAGAAGGGGAATCTGGGGGTCCCATAGGGAACCACTGATGCCTCATGGCCGAGGCCGAGGCGAATAGGATGAATGAAAAGTACCTGCTTCGACGCTACTGGCTTTCTCACAAGCGCTGCCTGTTACTCCATGTTTGACATCCGCCAAGGCAGCGAAGGTGCAAATTTCTATGCGCTGAGGGTCATTTGGAGCATGGCGCTCAGCACCTCGGCAGTGGGTTTGGCCTGAAACGCGCTATGCTTTCCAAGGTGTTCTGACGAATCCCACCTTGATCCGCCGGTACCTTGAACTGGAAGCACGGAAGCACAGTCACAGCTACAGGAGCCTGTTCTGCTAGACATGCCTTGAGAATCTCCTTGAGGCCATGCCATTGAGGTGGAACATTGTCATCATTCTTCCTTTGCTCATGCCCCGCATGCCACCATGAATGCTGATGCCACTATACATGTGTGCCAGGCGGGCCTGGTCGAGCTGGTTTTGTCGTGTCTTACCCGCTTTCAGGGCTGTACAGCGGTGAAGAATGCTGCTCTTCTGCTGGTGAGCCGCACATCCCTCCGCAATCAGGAGGCCAAAGCTATGTACATAGAAGCGAACATCATTCCGCACATGCAGCGGCTGCTGCAAGAGGATGATGAGTTCCTCCAAAGTCGATGTCTGGGTGCGCTTGCAAATTTGGCAAGCAACAACACTCAAGCTGTGGAAAGGATGTCCAACATGGAGGACATTGTGATCAACATGCTACGCCAGAAGGACACCGATCTGGTGCAATGTCGATGCCTGCAGCTTCTCTGGGCCTTTCTTCGCACTGCCAGAAGCAAGAGGCAAAAACCACCGCTGCTCTGCAGCCCGGAGTTCCTGGATGTAGTTCTCGATGCCGTGAAGCGCCATCCCAAGAGCGAGAACTTGCAGGTGCAGGGCATGGGCCTCCTGTGGAATTATGCTGCTCTTGGACAAGAGCAGAAAACATGGATCCTGGACCGGAAGGGTCTCGTGCTTGTCGCGGCTGCGCTGGAGACGCATCGTGACAGTATGGCCGTGCAGCAGCATGGGTTGGAGCTGCTGCGAAGCCTTGCCTGTCAGGGGCCCGAGGCTCGGAGACAGATTCAGGCAGCGAGGGCCCTGGACTTTGCAAAGACAGCGCTTGCGATGCGACGGGATCCCCGGGTTCTTTGTGCCGCTACGGGTGTCTTGGGCAATTTGGCCTGTGGAGATGTGGCTTTGAAGCGCCAGCTCTTTGATCTTGACGTACCGAAGGAGGTTTTGACAGGTATGGAAGATCATGGACGGGACATTGGAATGCAAGTGGTGGGCGCCTGGGCCTTGGGAAACTTTGTCGGAATCAGCCGCAAGAGGGCTCGGCAGCTGTACGAACTTGGAGGGAAAGACCGTGTGTTTTTGGCAATGTCTGAGTTTCCACTGAATACCAGCATGAAGCTGTATGGAACAGCGGTGATTCGCAGACTGGAGCTCGTGCAGGATCTGACCATCAGTGGTGATAAGATGGAGGAGGACGACGAGGAGGATGCAAACGAGGAGGATGAGATTGTGGAGGGTAAGAGCTTTGCAGAATTGGACAAAGAGGCCGAGGTAGAAGCTTCGGCGGGCTCTGAGAGTGAGTACTCGTCTGAGGATGCAGAGCTGCAGGCAAAAATTCAGGCCTTAGCCAAGCAGACAGGGGGAAGGGAAGGCGAGGACCGCGGTCCACGAAGCGGCGTAAAGCTTGGGACCGATGATGGAGACTGAAGAAGCGAAATGCAGTGAAAGTTCCAGGCCATTTCTGCCCGTGAGGCCCTTTTGTGCCTTTCTCAACTTCTCAACGCGTCGCACGTCGTGGCCCTACATGGCCCTACACGACCTCACGAGGCTTCGTGGGGAGGCGCATCGGGAAGGACGAATTGGACGAACGAGAGAAAGCGGAAACGAAAGTAGGGCCCTAGAGAGGGCCAACCGGTCGGTGACCAATGCATCTGTCTTCGTTATCCTTCGACACCGGTCGAAGGGCTGGCATCTTCGAGCCTTCGCGTGGAGTCTCTCCTCTTGGCCGTGGCTGAGGGCCGAAGTAGTGCTTCTTCTTGACATATACGGTCCCGCGATGCGGTGGAGGTTTGGGGGTCGCGACATGAAGATCGCCCCCACTCCAGCCCATAGAAGCCACAAACATCGGAATGGCCATCATGGCCATCATGAGACTCCCGTGCCGTGCATGGGAGCAAGAAGCGAATTGCCTGAATTCACGTGCCAGATTTTCCAACTTTTCCCCGGACCATCGTCTACAGCAGCGAAAGAATCTGACGAAGCGGTAGGCATGGGTGTTGCACACAAGCTTCTGAACTTCTCTCAGGTATTGCCGAAGATGTAGGCAGGCTGTAGGCCACAGAGGTGTTGCGCATGGGCCTCTGAAACTCATCGAAGCTCTGGCTCAAGTTCACCTCCATACTTCGCAAACTTCAGGACGTCAAAGGCAGACCGATCTGCACTTTTCCATGAGATAGCGAACAGATGCACGCAGAAGAAGCGGCGGCAAGGTCTGGCCCTCAATGGCAGCTGCATCGTAGTTCTGTAGGGCTTCAAGCAGGCAGGCTGTCAGGGATGTTAGAGGATGTTAGTGGGTTCCCTCCCCGAAACTTCCGTAAGATGTGAGATGGCCCAGGTGTGTGGCCGGATTTAGCATCGTGATCGTGGGTGGCATTTTTTTGGCAGAGTGGGTGGCCTTCCATGCATTTGCCAAGCCACCTCCGGCGTGGGCTCTGGTGTTTAATGCCACCTGGCTGTTAGCAATCTGGAGCTACTTGCAAACGGCTCTTACGAATCCTGGAACACCCGCGAGCCCTGAGTGGGTCGCCTGGGCGCGATCTCGTCAGGGCAGCCGGACCCTGCAACAGTATCAGAAGGACGCAGAAGAGGCAAGAGTTGCCTTGCAATGGCCCAAAACAGAAGACGTCCCGGCTACGGTTCCTAGATGGTGCTGGCATGTGGTATTGGAGACTTGCAAGGGTGCACAGGGTGTGTACGAGTGTGTACGAGTTTTGATTCTTGCCCCCTGTCAGGAAGCATCGGGTGAGTCCAGGACACGGGCCTGGTCGCCTGGCAAGCCCACTTGGTGTCGAGTATGTCGCATGGAGCGGCCCGAACGACGGAGCCTCAAAAGCCCGAAGGGGGGGGGTTTCCGACAAAGCCCATCTTATTGGGGTCCTTATTTATAAGGGAATCCTACTATTTGGGGTCTATTTTTTTGGGGTCCCCCCCCAATTTTCGTAAACCCCCAAATGTCAGATGCAACTTGGGATGGAGAGGGGGGAGAGGCCAGCGCTACCATGAGGTGCCCATCACTGCAGTGCCTGTGGCTGCTGCATCTTGCGAATGGCCAGCTGTCCCAGTTTAGTCTGAAGCAGCTCTTACGGTGCATCAGCATGGCAGGTGTTGTTAGTTATCAGTATTATTTGTCATTCTCGATATATTACTAATATCAACAAGAATGCTTAGTAATATTCTTCATGTTGTGAATGTCAGCAGCTCAGGACCATCACTGCCCGTGGGTAGGAAGCTGTGGAAGTCTCGGAGTGTCCCTGACTGTCAACCGACGAGCCCCGAAGAATGGAGTCGTACCCAGGTGTTGGTTGGCGAAACCATAAGTACTTCCTGCTCTTGAACTTGCCTCCGGCTCAGAAGTTCTTGGAATTGAGGCCTTTTCTCGGAATGAGTAGCTCAAAGGCTTCTTGCTTTGAAGGTTGTGGGTCTGCAGGTTGATGACTTGACCGGCAAAGGTTGCCTCAGCGTTCGCAAGCGCATGTGTCCGCATCCGCAAGCGTTCGTGGGTCGTGTGGCCCTACTTGTGGAAACCCACGTTTTCCCTCACTTCGGATGCCCCCCCCCCCCCCCCCCCTGTCAAAGCACTTTGAACATCCTTTCAGATATGGGAGCTGCTTGTCCTTTCGTTGGGCTTGCCGATTTTGGGCGTTTCGTTTCTGGAACCCAGCCTCGTATGGCTCGTAGACTTTTCTTTTCATTATGTTTTTGTCTGAGACTCTTGCGTCGGTCTTGTCGAGTTTCTAATCTCCTGGCACCGTCGCATTCGCTGCCTCAGCCGCTCGTCGCCAAGAGCATGGTAGTTAACTGTTCGTCTCACGCCGCAGATTGCAGGAAGTACGGCGCGTAGAATGTGTCACGAAATATACAGCAGGTGCTTTACCACAGTGTAACTGGTGCTTTCAACCGCGCCATCTATCCTGTAGCATGGCTAAGCTAAAGCCCAGTCATACCAAAGCAAAAACTTCAGCTGCAACCAGGTTCGCACGCACCTCAAGCTGGAGTAGAGACGAGATTGTAGAGTAGCTGCGATAACATGAACAAAGTTCCTTTTCTCAAAACATGCTTTTACCTGACACCCGGCACGCCCCAACATGAACTTGTCCCACCTAGTAACTCAGTTTCTTGCACAGCAAGGTATTGCTTTTGGGCCTGCGTGGCTTTCATGCTGACAATGCCGGGACCTCTGCCAAGTCTTCGAAGAAATCCAAGTGCGGTACGAGGGCGAGTGCATTTGCAAAGGACCCGGCCTTCAATGATGGACGCGCTGTCCGTAGCTCCTGGCAATCTGGATCTCAACAGGCCGTTTTGCACTAGAGATTGCGATTGTGTAGATTCCAGGTTGGAGAAGATGTTGCACCAACATCCCATGTGATCTGTGCGTGGCAGTGCCCTGGCCCTCCTCGCCATGCTGGGCATCTTGATCTTCCTCCTCTTGACAGGTGTGGCTGCAATCTTGTGATTCACGTTTGCCTGTCCTGCGGCAAGAGCAGGAATTCTCTTCGTGATCTCGCTGTGGTCAGCAATGAGGCTGCAGCGACAATCTTTGCACAGCTGCATGGTGGTTTTGCGCAGGCAGCTGTTCCTGGTGAATCCAGGAACTGCACGACGGTGGAAGATTACTTCATGGGTGACAACCCGTGCCCCAAAGGCAACTTATGATATGCTTGACACGGTCTTCCAAACCCTCAGGTACACCTTGCCCTCGTCCGTTGAGAACCTCACGCAACTTCTGGGCAAGCCCGGTCTAAGGTGCCCCACGAGCTGCGCAAGTCTGCATGAGGAGACCCTAAACCCTAAATCCTAAGCCCTAAACCCTAAACCCTAAAACTCCAAGTTGCCAGGTGGCTCATTCCTGTGCCTTGCGACTGCAGGCTGACAGATGTATGGAGCTGTATGGAGCTGCAGTTGAGAAACGTCATGAACGCTGCTGTGAATCTTGTGTGGCTTGTGTGTGGAAGGCCATCAGATGGCACGAGCTTCGAACTCAACTGCCACATACCGCCAGAGGCGAGAGAGTCAAAGACACAAGATGACGCAAACATGCGAGCTTCCAGAGACCCTTAGTCGCCCGCAAAGAAGAGGCAACAAGCCGCAAAGCCTGCGGTTCCATGTCCTGCGATCCGTAAAGCAGGGTGCGTTCTAGTTCTAGAATCTGGATTTGAACACTTGCATTGTCCAGTTTTGTAGCACAGGTTCCCATTCCCAAGCTTCGAGCCTTTCTTGCCAGAATCTCGCTTGGTTCAATGTCTCCAACATGTCTAAAACCCATGATTTTGGAAGAGCGCTGTGTTGCGGACCTCAATTTAGCGAGTGTGTTTATGCTTAAATCGAGTGCGCGATTTGGATCTCCACCTTTCAGAAGCTTATGTCGCAATAAATCGCGAGCTAGTCCAGCGAGAGATGGCGAGAGGAGCTCGAAGCACTTTGCTCTCTTTGGCTTGGTAGCGTCAGGTGTTGGGAGGCAGTGGATATGGCAGCGTTTGAGATGAGCGACTGGAAGAAGTGTAGCTTCAAGACCTGCCTGACAGAATGCGAGTCGGGAAAGCGTGAATGAAGATCTCTACAGTGGCAGCAGCGATGTTCAAAGCAGCACATGCCCTGAAGCATGCAACAACGTCCGTCAGATTGGCTCATAGTGCGGATCCGACTGCGAACGTGCATGGTCCTCGAAGAACGTAGGCCGGCGCCGGCACAGCATTTGCTGCTTCTTGTGACTTTCTTTTTCTGTCGTTGGCCTGATTGTAGAGGAAGCAAACATGCCCGAAGCCTCGGCCTGGCGCTTGGCGACGCTTTGTGCGTCTCAGCAGCTGTACGGGTCCTCTGCGCGTTTGTCATGTGCTTGTGACATCTTGTGACGAGCCGTGAGGTCCTCCTGACCTCCGCAGGGCGCCGAACGTTCCAAACGACCCCAAGGATGCGACCATGTTTGAATGTTTGACATGCCGGTTTTGACAGTGATGCTGTGCCAGTGTTCTGCAGTGCGGCAGTACGGGAGTTTGTGTTGTGCTCTGTGGTGTGGCTCAGTGGTCATGTCTGGCCACAGCACGAAAGAAGTCACATGCAGGAGTCACCAGAGGGCTCAAGAGGACCAATCTCTCCTGGCTGCTTGCCCTGGAAGCTCGATCCGCGCCCAGTTGTTCGAGAATCGGAGAGGAGACCTGAGAGCAGGTGTCATACACATTTCATACAGCTTTCATGCAGGTTCATACAGGTTTCACAAGAGAACAGCGCGACGAGGCCGCGACCTCTTGCTGGACGGCTGGGTGGCATTTGCCCAGGGTCGGAGGCTCAGCGAAGAGGAGGCTTAAGCCTTGACATGAGCTCAATCCGCCTTTGCCAAAGTGCGCAGGGGGCAGTATTGGCCGCCACATTATGCCGCGGGGCAGTACCGCAGAGAGGACGCCGAGCGGCTCCGTGTCTCTAGAGGTGGGTACATTCTAGTGCTGTTTCTGCAGTGGTGGCAGGACACCATCTCATCCATGCAAGCGACGCACACGATGGAAGCGGTGAAGCCGCAGACGGCAGATATCTTCAGGCCCTCAATTGATTGAGGTCGTTTGCTTGCGTTGAAGATGCCCTGTGTCCCTGAAGGGATGGGCTTAGAACCAACGGATGGGGACGTGGCACAGGGTACTGTTTCTGCCTCAAAAGCTGAGTGGGCACCAGAAGAGTCGAAGAGGTCCATGAAACAACCAACAGCCTAGGTCCCAACACGACCTCCATTCGTGGTGTTGACTGGTCGCACAAGGACCCAAAAGCGACGAAGTTGCTCGGAAGCTTCACAGTGCGCGTGTGTGTGCGCGCGCGCATCATCTAAGCAGGAGACGACCGATGTTTTTCGTACAACGTACGGAGACACGCTGTGTTCAAATCGAGTCGGGGGCCTCATCTGGGCTGGAATCTAGGAATCTAGGTGTCCCAGCGAGCTGTAGAATGACCTTCGTTGCATATCCCAGCCTTCCCGCTATGGCAGCCTCGGTGTAGCTGCCAGAATGGCTTGGGACAGATCTTGGGACTAGGTTGAAGCTTCTGGCATGCGAGCAGTTGGTTTCTCACAAGTTCCTGAAAGAACAATCTGGCATTTCCCTCTTATGTTGAAGCCACCCAAGAAGCCGACTGACCGTGCGACCAAGTCTCCGAACTCACTGGCGTCCACGGCCTCCTCTTTCATGCCGGTCCCTTAGATGTCCAACTGCTCAGTAATTGGTGCGTGGGCTGTGGCCATGCACAGGTCGCCGCGGGGCGGAAAGCAGCGTTGGCGCCCAAGAGCAAGAGGGCAGCCACAGCGAAGTTTCGGGTATGCTTGTGTGCCAATTCGAGCTGTTGTTCCATGCGGATTGTTCCATGAGGTGCGTTCGCAGCGTTCCACTGACGCTTTAGCTTGCCAATTTTTGGGAGATATACATTCTTATAAGGCGATTGGTGCAAAATGCGAGGAGATCAAGCACGCTTTCTGCCCTCTGTTAAGATGCTATGGCACAGAGTCGTGAAGAGTCAGTGAAACTGACGATCGGCACCTGCCACAGCAACATTGATGGACATGCAGCTGCCTAGCCGTTAGCATGGCCTTAGCACAAGTAAGCTCACCTCTGGTTGCTTTCAATCGCCTCTAGTCTTCGGCTTTTTCCCTAGGCCTATCTGCAACCGAGAACTCCCAGGCTCATGCCGACAGTTCCACGTTGCAGAGGCAAAGCTTGTAGCAAAACGATCCTAGCAAGCGAAGAAAACTGACAGCGTCGATTTTCTGTGACCTCCTTAGGAGCGAACGGAAACGACATTGCTGCAGCAGACTGTCTCATCACTGCCGTGCTCGATGGTACGATGATAATGCAGATTGCGCTGTGAGCAGACTCTGCTTGGCTGCATTAGTGCGCCGATGGGTGAAAGGCAAGGTCATCCAAGGTGACTGAAAAAGGTTGCGCCTCCAGTAAACTGGAGCCAGTCCGAGAACTTGTAGGTCTGGCAAACCAGAGGGCAAGAGTCGAGAAAAAAACAAAAAAACGAGGGCTCTGCATTACTTGTCTGTTGATCTTTCGCTTCCATTTTTGCGAGGAAGTCTTAGTTGGGATTTGAGGGAGGTAGAGTATATGTGTGTTGAGCAGACAAGGTAGGGCAGACAGTCTTGGATCTTTGCCTTCTCTGATGTTACCCCCGCTCATTCGTCAGGAGAGAGGGGTGTTATTGAAGGGCATGTGATTCGCCTCGGACTGCTGGTTTTGCAATGACTTGGCCACAGATTCATGTTGCCGATGACTTCTGACGGCCAATAATGTGTATGAGGCCAACGCCATCCCCAGGCTACGCACACACACACACAGAACACCTACTCGCAGTTTTTGGATCTCGAATAAGAATGGCTCAACATTGCTTCAGGAAACGATGCTCCGACATGATCCTGAAAATGACTCTAGGGCTTTAATGCTTGAAGCCAGATCGCCAGCCCATGTGCTTAGCTAGATGCGTGGCCACTACACGGGTACCACCCCTGTGTGATTCATGCTGTGGACGCAAGCCTAGCTGCTGAAATGCCTGCAGCCCAGATATGCGTTGTTGCCATGTTGTACCAGTGGGAATGGCTCACTAGCAAGGTTGGGCTGCAAGGGTTTCCTTGGTCAGTCGGACTTCTGGACAGAGGAAGGTGCCACTTCTTGAGTCACTGTTGCGTTCAGAAGCGAGCATGGTCTAAGCAGTTGGACGATGTCCACAGAACTTACTGGGACGCAAGCGCCCTCAGAGGGAAAGTGGGAGAGGCGTGCTCCAAGACTGACAGGTGATGCTCCGATCCTGAAGCCTGGACCCTCTGGGCAAATCTGTACCGTGCGAAGGTCTCCGACTGAAGCTCGAAGCAAATCTTCCCCCGCAGGTTTGACTTCGGTTGGCTGCAGGGCCACACAGCCGAGGCTGGGAGGAAGTCCTGGTTCGGATCCAATGTCGCCCCTGGCCTGTCCATGAGGCCTTCCAGCGAGCGAGCGCTTGGCTCCCTCATATCGGTGTCGAGCCGAGCAGGGTGGCCACACCCTCAACCGACTCGACCAATGAGCTTTTTCTTGCTGTCTTGGTGCTCTTCCTTTGACGTCTTGCTCAAGACAGACATGACACATCAGGATGTCGACACGAAGCCCCTCTCCACGGAGCGATACGCTGACCTGAAGCTTGGTGTGCTGCCAGCACGGCGTGTGTTGCAGCCTGTTGGCAGGAAGGGGCAAGGATATTTCGTGCAGACGCCAACCGGACTTTCCGAAGTGAGCAGGGGCCTTGGAGCGGTGAATGCGCTCTAAGTGGCGAAATCGGCGACCTGTCGAGCTTCATGTTCTTCCAAGGCCGAATCGTCTCATTTGTATCAAGCTGCTTTCCTTCTCTGTGCCGATGCTCAGAAGCTGCATCGCTGGCTTGCGAACTGCAATCGGTTGTCCTTATGTATTCACATTCCTTCGCGCGTCTAAGCAGCAGAAGTTCGGAGATTACCAGCAGTCCCTGGGGTCTTCTCCTCAGAGCCCAACAGAGCGAATGCGGTGACCCGGCCACGTTCCAGACAAAGGTATGTTGCAGGCTTGCTGCTGTTGTTCTTCGATCCAGCCACCTGCTTCAAGGTGCCAGATTCACTCTTCAGCTGGGAGGTTTGTCAAAGGCTGCTGTAGCTTTCATGAGACCGATGTGCCTCTCCAGGTCTTGACTGTCCTCAATGACAGTCCAAAGTATTTGCCTGGATACTGGCGTGGAGAGGCAGAGCTTAGTCAGCGAGAAGCTGCCAAGGGTGCACTTCTGCTTTTAGTGATGCTGTGCTGCTGAGCGATTCATGAGGCAACTGCCTGCGCTGTCGATGGGTATGTGTGCGAGAGCTTGCTGAAACAGCACCTCAGACAACGCTTGAAGGACTCCGTGTGGCCACTGCCTCAAGTACAGTTGTGCATTCATGCTGCCGCGCAGGAGCTTGGACTGCTGCCAGAGACCTTCGTGCAGAAGTGGTTTGCCGGGTCTGGGCCGTAGACCATAGGGTTCGTTGCAAGCGCCGTTGCAAGAAGGCATACCTGAAACTCCGTCATCGACCCGAAGCGAGGCTTTGCATCCACCATCTCCGCTATGGCGTCCTTTTCGACTTCTTGGTTCCTTCGCCATCGTTGTGCAGACGAAGTTGCTATGCGTGGGGTTGCATTTGGCATGTCAGGACAACTTCTTCCGAGATGGCAACGCTTACTTGTCATGCCTCCCTGTTTGGCAGCCAGCGGCGATGTTTCAACTGCACAGTGACCCGAACCAGGTTTCAGTTCTTTCTGGCCTTCTTCGATGAGTTTGAGGCGGCTTGCTGAGATGGTCTGCTTCCTGTCCCTCGGCCCTGATGCTCAGGCCGAGATCATGAATGCGGCTAACAACCCAGAAGCCCAGTCCCTAGCAGCCCTAGCTGCTCTAGCAAGGGCTCAATAGGGCTCCTGCGATGCTTAGCCCAATGTGTGCAGGCCAACATGCTGATACGCTTTGAATCCGCTCCGCAAGAGCGCCTGGCGAAGGTTGTGAAGGCCTCCTCCGCTAACAGACTTGGGTGCTCTTGTGCGTCCTTGAGCATTGCATGTGTGTGTGTGTGCGCAGAGGCAGCCACCGAGGAGAGATATACCGAGAGAGTGAAGTCGTCCGCGCTTCAGACATGGCCTTGTGTTCACTGGGTACACTGGGCGCACCGTGGTCGCACTGGGTCGCACTGGGCACCTGGTGCATGTTTGTTGACCCTGCTTCGGCAGGCTGAATGTTCATCAGTGTCGCATTACAGCCTTTCAGGACAGATTTCCAAGGGTTTCGTATGACACTTGCATGCCTTGCCGTATTGCTGTCTGCATATGATCTTGATCGTCGTCGCTACGTCATCTGCAACCTGACCAGGACACGCTGTCACGAAGGCTGCAAAGTGCCAATGAGGGTATGTGGTCTGCCGGGCTTAGTTGTACAAACAAGAGTGCAGCACCACATGAAATCTGGAGATGCGCCAGGCAAAAGATGGACGATGGCATTACCTTCTCGGATGAAGAAGATGGATGACATATATACTCCACACGCCAATGGCAAAAACCGAACCGCGTGAGTCTGGTTGCGAGTTGGCTTCTCTTGGTTTTTGTGCAGACGTTCTTAATGCCGCAGCAGGTACAGCAGGCTACCCATAAGAAACAAAACGCAGTCGCAGCTATTCTTCTTCTAGGCAGCGTATCTGGAACACATAGCTGACAGAAAGCCTTCGCGCTCATGTGGCCGATTAAGCCAAGAGTTTGATTTGCAGCTGTCGTTGCAAGGTACGAGGGCGGGAGGGTTCTCGGCGTTCATTCTCCATACGAAATCGTGGTGCTTCGTTTGGGGGGCAGCGTACCAGAGATGGACATTGGCCGAGAGTCAGAGCCGGATCCCATACTTTCTCCCACTGGTTACGTCGTGCAGAATGTCTCCGCAAACGACTTACGAGCATTCCTGCTGACCAAAGACGCTGCTTCTCTCAGCATCTCTTGCTCCTGGGTTTGTGTTTGTTTGCCCGTGTGCTTCTGTACATGTCTTTAGAACACCCCGCGCTGCAAACTCGAACTCGCCAACCGGTTAGCTTCATCAGCATGCCGGCTGCCTTTTGCCGTGCATGACCCCCCTTGGAGCAACTCGGCATGTAAAATATTAACATCTCAAGCTTTTCAGAGCCGATGTTTTTGCCAGCCCCATACTCATAGCCCATAGAGCTGCTTCGGGAAGCCGCCAGCGGCGAACCGGGGACCACGCCCCCACCCACACTTTGACATGGACCTTGCCTACTTCTATAAGGAACACAATACTGATGATGACAATAATCGTCATAAGAAGAACAATAATAGTAGTAATGACAATAATCCTGTGAATCGGGCCACTTGTTCTTCCACCAGGCGAGTGGTCACGCGAACGTCCCTTTTCCATTCATTTCCTTCCAGTTCTTATGGTTTGAGCGAGTTTCCATAGAGTCGTCCACGTTGGTCGGTGACGCGCCTCGCCTCTGAGCATATTCCGAGCCGTCGAGAAGAGTGAGAGGGATGATTTTCAGATAAACTTTCGTGAGGATCCAGTCAACAGCTCTGGAGTCTGCTGTCTGCTTCTGCCTATTCTTTAACTCAGAGCTCATGGCCCATGCATGATATTACGAACAACCAAGAGGCATACCGAAAAACAGATTTAGCTAGGACCGAAAGATGTCAAATCTCGGCTACGCATTTTTTGATAAACAGCTCAAATTCAAATACAGGATTCGAGAATTTGAAGGTGAGCCTGTCGACATGACTTTTCCTCCGCGTTCGGATCATGCCATGGATATTGACATTCCGTCTATAGGTTCCAGCGACCGCAAAGCATTCCGAAATTTCCTTACAGGCAGCGCAGAATCTCGTGAAGCCGTTTCGAGACCGAATGCCGACGTACTAACCGTTGCAAGCCATCGGCAGAGTATCCTGTAGCCACTATGTTCCAACTATCTTGCTTTGTACAAGCTTTATGTGTCGTGCCTTCGCAAGACAGCTCAGCTTTCCCCTCTTTCAGGCTGATGAGCTTGTCTTGATCCAATGGCCGCCATGGGTTGAAGGCGCGCACCTCTCTCCGCCACTGTACCTCACCAGCCTCTCATTTGCATACTCCGGCCCAGGATGTCGCGGCAGGAGTTCCTCTCAGTGTGGAGGGGAGTTGGCCTTGGGCGTGAGGCCGATCGCTTGCTTCGATCTCGCTTGACTTGCTTTAAACAATTGCATCTTTCGACGATTGTACGATGAAGAACTCCGGCAGTTGCCCAGCCACCCTTGGGGCTCAAGATGATAAGCGGTGCAACAAGACATGCCACGCAGTGGTTGCCTGGCACATAGCTCATCCCAGGCTATCAAGAATCTGCAGACTCAGCACAGACAGCCCTGTCGAACAGTTCATTGTGGAAGCATCCGGCATGGCGCGCAGCTTCAGATGCAGCCCTTACGTCATTCTCTGGCTGGAGCTGGTGTGCATGGCCTAGCCTTACTGCGACTTAATGCTGCAAACAAGCAAGCGTGTCAAAGATCTGCTTAGTGGCTAGTGTCTCAGGCTCGGGTCGAATGCAGAAGCTGAAGCTGACGCCATCGCAAAGGTGTACGAGCTAAACGGAGGCTGCTTGCATGTTTTTTGGGAGCTATCGTCAGGCACAGGAGCTGGCGCACGCGTGAGCAGTCTCGCAGATGGTTCTGCTTTTGCAGAGGGGAGCTGAGGAAACTTCGACTCAATTGTCCGTGCCTTGCCTTGATTTGCAGCGTGATCACAATTGTGATGGCCCGCGGCGCGCACAGACAAGATGTGTTTCCACTTGAGACAGCCAGTGTGTTCGTTGATGCGTGGATTCATGTAAGGCAATGGGAGCGAAAACCCGTGGTTTGCAACGCTCTCAGTTTGCAGATAGGCACATCTCTACGGTTGTCAAGTGGCAGAACCCATTTTAGTTTAGTGGCTCATCAAGCAGTATGTTTAGTGGTTTAGGCCCGAAGCCAAGGTCAAGTTTCATGCGCCTTGGTGTGGGCACTGCAAGAAGTTGGCCCCGGTCTGGGAGCAACTTGCAGAGAAGTTGGAAGGCTCGTGCAAGTTGAAAGATGGTCCGATCGCAGCCGAACATATGTGCAGGCAAGGTTGCGTTGGCCAAAGTGGACGCAACCGCGGAGGACCCGTCATTGAGTTCTGCACCCTCGTAGCTTTGCAGTTCGCGGTTTTCCCACAAGCAGTCGTGACCCGCAACCCGTAAGTCGTAGCTGTAACTTACCAACTCCAGCACTGTGTCCTTGGAGAATGTGCTGCTTGTGATGGTGTAGCCCACAAGCCCATAACCATCTCGTTGGAAAGCTGCGGAGTTGGTTCAGAGCTGCATTTGCCTCACTGTACGGGTGCAGAGTGCCGGTGGTGCTGCATATTGCTGCAGATTGCTATGGCTACTTGTTCGACTACTGATTGGCTACTCTTAGCCATCGATTGAGCTACTAGTATCGAACTGTGCAATCGGAAGGGTGTGGTGCCCTTTTTGGAAGCTACTCCTGTGTACAAACCTTTGGCCACGCTGCCCTGGTCGAAAGCGTTGTTAAGTTCAGGTTCCTTGTGACCTTGCTGGATTTCCTGAGCCGGAAACTCTGAACCCTGTAAGAACAGAGCGGAAAGACACAAGCAGGATGTGGGAACTCTTATGGAGTCGTCTAAAGGATAGGCCATGGGGATCGGAGCCCATCACAAAAAGGAATCCTTGTTGAACAACTAGCTTATGGTTGTTTTGGGGACAAGTGTTTTGAACAACTGCACCAATGTGAGCGCCACGTTGATGCGACTGCTTTTAGCCCTTCTGCACTGCGGCTGTGCTCTGGTTGTGCCCCATGGAGCTTTGTGATGACGTATTGGAACACCCTTGAGCGCAGGAAGGATTGGCGTACGAGTGGGAGATCGAAGGTGCCCATTTCTTTTGTGTCCAGTCCCCTCTTGTTCTTGCTTGCACTCTTTTGCCTAGCCGCTTTGGCCTCAAGGATACCCCACGTTGATCCTGATCGCAGATGGAAGCCGTTATCGGTTTCGAGGGTCTAGGCAGGCCTGAGTCATTGCAAGCACTATGAGCCAAGTTCGTCCTTTGCATGTTTGCAGTGGTCCCAGCGAAGATCTGGCGAAGCGCTTGTTTGTGACCTGACCTTTGTGGGATGCAGGACGCTGGAAAGCCTCGAAGCATTTGCTCTCGGAGGCTATCGAGAATTGCCGCAGGCTGGGTCGCTTGGGTAACATGTTTTCTTCCGGAGTTTGCTTTCTACCGAACATCTGGCCGTATCTCAAGACGACATATGTGAAATCTGTTTGAGCGAGGAATCGCCGACGGGTGGGCCTGCAAGAAGCTTTTGGGCTGCACTTGAACACTACTTGAACCTTTTTTTTTTTTACGTTCACTGCAGGTTCGCCTTTTGACAGGAATGCCACCAATTGATGTTACGGCTGTTGCCTCATGAACTCTTCTTGAGGCGCCGATGCATTTGGGAGTCCAGATGTCCTGGCGCTGTCAGGCCACGAGTAGCAAAAGCGTCACTGCAACATTGTCGGCTCAGTGGACGATGTTTTGCAGAGGCGACTTTGACTCAGTAGTGAGAGCTCCAGCCGCGACGGTGCAGCGGCCTTGATGCCACTTCTGGATCCTAAAGATTGTAAAGGCTCGTGCTCTTTGGCCTTTCCAAGTTCAACTGAAGGTTCGTTGTCTTCTACCTTCGTGGCTGCGGGCACTGCAGGAGAGTCTTGGAGTGCACCGCTTTGCCATCATTTGAGAATAGTGCAGGGATATGGAGGGCACCTGGGGTGCTTTGGCCAAAGAGCTGAAGAACCAGGCCTGGAGAATCCTGTGGACTTTGGGGGTGGTCATGCTTTTGTTTTTGGGGTGGTTCAGGTAAGGGGACCCTCTTACCCAAACGAAGTCCTTTAAACTTCCTTGCCAGGTAGTGGTGGCCAGTGTGGATGCTCTTGCGAACCGCCCCCTCGCAGAGCGTTGGGGGGTGGAGCGTTTTCCCACCATCAAGCTTGTGACAGGCCTTGCCTTGCAAGGTTCTGTCATATCTAACTTCGGAGACGAGCCGATGTTTCTTCATTGCCAGGCGGGCGAGTCTACGATTTCGAGGGTGCACGAACGTTGGAGGACCTGAAGGTGCCCATTTCCAGACGCTGCAGTTCCAATGCCACTGAGACTGCCACTGCATCCCCTGCTACCAGGCCTTTGCGCTTGAGGGCTTCAGCTTGGCGAATCCGGCTTCGCTGCCACCGCTGGCATCAGAAACCCAGCAAGGCGCTTCGGTCATGGCGTGATTCGGGGCGAGGCGTGCTTTGCCAGTTTTGCGCTCTCAAGCTCTAAACCCTAAACCCTAAACCCTAAACCCTAAACCCTAAACCCTACACCCTACACCCTACACCCTACACCTTAAACCCTAAACCCTGACCACTTAGGGACTCAGAGGCATTCGGGATCCTTACACCGGGCCAAGGTCTCCAAGGAGGTCCCCTGGTCAAAGCACCCTCTTCTCCCGCTTTGCGTACATGAAAGGGGTTTTGGCAAAGCAAACGCTATGAACGCACAGGCGCTGAGATATTCGGATGGTGACAGCACATGCGTTCCAGCAGCGATTTCTTGAAAACATGTTCATCACAGCATCACACGCACTGAGAATGACTTGACCTGCACCTACTAACATCCATTTTCTCCCAGTGTCATCGGGCCGCCGTGTGCGAGTGCCGTCTACAGTCTGAAGAACTTGCATCAACAGCTACATCAGCCTCTCTTCGCGGTCGCACGTTCCAGTCTTGCAAGGTTCTCTCCGCATCGTCCGCCACGTGTCACGCGTTGGGCATGTTGGACATACGGTTTTCTCAACCAGGTATAAAGTCAACCCTGGCTGGTGGGTGCCCGCCCCACTGAGAGTTGCCCTTGGTTCAGATATTTTCTGCTTCTAAGCTGTCTTGCGGTCCGTCAACTGTCGTGGTGGCTGTCTGTCCCATATTGTATTGCGACTTCGGACTGCTTCTGCCTTGTCAGATGAGATGTAGAGAGCTGTGTCTTCTGCTACGAGTATCGCTGAGTCAGGCAGTCCTTCGGATGCGAGTCAGATGCATCTAGCCCGCGCACTCAGCAAGAACTTGGATGCATCACCTGAACAGCTTTTTGAGATGCGCCCAGGTGATTGGCTTCGTGCTTGGCATGCTATTTGCTGGAGCCCTGTGGGCTTTGTATTTGTGCTGCAGGCGTGGTGACGTGTCCGATCATGTCACAAGTGCAGTCAGATGATGTCAGATACTATCTGCTGGCAAGTGCACAAGTGCAATGACAAGAGCTATCCTGCCAGTCGGAGCCCACCTGAGAGCCAGACGCAAGCTGCAAAGAGCACGAAGTCCGAGTAAGCAGTTGAAAAGCGCCGGGCAGCGGTGGGCACGCCAGCTGAATGTGTATGGTGTCGCAGTCAACATTGCAACAAGATCTCGGAGCAGTCGCAGTAGGCTGTTTGGCGAGGCATGGGCATGGCATTCCTGCGTGCTGCGCAGGCCTCTGCGACAGATGTTACATGATAATATGTCTATCTATATTTGGGCGTGCTGAGGCCATGGGAACTCAGGGAATGGAGCGCACTATGGGTCTTCACTGACGCCGCCCCCGCTCCAGCTGGGGTCGGCGGATATACAGATATGTTTAAATATGTATGTATGAATGTATGTACGTACGTACGTATGGTCTCGGGCTCCCGGGCCCCACCCCCCTACCCCGCCGACCCGGCCCCTACCCGCCCCCCTACCCGCCCCTGGCTGTGGGCAGCTTAACTTATGTAAAAATTCCCTGACAAGGCTGATGATTGGCGACCACCTCCGACCTGGCTGCCTTTTTGGCTCTCAGAGGGGGCTACGCAAGACATGCCTGTTGGGTCACCACATGTCAAAACCGAGATGAGCATTGTAAAGCGCTGCTCTTTGGAACTTCGTAGCGGTTTTATGTACGCACCCACCGCTTTTCTACGAGGTATCCATGTACTTCGTTCGCTGCTTGAAAAAAAGGGGTGCGAGTGATCGCTTCATCCATGGCCGGTGCTGCATTTCTTTGAGATCTGCCTGGGCCCTGGACCAGACCTTCAAACAGGTTACGTTAGCCCAAGCTCGGGCTGACGCTACTCTGCAGTTGGATGGAACAGCAGGCAATCCCAGCATGTTGAAGAGCGTGTTCAAGCTATACAGAAGCTGTTGGGGTCACAAGCGCTGCGATTTCTGGTCAAGCCGATCAGCCATTGGAGGCTGAAGTCGGGTAATGGTCGAGAGAGTGGAGGCATTGCCTCAGGAGTGTCGGTGACAGAATGTCCGCCTGGCGCACCAAGAAGGCCCTCATGTCGTTGATGAGACCGTGGATGCTTCGCAGACGAGGGCGCGCTATCAAGCCCTGACGACTCGTGATGTGGACAGGGATGAGCCCTTGGAGCCAGCCGCTGGAGCTCGAACCTCGAGCTCAGGTCAGATGGGTTTCTTGATACCAAGAACTACTACACCGGCGAGCTGACCGATCTGGATGGCAGGCTTGGAAGTTCCGGGGTGGGTGTCCCGCTTGGGTTCCTACCTACATATTCCCAACCAGGAGGAGTTCTTGCCCAGCCCTTTGGCTGGAAGTGTGGGTTCATCGGCCTCGAACAACGCTGGTGGAAGCCCGTTTATGCTGCGACCGCCTGCAATAGGGTGAGCTTGCGCAGGTCGGTCGCAGGCAAGTTCTCCGGTGGTCCGCAGGAAGCAACTCAAGCAGAGGTGCAGAGACAGTTGGGAGGTATTTTGGAACAGCTGTAGAAGTCTGAAGATAGGGCCCAAAGATTGGAGCAGGAATTGGAGCAGGCAAGAGCAACCTCGTGGTCGCCGTGTGTGCAGCCTGGAGAACCACCGCTACCAATTCCTCCTTTTTGTGGAGTTCTGTACCGCCTCAGCCTCTTACCGCCCAACGAAGCCCTGTAGAATGCCCAGGTCCGATTGAACCTCCCGCCACTCAAGAAGCAGGTGGCAACCGACGAGCGCATGGTGGTGTGGGTTTTGGGGCACACGGGCAACAGCCTCCTTTGGAACAGGGAGGGTCTCGTTGACGGGAGAGCCACCTAGCTGGTTTTCTGAGAATTTTTTGTGGTCCTAGGCCATCGTCGCAATCTCCTCCAAGGGCGACAGCCCGAAGCAATGAGAATGCTGTCTTGAACGGATTGACTAAAGGAATGCAACAGCTCCAGGAGCTTCAACTCAAGGCGCTTCCAATCTCAACCGTTGCAGACCAGATGGAAGTGGTGAAACCAGGAACAGCAACACTTGCGCAGTTGCCGGATTACCCGTAGAGTGGAGCAACAGCTGTTGGCGCGTTTCAGGATTGGTCGGAAGTTGCCGCCGCAGTCCTTTCGGATGTGAGCGAGCAGAGCGGAGTATGGTGGAAGCAGGTAGCTGATCTCGTCACCGCGACTTACACGCAATGGCTAGCTGCAACTCCTCTGGAACGTCTTCAGAGAGTGCCAGAAGGTGAGCTTCCTCTATGCCAGGGCAAATGGACACGTGTGTCTCAAGTATGCTGCTGGCGAAGGACGATCTCAGCTCTGACATGGATGGACAGCGGATTACTTAACAGAACACCATGAATGCTGTTCAGGCTGTGTGTTCTCTGCCAACGAGGTGGAAGTGCTGAAAGGTCAGACGTCCTATTTTCGAGTACAAGCTCCTGCCGATTTCCTTGTTCAGGACACCTTGGAGGAAGTGCTGGCCCTGGCCAAGGTGGTTGGCGCGTTGCGAAATGGCGGGAATCTCGCCTCCGGACGCTACTGTTTTGGTGAAGGGATTGACTTCCCTTACCGCCAAAGACATTGCCTCTTCGACACGAACTGCACTGGTTCGCACCACCGTGAGGCTGGACACCCAGCCTTCCTTAGAGCAAACTAAGGCCTACCAGAAGCGCTTGCAGGTCTGGATGCAGGAGAGGCCTGAAGCGCAATTATTCCCACAACATGTCCGGCCTTGACAAGGATCTTCGCGTTCGGAGTGTTTGCGGCGCCGGAGTGAATCGCACAGGCCAAAGGCCTGCGCTGCCCACAAGCAGCAACCCAAGGCCAAATCACAGCCGAGCTCACCGCAAAGTCCAACGCAGGGGTCGAAGGGTGGAGAAGAAGCCGCAGCTGAGGTTGCTGCGATTACCCTCAGCCACCAACAGGAACCACTTCGTCACCTTCGACTTCGGTTGCGCAAGGGGTGCCTTGGACATTGGAAGCCCTCGCAAGCTGCTCAACAAGTGGCGCAGGGCGCAGGGGCAAGGAACCGGAGTGGAGTGGTGGAGAAGGATGTTAGGTTGTGCTCACCGCGAACTTCATTAGTGGCACTTCTGGGCACAGGGGCAACGCGCAGTCTTCGTTGTGCCACTACAGACCAGGAGTGGTTCGAGGTGGAAGATGGCTCGCTGGAGACTACGCCCTGAGGATGAGCGTTTCACCAATGGGCACTTTGCTGATGCCACCGAGATCAGCTGAGGCCAAGGCGACAGAGCACAGATGATAGTGCTAGTCGGTGAGCTTGTCAAGACGCCTGGATACTCCCTCCTGTGGCTATCTGGAAGATGGATGCCCTCACCTATGCGAAGCAGAAGCTTGTCGCGAATAGCACGAATCGAGGAAAGGAAGAGGGAGCAGCTGGAGAATGCCGCGATAACCGCTGGTGACAGACTTGGGGTCGCAGCAGCTTCCTTGGACAAGGGATGTTTCGACTATCTCCTGGACTATGTGAAGACAGGACCTGCTGAGCGGGGACGTCTTTGAGGTCGTGCCCCAGCGATTCCACAGATTTTCAAGTTACAAGAATAGGGTGTAGCTCAAAGGGTTTATGAAGACGCGCGCTCCCCTGACCCTCCAAGTAGTCGTACCACGAGAAGATAATCTTTTCTGTGCCTATGAAGGATTACCAGTCCAAACCTCTGTCCAAGGGTGATGGAAAGGAAAAGAAGAACAAGGGAAACCCAAAAGGCGGAAAGGGAAGTGAAAAGGGCAACAAGGACCAGCCCAAGGGGAAAGGACAAGAGGGCGAAGGGCGACGATAAAGGTAAGGGAAAAGGTGACAAGAACGACCCGAAGAAGGGAAAAGGGATTTTTTTGTTTTTTTTGGGGGTCCATTTTTTGGGGATTTTCCTAGAAAAACCTCTATTCCATCTATATGTTGTTTCCTTAGGGATCCATGGGAGGATGGGGGGTGGTAGCTAGAGACCATGTATGTATGTATGTATGTATGTATGTATGTATGTATGTACGTACGTACGTACGTACGTACGCACGTGCGTGCGCGCGTACGTACGTATGTATGTGCGTGTGTTATCACATATATATATATATAGATATGTGTACAGATATATAGATTTTTAGATGTATAGATGTATAGATGTATAGATGTATAGATGTATATATATATAGACATATAGATATATCGATATATAGATATACCGATATATAGATATATCGATATATAGATATATAGATATATAGATACATAGATATATAGATATATAGATATATAGATATATAGATATATAGATATATAGATATATAGATATATAGATATATAGATATATAGATATATAGATATATAGATATAAAGATATCTAGATATATATAGATGTATAGATATATAGATATATAGATGTATAGATGTATAGATATATAGACATATAGATATTTTTGTTGGTTACTCCAAAAGGGAACTCACTTTTGAACTCATCTGAAGCGGCAGGGGGAGGCTCAGCGGACTCTTGGCCCGGCCAAGATTCTGCACTAGCCAAGGTACATGCCTTTGCTTGTTGGGGTTTGATTTGGCATTTCTCTGGATGGCTGCCTCCGTCTGTGAGGGTTAGAAAGTTACCTGAACAGTTCATGAGGTCGGCAGCGTCCACGACAGGCAGCTGTGATGCGGGAGAGGGGCGTTTGGTTATTGCCTGTTCCTTGCAGGAAGATACCAAAGGAATCTCTGCAACTAAGTCGACCGACTTTGCAGCATGGTACACGCAGGCCTGGTTTCAAATCCGTAGGTTTGGATGGAGGAGTCGTTGCAGTTGCTTCAGGTCATCACCCGATCGGAGATGATTGAGTACTACGACGTAAGTGGGTGCTCCGACCCCAATTTTCTGATCTTCAGAGGTCTGTGCACTCAACACATCATCCTGAAGGTTGCCAGAATCGTTTTGTTGCAGCCTCAGCAGGTGCTATATTCTGCGACCATGGTCCTTCTTCATTTGGCAACAAATCCACAGATGGCGGATGACTCAGAGTAGGCCGAGTAGGCTGCACCATGTCTGAAGTAAACCGACATACCGTCGCAGTCAGGCTCGATGGCAAGATCCAAGAGCTTGGAGTTCAGAATGCATACTTCCCTTGCTTCGTGAGCCAGGTGTCTTGCGGATGCAGTGCACAAGCAACACAAAAACAACACAAAAGCAACGTGTTGGAGAAATGCCTTGACCCAGCGGAGGAGGCCCTACGAGCGGAAGAAGAGCACGTGGAAGGCTTTGCTCCAGAGGCCGGGCCAGTCTCTACGGATCAGCATACAGTGATGTGTTTGATGTGTGTGTTTGCAGTATGGGGCACGCATAGTGTGTTTGAGGTTTTTGGGGAAGGTGAGGGTTCCTCGCAGTGTGACGTTTCTTGGGAGGTTGCCTGGGTCACCAAGTCAGGGACTTCGGAGCTGACGAAGCCGGTGCCTCCTCCGTCGTTTTTTGGCCCGCTGCGTGAGAGAGGAGAGGATGGTGCTGTGCAGATTGCCATACGGCCGACCAGTGAGACCATCATGTGCTCGGGCTCAGACTCAGCAATCTTGTACTGCTTGTGCTGGGGCCTGTGCTGACTTGGGGCTACGTCGGTTTTTTTTGTACTTCTTTTGGTGCTTGGCCCTCCGTGCCGGAGGTATCCATCGTTTGCCAAGTGGATTCGCTCCCACCGTGACCTTCCATTGCACCTCGCTCTGTATCTAGAGCTTTCTCGGAATCTTTGTCGCAGTTGCTGCGCAGATCAGGCAGTTGAACCAATGGACCAATGTCGTGCGATGGCATCTCGATTGAAACTACGTAGGGATGAGGATGAGCTCGCATGAGGTGTAAGTGTAAATGCCATGAATGCGCCGCTGCGCAGGGAGTTCAAGCAGCCCACCCCTTTCCTTCGAACTCGGGAGTTCTTGTGGCAGGCACGGGGCGCATCTTGCTGCCCTCGCTGTTCAGAGCTCCGCCGCAGGAGGGACACACCGCGCATTCCACCGAGGAGGAAGCAGCGCATCTCGTAAGGTCCGCGCTGGACCTTTACTCATGCGTGCGCTCCGCCTGCAAGTCGTTGAGGGCATCTTGGTGGACATGAGAGTGAGGCCATCCGGCGCCTATCTGCTTTGCCAGTCCCCGTAAGGTACACTGATCTTCTAGCACTGCCGGTCATCAAGGGGGTAAAGTCCCTTGAGGTGCCTGTCGCAGGGTTCTCAAGATCACAGCACCAGACGATAATATGTTCGTCTCGCGGCCTTTCCTGATCGTGTTTGTGGGAAGGAAAAGTTTGCGGGCAGCGTTTACACCGAGACGCTTGAAGCCTTCATTCCTGCAACTGGGCGCGGAATTCAGGCTCGCTTCGCCATGTTCCCCACGAACATATCACGCTTTCGAGAGCTAGAGCAGGCAGCGACATCCCACTACCTGGGGCAGAACTTTGCCAAAATGCGGGGGCTCCCAGCAAAGCAGCGCCTCGGGCCTATAGGGCCCCGAGCAGGGTCTCCGACCCTCCTAACATGCTGTGAAACTGGAACCTTTCGTGACCCATGCTTTTAGGAACCGAGATGCACACTTTTGCCTGACCGGCGTGCACAATCCTCATGCGCCAGTGTGAAGAATTCCACTGTAAAGCCCAAAAGATGGACTGCTGGAGGTCAGCATGGCCAAACGAGCCAATGTATGCAAGTCCACGGAGCTGGGTCGGAGTTTGTCGAAGTTTTTGCGCCGGCACTTCAGACTGATGCGGACGGGTGCTCAAGGCTAACTTGATCGGGCATGCCGTCATGCTCCATCCAGGCCACAGCATTGAAGTACGTGGTTGAAAACATATTTGTCATAAGTTTTCAATCCAAGAGATACCGTGTGGGAAGGCCGGGCTTTCCGGCATGAAACGTCGGAGGCCGCAGGTTCCACTGTTGCACCGGCGCGAGATTCAAGGACATCAGAAAGCGACCACATCGACTGGGAAACGTCCAGCAAACGCCCAAAAGCAATGCAGCCCCATGGCGCTTTGGACAGCTAAAGGGCGCCCCCCTCAACCAACAATGGAGTTTCCAGTGGCACTGGGCATCCACTTTCAAGCCACTTCGACTTGTTGAAGGATGGCAAATGCATGACCCAGTTGCTGTACAAAACAAACCACGCAAACCGAGTCAGCAATCACATGCGTTTTTGTGGCACATCTGGCTAATCGTGACAGCAATTTAAGCACAGTGATAGCCACTGATAAAGACAGTTCTACAGGTCTGGAGGCCGGGAAAAGTTGGGCCAATCCTACCCTTCAGAGCACTGCAGGTTTGGTATTCGCTTTGAGGATGACTCGGGCCAGAAGCAGCTCGTGCACCAGCAGAGCACTTGGAGCTCGTTAGCAGCTGAATCCTCTTGCCTAACGGATGATCGTTTCATTGAAGTTTCCTGACCCAGGACCTGTTGGGGTTTCACGACTCGCTGCATTGGCATCATGATCATGGTCATGACCTCGGCTTTACCCCATGATGCAACGACTGCAACGTTCCGAAATCAGGGGGTGCCCTTTTGAAGGTTTCCGAGAATAAGGATTATACTCTTTTGGGGGTACTTATGAAGGGTACCCCTATAATAAGGATTATACTTTTTTGGGGGTTCCTACAATAAGGATCATACTGTTTAGGGAAAGGCCCCCCAAGTAGTCCCTGAGGGAAACCCAGCAGCTGGTCTCCAGGTCCACGGCGACGACCGTGGCCTGGTCCTTCCCCCGCGGGTGGCTCCGACGCAGGTGCCTTGGGGGCTTTTCATTTTTTCAGTTCACCACACTTTGCTTTTGGGATGTGTTCCCCCTTATACTAGCAGTCCCTAGAATAGGGATGATAGTATTATGGTGCCCCCTACTATAATCTCTGGACTGTTGGTATAAGGGGGAACATCCCAACACATTGCTCTGCTACATTTACTTGTTGAGATGCTCTCTGCAACCTCATTGATGCGACAGGTCGTGCTCATTCCCATTCCTGGAAAGGAGCATGCAGGCTGCGGAGCGTACTCGTAGCGACTGAGTACCCAGCACACGTTCGAGATGGCAAGAAACAATTTCCAGAAGCTGGGCGAAGCCTTCCGTCAATGCTTGGCAATGCTGGCTTGCAGGAATGCTGGTGGACAAGACAAGTGTTTGTGCCAGTTATCATATAAGCCTCGCATACGACCGAGCTAGAACCTTACTCGGAGCTTCTAAGTGGTTTATCCTCAAGCATTCCAACACTTGCTTATCCTGCGCCAACATGATACTCAACGGACCCCCCCCCCCCCCAGGACCCCCCCCCGCCTATTTCATGATAGCAAGCCTCGAAGTAAGGATCTGACGGAAGGGTTTGTTCTGAGGCCCAAGCCTCAAAATGGTGAGGGTTGGATACGTTTCTATACGTACGCAATGAGCTGGCACAGCATCCTCGGTGTTGGATTCGATGCTGGATATGCGGACATTCGTGCTGCATTCAAGCGGCGTGTCCTGGAAGCCCACCCGGACAAGGGAGGTAGCGCGCAGGAGTTTCAGCAGATCATGCTCGCTTTCGAGCGAGCAACTTGCGCGGTTCCCACAGAGAGTTCAAGCTCACACAAGACACATGTTGGACCTTCACAGGCGAACGCTGCGAACAGTACTGCGAACATGCGGACACGTGGCCCCTTCACTGGATGGTTCTCGCGAGTCTCACAAGCAGGAGGCAAGTCGGGCAGCGTGCGGCAGCCCTGGGACGTGGGTGCGGCACATGCGAAGCACAACGCAAAGCAGCAAACCACGCATACGACAACACCTCCGAGGGGCAGGCTGGGGCACGGCAAGCAGAGTACTCTACGCCAGCTGCATGCTTGCCTGCAAAGACTTCCTCGTGAAGATCGTCAAGTAGCTTTAAGGAAGCACCTAAAGCAGCGGCACCGTCTGGCATTGGAGGCATGGATAACTTCAACCCGTGAACAGGAGCCTCCACGACCGACCCCATCAAGCAGGACTTCGGAACGGACCATGTTTGTTCGCAAAGGTGTGAAGCATCCTCAGGCAGCTGTTGGTGAGAATGAAGAGGTGCTGCTTGCAATTACAGATGTTGCCGAGCATTTCGAAGTCGAGGGCATTGAGGGCGTAGACGGCGTCGATGCCGATGTACTTCCCGACAGACGACAGCGTCTGCAGAAAGGCATCATCAAGCGGCAGGGGCGTGCCTCTTTGTACTTCGTTCTTGTCGTTGTCAGCAATATCGAACTTTTCTCTGCCGGTACTGCTGACTTGGCCAGCGCCGTTGACCTACACATTGCACTGACAGCACTGAAACGTCAGATCGCAAAGCAACCTGCCCTCATGGACAGACTTGATGAGGAAGTGGTTCTTGCTTTGCAGGAACAGGACATCACCACTAGCCAGGCCCGCTTAAGGCTGCGTATCCACTTCCCGGTACATCATTGGACAGGTCGAGGCCTGCGGTCTCCAACCTACTCTTGGGCCGAAGTGTCGACAGCGCTTGCCGTGTGGAAGAAGCTCCAGCACGAACGACTTGAGTATACCGGTCTCGGTGCGAAAAAGGGTGGAGTTTATTTTCTGCACACCCCAGCTTCGGTCGAACGTGCGTGGCAGATGATCTCGGAGACTTACATTGAAGCGTGGGGAGCTGCTGGCTGGGACAAGCAAGACCTGCAAGCAAAGCTCGATGCGATGCGCAATGGTCATGCGACGAGCAACAGCTGCCAGTTGACTGCTTGGAATCAGTACCGAATGGAGTGCGAGGATCGTAGGCAGCGGCTGCTTGAGCGTGTCATGCGCCAATGCGAAGCTCGAGAAAGGCGCGAGTTGGCGAAGGAAGACCGACGAGCTGCACAGATCCAGGCAAAATCGAACAGACTCCTCTTCAAGATTGATCGTCTTATCGCTTGCTTGGAAGCCCGCCCAGCAAAAAAATGCCACAGGAAAGGTGTCGGAACAGACACCCCGGCAAACAAGAGCAGGCTCATGCGGAGAAAACTCTCGTGAGCACCAGTTTTTCGAAGACTGATCGGACATGGGCGAAGGCCAATGCTCGTGGTCAGTTGAGTACCGGACTTGCAGGACTCCTCGAACGATCCGCATGAACCTTTCGCAGCACTGGAGCTGGCCTTGAGGGAGATGACGGGTGCGGTCTGCAGATGGCTTGCAGCCACGACTTTCCGACTTTCCGTGCCAACGGAACGACATCCACTGGCATCTAATAACGCGTGGCAGCATCTTGGATCTGGCATTCCGATACGCCGAGGAGCTCTCCAGGGAGCTGAGAAGACCACGCAGAGAGCCATGCAGTGCCATGCAGAGCCGTGCAGAGCCGTGCAGAGCGCGGTTGGACAAACTGATGCCAAAAAGAGCGATGTAAGAAGTTATCGTGTCGTATCGCTGCTTTCGCAGCTGATGAGCAGGTATCGAAGCTCGCTGCCGCGAGCTGGCTTCTGCACTAAAGGACCGTGGCATCCGCGCCGAGGCTGCCGATAGAAGTCTAGGAGCCGTTTCGGTGTGTACGGGGTGCAGTGGAAGGGTGCTGGTGCTGAGGAGAGTGTCCCCCATTGTCTGCTTCGAAGGTGGATGCGCGACAGACCTATACGCCAGGCTGGAAGTTCAACTGGTCGGCGTCCTGTCATCGGAGCCAGCAATCCGGGCAGGCAAGTGCGTGCTCTCTGTTTATGGTGATTTTGCCATGCCTAGGTGGGAGATGAAGGGTGTGCCTCTGAGGGTTGAGGTTCGTCTGTGCCGCAAGTGATGCGCCTGTCCCGATTCCGGCTTGAAGGCGCTTGGATCTGCCAGGTTGGGCCCAAAGACATGGCCCAAGGAACCTGTCGTCTGGCTCGCCGCTTTGATGGCTTAAAGAAGGACAGGTGAGGGGGCGGGGGTGTAGCAAGCACAAAAATGCACAGTCGTGCATGAACGATGCTTGAGTTGCCCTAGGATGTCGACCAAGCCCAATTGTCCAGCTGCATTCCTGCAGAGCTGGATCAGATCCACGAAGCCATGCTCGAGAAGGCCAGATGTGAGCGGCCGCGGAGATACATAAACGCCCAGATGTCTTTGGAGGCAACCCGGCACAGGGATGATGGAATTGCCACTGTCACGCGCTGGGACGAGGCCAGAAAAGCAAAGTGGCATGAAGCTGCATGTCACAAGCGGTCGCTTTTCGGCCTTCGGCCAGGTCATGCCAATGCTGAATCAGAGAAAGCTGATTCTGGCTCCTTGGTGCGAGTCTGCCGAGCGTTTGCCTTGGGCGGGTCAGAAAGACCCCGACTTGCAGTGACAGCGGCGAGCGAGCCTTGTTTCTGTCGCACCATGGCGGTACTCGAGTGGAGGTCGGAAGCAGAGATCCGGAGCCGAACGAAGGAGGAGGCCCCGGCCTTTCTGCACACCATACAGACATGATCTACTTCCGACATGCGATATTTCGCAGGCACCGAAGCCTGGTCTCTCTTCCGTGGGGTCCTCGCTTGTCGCGTTTGTGTCCTAAGGGGGTGGGAGGGCTGAGGAAGAGCAGAAGGTCTTTGTGTTGAAGAGTCGGGGTTTTCGGCACGGCAGTGGGCAGCTGGAAAGCGGCTCCAGGACGCAGCTGAGACAGCGACCATCCTGGCCTGCGCAGCAAAGTTGTTTCATGGGTTCACAGGGTGTACATATACACGTTGTTCAGAGATTTCTTCCGGCTTGCCCATGACAGACCGGTGCAATGAAGAGTCTCTGCATTCCGCCTGAGCCCCTGCACGTGCAAAGGCAATTTGTGTTTGTATTGTGCAAGTTAAAGAAACCGTACAACTGCAGGCAGTGTAATTTGCTTACTATAGCTCCTGCCACAGGCTCATGCAGCCACTGATGCCACCCGGAACGAAGTGCTTCGTGACCGGTGAACCGGCAAAAAGGCAGCGGACATCCAGTTAAATGCTGAGCCTGCCACTTCTGGTTCGCCATCGTGAAGCAGTCGTCTCCGCTCCAGGTGGGCGCTCTTCGGCCGTAGCTACTGAGAAGATGGTGGGGGCAAGGTCCAAAGACTCGACCTTGATACCAGGCTGCTTGTGAAGAAGCTGCGGGTGCTGCAGTGTGTTCTGTGCTGCACCAGCATAGACTAGCGGAGCTAGGTTGGTTTTGCTGTAGCAAGGGTAGCACAGGATTCGAAAAGCTGAGGCTTGTCGATTGACGTTGAATCTATCTCAAAATTACATGGCTCGTAGGAATGTTTTTTTTTTTTGACGGGGCGTGGGGCCAATATTGATCCTTTCAAGGGAAGCTCGCCGCAAGAAATAACGGCGACATGTGCGCGTCTCAGCCAGTCAACAACGTTTTTGGGGGCTTTGGGTTTTAGAGATTTAGGGGTTTACGGGCTCAGGATTTCAGGAGTTCAGGGGATCAGGGGTTTAGGGTTTTAGGTTGCCACACACTTAACGCCCATCTGCAGGCTCAGCAGCTCAGAGCGACTCATGAAAGCTTCGATGCACTGAGTCATTGCTACGATAGTGCGGAAACTTCAGGTTCCCTATAGGGAGCCATGACACCCACGGTGCAAGTGAACCTGCAAAGGAATCCAGAGGCTGGGTGTGCAGGGAGCGCCGGCGTGCTGAGGAGACCTGTGGGTTGCTGCCGAGTGCTGCAAAAATCGCAGGATCCATGGGAATGCCTGGTTTCTGCCGAAGTGGTGCCTGCCTCAGCCGGCCTGGAACTCTCAAAAACTGGTTCCTGCTGGACAAGGCTGCGCAGCTCTGCGCCGATTCTCCGGGCTTTTGGCTCGTGGCATGGGGAGTTTCAAGCAGAGGCAGATGAGTGGGACGATTGCGCCTTATCTCGTCTAGCTCGTGAGTTCAGGAGATCCAGGAGTCGCTGAGGCTCGGGGACAGCACATGGGCCATGAACCTTGAGCAAGGTTGACCGCGTTTCATCGCTCTACAACAGCAAGTGCTCTTTGACAACCGTCTAGCGATCTAGAATCGACGCCCGCGTTGAGGCTTCAGGAACCACGCTGGCCGCACTGGCCGCACCTCTGGAGCAGCTGGCATGTGCTCTTTCGCATTCTTGAGCCGCTCTTCCGATTCGGCTACAGGCGGAACCCCCAGAAGATAAGCTGATGCAGGCTGCACCTGCACGAAGATCCTCCTCTGCCTCGGGGTTCCAGGACAGCCGGGAAAAGTGCCGAAACAACTGGCCTCCTTTGCAATCCCGAGTTGCAGAGGTGCTGGTTGGCACCTCGCTGGCCTCGCGACGTGACTTTCAGGTCCATTCAGAATACAAGGCATCGAGCAGGAGACGTAGGATTCCCTGGGTGATGGTGAATGCTGCATCAGGTCTGCAGAGTCTCGGAGGATGCGCTGCCCATCGTGGAAAGCGCAGTCCTTGAGGCCCTCTTAGCAACGAAAGCAGACGTGCAAGAGCGAGCAGGATACCTCAGAATGCCTCAGGCGTTCAGAGGGTTGTGCGCGCTTTCCCGAGAGTGCAGTGCACGCCAGCACAGGCTGATGCCGATGGCACTCCGCCGTGTTGAGCTCGGGGGACTGGTGCGATTCAGATATGGAGACAGAACATGGTGTGGGCGATAGAGCCATGATTGGCCTACATGCGCTCGTTAAATAGAAGAACAAGCCGAGTTGTGATTCAAGGTCTTCCGCTTCCACCGCTCGCCTGCACTTGGAGTTGAATCTTCACCGTGCAGCTTCAGCCTCGGGAAGTGCAGATTGCACGACGCACCAATGTCCATCACAGAAGAGCCAGGCAATGCGAAGATTAGACGAGTCCGCGAGACAGGATAACAGTAAAAATGAGCTTTCAGAGGGTAGCGTGGGTGTGGCTTGGCTGCTTGACGTTTCGATACATTTGTCGATACGTTTCGATTGTCATGTGATGTGGTGCGAGGTGCTTTGCAAAGGCCAGTGGCATCACTTGGAGGCTGAAGCATCAGGGAGAACCCAGGAAAACTTGAGGGCAGCCTGCCCACTAAACATTGCTGGTGCTACACTTGTTGCACCATCATTGTAGGGCCTCAAACCGACTTGCTGCGCTTTGCGAGGATGCGGGCATCGCCTGGAAGGCAGTGTCGGTGAAGTTGTTGGGTCTGTGCCCCAACATCCCAAGCTGGGCATGCAATGCCGCGCATGTGGAAATTCGAAGGATGCCTAGATGATGTAGATGTCTCGGAACCCGACGCTTCCTGGAAGCAGTGCCCCCAGTTATCGCTGAAGTCCCAAGCAGTGAGAGGGCATGCTTGGGATGATCCTGCCAGAACCTGCAAGGCCAGCAGAATGGCGGAGGTGGCTCGCTTCCCAAGGCTTGCAGACAGAATTAAACAGTCCATGATCGTTGTGGTGGTCCAATGGTGAGCCCACAGTAAGCCTGCTGAGAACGGAGGCATGGGCATCGTCACAGATGCTACCCGCCTTTCGTGGTCCTGCTCAAGAGTCAAGTCTTGGAAGGCTGCATGCTGCTGGTCTGCGCACACATCCTGGAGAGAGACTTGTGCAGGCCCGGCCAGAGGCAAGCTCGACAGCACTTGCTGGCCGCCTATGCCAGGCTCGGACGGGCGAAGGTCACTGAGCACAGGGTACCTTTTGCATGTTTTCGATGGTCATTTATGAATGACAAACCACAAGCTGACATCAGCGATTCCCCGCGCTATAAGAGCCTGCAGGTCATAGATAGCCCAGCCACGGTCAGCCGGGCACTGGTGGTAGTCCAAGTGAAAGGGCTCGGACTTACAGCGCAGATACATATGCCTCCTGAACGAGGTAGTCGGTCCACACGTTGACAAGGCATTGTCCTTGCTGACCGCTCAGATTGTGGTTGGGTTGGTATCTTCGGGCGCAGCCGAACCGACTTCAGGCTTGCGGCTGCCGCAGAAGGACTACATGCTTTCGCAAGCCTTTGAGAAACATTGCCAAACATCTAGCGGGGCGCAAGACCCAAACTCCGAGCAAGCAACGCAGATCCCGCAGGAAAGTCGATGCGCCTGACAGTCCTTTCTGCGGCCAGCCTTCTGGAGGTAGACCACTCAGCCCTTGCAAGCTGAGTGTAGGAAGATTGGGTTCCCGATGCCGTTCACTATCCAAAGCCAAAAGCCATTGTCGGAAGCCATGGGAAGCCTATAAAAAGCTGCTGGCGTTGCCATCGCTCCACGAGGTGGGACAAAGCTTTGCCGCGGTTCGGCACTGGCTGCTGACGCAAGCAGAGGCTCATGGCGAAGTAGACCCGAATGTGTCGAGAGCTGCAGACAGAGAAATCGGAGAGTTTGCAATGTCACAGAATGTTGTCAGGCTGGAAGTGTCATTGTCCTGGTTCGGCCAGGGAAGTGGCCCGTACCCCTACAATCGACCTCGGTCAACTGGCAACGCAGTCGCGACTGTGCCCGGCGTTCATGCTCACTGCAGGCTCTTGCAAAGACAGAATGCCAGTGGGGCCAGTGATGACTTTGCAGGCGCTTTTTGCAAGAGCTCGCAACCTGCATGGCAGCAAATGCAAGCTACCTCAAAATCCTCAAAGTACCACGAGCCTTCAGGCCTCCTGCGCCAGGTGGTCGGTCGATGCCAAGAGCTTGGTTTAAGGAGCTGTGTCGGCCCAGTGTCCTTGAGGTGTGTATTGGGTGAGCGTATGGGATACCTTGCGCCTTGCAAATTCGCCACGTCACACAGCTCGCTCGCCAGCCCCTGGGCTCAGAGCCAACCTTTGCATTTAGTGGACTTCCCACTCCCTTCACCCCCGTGTTCTGGTGGTAGTGACGCGCGGTCAGTTTAGAGTTTAGGGTTTAGGGTTTAGGGTTTTGGGATATTTAGGGTTTAGGTCGCGACACACACGGCAAAGATTCACAGCTCGAAAACGAAAGCTCCTCTCTGTCTCCATCATTTGCAAATCCTCTGACATGCAATTTCGTCACGCCTCTGCCGGCGTCTAGCGCATCGGCAAGCAAAGTCCTCCAGCCTGATGGCAGTGCTGAGCAACACCGGAGCGCACTGCGGCGTGAAGGAATGCTCACGGTTGGACTTCCTTCCCTTCACCTGCAGCTGCTTGGATGCTCTTGTTGGACCTGCCACGCACGTTACGTGCTCAGCCAAACTGCTGAAAGGCCAATGCCAGGGAGTGTTCTGTTTGGACCACTTCCGCTATGAGGCTCATGCATGCCGGGACCCCGGTGATCTCAGTCATGCCAGTCGCAATGGGGAAGGGGGCCTCTGATGGATCGTATCGTGTCGTATATTTACAAGACTTTAGCATGCAGGCCCCAATGCTGCCGGCCTCGACAGCCGTGTGTCTTGGCTATTTGCGCCCAGCTACGAGTTACCCTGCCTGACAGTCCATGCCGAGAAACGAGCATTCCGGCCGAGGTGCTCGTCTGTCCCCTGTGCAGCCAGAGCGTTCGCCTGGAAGTGGGTGAAGATCCAAACCTGACATGGGAAAGTGTCCCGGCAGCCTGGGGCAGCACGGACATTACGGAATTGTCGAGAAGGTCTATGTTAATGTACTTCGTTGCGTTGCCAGCAGCTGCTAGCACTGGGCACTGGACCAGGACACACGTTGACCGGGTGCACAAACCCATCAGGAAGCCAGACCAAAGCCAAGAAGGCCCGTCACAGCCGCTGCAGAAGGGGGGCGGATGCACAGACCCCCTGTCGCCGAAGCGCTGCGCTTGCAAGTCAGTTGCAGACAAGTGGAGATGCTTTCTGCCACGAGCATCAAGACCTGCATCAATAGTCTCGCCGGAATTCCGGTATTAGCCTTTGTAACTGTCAAAGCAATGGGCTGCGCTGCCAGTGCACCTATGCAGGCCCAGGCCGAGGGGAGAGTGGGCAGATAGTAAATGTAGGAAAGGTTCTGTTTCTTTTCTCTCACATGTGGCTGATTCAAGGCTCCAGCGCCACGCGCCGAGGTGACGCCGGACACACTCCAGAGAATGCAGGTCCGCTTCCCTGTGCGACAACCTGCCTTGCCCGGAGACGTTCTAGTCAGTGGCAATCTGCCCTCCGAAGTAGTGGGGCAGCTGGCAAGTTACTGCAAGGGATGGCTCTATTTGAACGAGACTTCGGATGAGCATTACTTTGCGGCGCCCGTCCGAGCGAACGGGTGTTTGCTGGAGGTCATCCCTTTCAAGCCGAGCAAGGACTTGCCTGGTCGAGCGGTCGAGGAACTGGTCAACTCCATTGCCCGGTTGCCCCGGCCTTTGATGATCCAGTGCACCAGCGCCAATCGGGCTGCGATTGCCATGTTGGCTTGGATGGCCAAGACGTGTGGCTACACGGCAGGCTGTGCAGACGTTTTGGTGGGTGATCTCCAGATCGACACCGTGAGGCCCGAGGCGAAAGCCTGGCTCCAGTCGTATTTGCCCTCTTTGGGAGCCAGGGATGGCATGCCGCTGATCGAGCGAAGCCCGGAAGTGAGGCAGTTTTACGACCCTGTGACGAGCACCCTGAGACTTGGGGAAATGATTAGGCAGGGTGTTGCCCCAGCTTTGCTTTGTCTTATTCTTGGTGTTTGAGATTGTTTGAGCATGTTTCCTGGTCCATCCTGGTCCTAATGTTATGTACTTTTTTGAGATTTTGCAGAGGGTCGAAAGCCGGCTTCGCGAGCGCACTCATAACTGTGCATAATTCACGAGCCAAGGACATATCTGATAGCTTGCCCGGCCACCAAACAAGCCGTGTTGATGGACCCGGTGCTGGAGCAGAAGGACCGTGATCTGAAAGCCATCAGCGACTTGGGTTTACACTTGAAGTACGTGCTGAACACGCCCGGCGCTCAGAGAACGGCTTGGGAACGTCCAGCGTCAGATCGCAGACTCCAGTCTTCCAGCTATCCCAGTCCCAGCAGCTACATATGTCCACACGTTGTATGTTCTTTTGCTGGCCCAGGCACTGCCATGCGGACCACGTGACCTCTGGAGGTGCGATTCGCAAAGACCTCCCCCGCGTCAAGACCATCATCTCCAAGTCCTCTGGGGCCCAAGCGGACATCCACATTCAGCACGGGCAGGAGGTGGCCTTCGGCGACCTCTCTTTGGAGGTCCGCGCCACCCCGGGCCACACCGACGGCTGCGTGACGTACGTCTTGCGGACCCAGACAGCCACCTTTGCATTCACCGGCGACACCCTGCTGATTCGTGGCTGTGGCAGAACGGACTTCCAACAAGGAAACTCCTTTACGCTCCATGCCAGCGTGCACGAGCAGATTTTCACTCTCCCGGACGAGACGCTGGTCTGCCCTGGTCATGATTACAAGAACAGGGGTGCCTCCACGGTGCTGGAGGAGAGGATGTTCAACCCTCGGCTGACCAAGTCTGCGGAGGAGTTTGCTAAGTTCATGGAAGACCTTGGGCTGCCGAACCCAAAGCAGATTGACATCGCTGTGCCCGCCAACATGGCCTGCGGTGTGCAAGTTTGACCCATTTGAGATTCTTCCGATGTAGTGTACTGGCATGTGCCGAGCCCAACTCTTACACAGAGCTTGCGTGAATTCGGTGTGGACTACGCTAGGCTTCCTGCTTGACTTACTGCTTCTGCCATGGCGCAGAGAGCTAAGCTCGACGTACAAATTTAATCCGATTTGGCATTTCCCCTCATCTGTCTTGCGCTCCCTTTCCACCTCCTCCCCCACCAAGTGAGTGAGAAGGGTGTCGGAGGAGCCGAGAGACGACAGCAGGCTCCACACGTCTGCGATTTTGTTTCCTGTCCTGACTTCCGCCGCTGTGCGGAAAGCCAAGACTCGGATTCTGTAGTTGGTAAAGGAAGAGAAAAGCTGCTGAAAGGACAGGCTGTCTTTGTGCAGCGCACGGACCCTGCTGTGAATGCGATTTATCACACCGTGATTGGGTGCCAGGAAAGATGCCCTGTTGCTGGTTGCAAGGAAGTTCTTACCACCAGCAACACCGTGCCTCGGAGTGACAGCATGCGGCAGTGCCACGACTGTGGGAGTTGTTCGATGTGCATTGTACTCACGGTCACTTGGTCCAGTCAGGTAGTTTGCGGTCGCTGCCAGCAAAGGGTTTGCTTGAAGCATCGATTTGAGGAGGACTGCAGTTGAACACAAGTTGAAGCAGAGCATAGCAGAGCCAATGCAGGGCTGGTGAACGCTCCGGGAGACTTGTCGGCACTGGGGGGACCGCTAATAAATTGACACTCTTGGAGAGAGATGACACTCTTGGAGAGAGACTCGGAGAGACTTCCTGCAGATGGCAAAAGAGCACTCCTTGCCAAGGCGCTGCAGAGTGTGCTGCATGCGGAACTCGGTCCCGTGGACGCAGCCCAGACGGGCAAAGATAGCTGCTCCATGTTGCTCCAATTTCTGACCTCCCTAACAGGTCGCCTACCCGTCTTCCTGCCCGTAGCCCACCTTCGACGGTGACGACGGGTGGATGGAGATGCAGCCGACCGAAGCCTAGTTGCTAGTTTTTCTGAGGCCACTGGCACGGGTGCATCGCTTGCTCCGAGGATGCACATTGGACAATGCGGTCACATCTCCCACCTGTGAAGCCTGCGGGGCAAGTCGACCTGCCGCTTTGGCGAGTGGCCAAACTGCAGAGTCTACCAAGGCCTGGCTGCTGTGACTTGCGTCGTCCAATGCAATCCATTGCTGCCTTGTGAGATTGTAGACAAAATTGACGGCAGGCCTGCAGGCATTGGCCTCAGTGGCAAATCATGATGACTTTCCATAGCTTACCTGCAAAGCGCATGGTAGCACATGTGCCCCACAAATGAGAATGATGCTCGCGGTGGACAACACTGTTGTTTTCCCTAGAAAAGGAAAAGGCCAATTTCTGGAACAATGCACACCCGCAATTACAACACTGACCACAATTTTTCGCTGGGTCGAAGCAAAACGAGCCAAGAGCGAAAAGCCAAGCAGGACACGCATAGCAATGCAGGGCGGGTAGCACCAAGAACAAGGGCAGTAAGGGTGTGGTGGACGCTGCAGCGTGGATGTGTTTCTATGGACGGTGTCGAAACATGTATGAAACCGTTTGAAGACCAAGGATTGCTTGACAAGTCCTGCTGGCAGGCAGACGCGTTAATGCATCGGCGGGCAGATGCTCGCAGTGGAGTTGCCAGACCCGCAAAGCGGGGGAGACGACGCTAGATAAAGAGCCGAATGCCGCTGGTTGAACTAGGGGTGCCTGCTCCGATCGCAGCATTGATTTCTCTGCCTGGTCCAGCTTTTTGTGCCTTCCTTTCTCAGCTCTGAGGCCAGTGGATGCGTTCCACATCTGAGCATCCGCAAGGCCGTTGAAGGTGCTGAGCTTGACCACCTTGGCAGCCGTAGATACTTCAGGCCAGGGGCTTGTCTTCTTGTCGCTTCTCGCCGCCACGCCCACGAACGCATGGCAGCAGGCGCTTTGAAGAAGACTCTTGAGCAATTGAGCAAGACTCTTACAGCAAGCCTTTGAATCGCCAAAAGTCACGGGGATTCCGAGATTTTTCCATGGGGATGCCAGGTATTCAGTGATGTGATTCACGTGGAGAAGGAGTTGGCCCAGATGGCCCCTGCAAGATGCTTAGCCCTACAGCAGCCCAGGGTTCCCCACCAATGAGTTTCCGGGGGGGTTTCAGGGTTTCAGGGTTCCAGGGTTTCAGGGTTGCAGGGTTCCAGGGTTCCAGGGTTCCGGGGTTCCGGGTAGAATGTGTTCTTTATCTGGGCCGGCTAGTTCCCTTTCGTATTTGTAGCGCATGTGGCTTGTGAATCTAGCTTCTCAACTCGGTGTTCTTCGCACGACTTTTACCTAGCCAGAGAAAAGGCGAACAATTAAATTCATGCTAGAGTCTGGTTTTCTGATTGGCTTTGCACTGGGAAAATGAATCCTTTCTTCATTTTCTTCCCCATGCTACTCTGGCTTTCTCAGTGCAGTCTTGTTGTCGTAGCTCTTGTAGCTTGCGGCGATGGAGGTCACCCAGAGCCTGATTTTCTTAATCCAGTGTTTTCTCAAGCCCACAAGCAGTGCTGTTACCGAACCCCGTGCTGGGTATGACAGTCTGGAGTGCGCCAGTTGGACCCTTGCGAGGCTGACGGCGGCCAAAGATCGTCCATGTCGCTGGCTTCATGGTTAAACCTGTGGTTGAACAAAGCCATACGAAGCTCTCGAGGCTGTGGCAAGGCGAGCCAGACACTGTCTCAACTCCGGAGCAACTCGTGTCTGAGTTTCAATCATCGCTTTCAGTGTTGGGCTTAGCGTTTATCTTTTTGTTTCACATCGCTCGCGAATCTCGAAGACTTGAGCCCACGGCACTTGCAGGTCTTGCGACCTGGTGCCATTGTGCCTCCCGAAGTCAAGGCACGACATGGCATGTACGGCTTCTCCGGCTCTCATTTTTTTATTTAGCAAAGGCGCAGGGCTCACCATAGTTTCAGTTCCAGGCTCTGCTTACTTGAATTACTTGAGCAACAGGACTGGCTTGGGACAGTCATCAAGGCAAGCAGAGGCACCACAACAGCAGGTCGATCTCTGAGAAAGAAACCAAAGCAATCTTATCTCTTCTGGGGTCCACTTGCAGCTCAAGGCTCGACCCCATGCTGTGTTGCACTCGTGGGCTGCGACCCGAGACGTCCTAGTCCACGCTACGATGGCTTGGCTCTGGCCGCTAAGTCTACACATGACCTGTGAGGTCCCCCGGGCTGTGGTAAGACATCCATCCTCCAGTCGTTGAAGCATCTGACGCTTCAAGCTGAAACCTTGGGACGCATGTGGGAGAGAGCTTCAGGTTAGCTGTGATTTGGTTTACTTGAGGTGCTGCCGATGCACATACCGCAGCTTATCCATGCTGGCATCGGTGATACGCAGATGGCTGTTCGAAGGCTCCTGCGATGTTTCTGATCGTTTAGTTTGCACCCCGTGAAATGGGTGAGGCTCTTTGAATCCGCGCAGCTACTGCAGCCTTCCTGTATCACTTTAGTCAGGTGCTTGGTACAGATGGCCGCATCTGATTGTTTTTCTGACGGTAGGCGCAGTTAGGCATGCAGTGAAGCCGAGGATGACGCCGACGAGTTGTTCTTACAGGTGGGTCACAGCAGTACTCGGGCTGTGGCTTGTGCATGTGTTCTGTTTACAGGCCTCGCTGGACAGCTCTGGCAATCATGGCGTCGCTGATCTTCTTGTCGAGTTGGTCCACATGCCACGGGCTTGTCATGATGATATGATTGGGGCACAGCTGAGAGATCATCTGACCTGAAACGAACTTCTTGCGCGTCAGGCTGGACACTTGCTGTTCGCCAAGACTCCTCTTCGTCCTTACGCGCCCTGCGATAAAAATCTGGAATCTGCCACATGCACTGATTATCCTTTGAACTTCGAAGGTGCTCCAAACAGCAGCTCCCACCTTCCCTGGCGTGCCGTCAGAATCCTGGTATGCCTGGCCTTGCTAAGGTATGTAATATTATGTAATGGTATGTGCCAGTGCAACAAGGCCTGCTTTGCAGCTCTCCCATAAGGTTTGCACTTCATGAGCTTGAGTGCTGAAGCTGGATGCGGAGCCTCTGAGTGCCGGCAGCACTGAACTCTTCAATGACTGCTCGAACGGTCTCTGCGCGTGTGACGCCCAACATGATCTGGCCAATTCTTTTGTCAGTGCAAGTAAGTCCGAGCGTAGAGTCGTTGTGCCGAAGAGCTGCTGCTATTGCCTCCTACGGTCATCAAGACATGCATCGAAAAATGTAGAATTGAACAGCACGCTTTTGCAGATACAGGTCCGATTGGTCCAGAGCAAACTTTCAGCAAGCGGGTGATGGTAAAGGCATGTTTAGCTCCGGTGCAGTTTATCGTCTTACACGAGACACAGTGCACAGTCAATCATCACCAGCCCACGGCTATGGCGCTATGGTGATGCTGAGTAACCCTGATGGTAGGAATGCCTGGGTAGCTGCCATCATGCAGGTACGGCGGACCCATAATTCACCGCTTCAAGGTAGGTCTGTATTCTGAATGGTTGCCTTGTTCTGCAGTCCATTTCGCCTCAAGATGTGCGACCTGGCCATACGCTTCGTGTCGCAGGCCGCTTGATGGCCATGCATCAGCCTTCGCGATGCAAAGTCATTCCGGAACATCGGAGTGAAGACTCCGGCACAACAGACCGAGCTCCCCCAGCATTGCTGGGCAAAGCTCTGAGAACGGATGACTGCGACAACGAGCGAGATCTCCTCGATCCTTTCGGTTTGCCATACATCCGTCCATCGCATCACGTCAGCCAAGCAGAGCCCGAGCCTAAGACCCTAAGCCTCTCAGTCGAACTCTGTGGAGCAGAGCGGAGCGGTGGAGAGATTTGGTATCTGTGGGCTCAGGTCTCTTGCCAGAGGTCAGTTTCCAACCGCAGCGAAGCAGATCCTGCATGACTTACGTCACGGAGTCCACGACTCCAAGAGAAGGGCAAGCGACCCTGCCATCCATTCTCAAGAATTCAGTGGGGGGCATGCCCGCAAGCGTGCCACAATCTGCACGGACAACGTGGAGATGGAGCATCCCTTTGCCGTAAACGGTGCAGCAAGCTTCGGAGCAGACTTGGCAGCAACTTGGGGACCAAGCCGCCGTGAGGAGGCGCTAAGCCCGGGCCTCCTGAGCCGCTTCAGCCTCGAAGGCCTCGAAGGCGTTGAAGGCGCTGAAGGTGTTGAGCCCGTGGTTCTAGGAGTTCCGCTGATCGAGCTCCAGGAGCCTCCGAAGACTCTTGAGGAGACTCTTAAGGAGGCCAAGGAGGCCGGAAGAAAATCCCAAAAGGCCTTGGCAAAGCAGTCCTCAAGAATCTCAGTTGCCACGTCAAGTATGAGATGGAGGCAGCCGGAATGTGTCTCGGACAATCTTGGGCCATTGTCAAAATTCTTCGTAGAGATGACGGCAACGGTCACATTCCTGTGCCGAGGCACCCTCATCATCGTGGACTGGGATGACACGATGTTTCCTACGACTTGGCTGCAGCAGAAGGATGCCTGGCTGAAGTACAGAATTGAAAGTCGTGTTTTTTGAAAGGCTTGATAGGCCTTATGCGCGTTGCTGTTCCTTTCTGTCAATTCGTCGTGGCTGCTGAGGGTTGGTTCGCCCAGTGGGTGACGTGCGGAAAGCTTGGCACCTTCATGGAACGGGACGAACTAACCATCCCACCAAACGATTTGGCTTTGATATCGGAGCTGGACACTGTCCTGGAAGCATTCTTGTTGTCTGCCTGTGCGCTTGGACAAGTCAGTGACGGACTCGGCATGGTCAGTTTGTTGGGTCGTGCCTTGATGACCAGTGGTTCTTTCTGTAGCAGTCTGCTGCAGGCATTTGTGCGCCTCCTGGATGCGGTTGCTGTGCTGGATGTATCCTGAGGTTGTGTAACTTTGGCCCGCAGACCTTGGCAAGACCGAACGATGCGGGCTTTCCTTCCCAAGTTGCCCGAATCCTAGTTACTTACCAATAGTTCAGCCTTCTTGTGTTGGAACTCGGTCATATGTCAGGTCATCTGCCTGGGACAAGCACTTTGTTGTCGTGCGCTATGCCCGTGAGGAGAGGCTCTTTGGATCCACATACATGTATCTATTATATTATATCCATATATGTATACACCACGTATATAATGCATATACATATATATATATATATGTTATAGCAGATATGCATACATATATGTACGTATGTATGATATAATGATATGAAGTGCATGTGTTTCTCACTTCAGGTTGGTGCAAACAGATGACTGTGGCTTCACGCCGTTGGACAAGCAAGACCTCGAGATGGTGAGGCAAGGGACGTTCGCAAAGAAGAAGCAGAAGGCGCCGGGAAGGGGGCGGGGGGGGGGGGGGGGGGGGGGGGGGGGGCGGCGCGCGATTTGGAGATACCGTGGGTTCCACTACGTAGGTTTAGGGCTTAGGAGACTATGTGGCATGATGTGGCATGCTTAGACGTGACATGCGATGCTCTGCAGTCCATGGAGCGCCTGCTGCGAAAGTTCTACAAGAAAGGACCCCAGAAACAGAGCAGGGAACGCCAGTGTATCCGCGACATGGTATGTATCATCATGTATTGTTTGGTGACAGTCTTCGACCTATGCAGCTGGCAGGAAGCTGGAAAAACGTGATAAGCCTCGGCGACGGTCCCGCAGAACGCCAGGCTCTTCAAGAGCCGCTCGGAAACCTGAATGGACTGCATCTTTGTGGTTTTAGGGTCGGTCCATACAGGCAAGTAGAGATTCCGAAGACTGGTCCCCAGGGCGTCCATAGGGTGCCGAGACGACATGGTTTTGCTTGAAGCATCTTGAAGCCAGAATGAACAGTATGTCACAGTAACTATGATGATCATGACTGCTTGGTTTTTCCTTTGATGATGACGCTTGCACTTCTGCGTTTCGAATTTTGATGGGTCTCGATCGGGCTATGCGGCTTGCAGCCAAATCCATTCAAGTGTTCCAACATGCTCCGATGTCACTTCTCCAACATGCACACGAGTGGACTTGTCTGGACGCTGCCAGAGGATCGGCTTCCGCCATCTCAATCCAGCGAGTCCCAAGACGGGAGAGCAGAAAACCTTCAGGACCAAGACCGCTGGAAGCTCGGTCTGACGGATGGAGGGTTTCTGTACGCATGGTGATGCCGTATTGAGGTCAAGATGTTGGAGGCCTGCATTGCAGTTGGGGATCGACAAGAGCCATCTCAAGAGTCCACCTGGCAGGAGCCAGATTGCTCTGAGCTCGTCGCCGAGCTTCAGATGGTGCAAGCCTGGCTCCCTGCACTGGCGTCCACAGACGAGGACATTGACATCGATCTTGCTGAAGGACGGGGGAGTGTTTTTTTGTTTCGGCGCTGTTGCGCAGACTTGCGTAAGTCTTTGCGTAGCTCCGAGTGACCAAGTTGCCAGAGCTCTTGGAAGGCGAGGAGGCGCTTCTGGACGTTCATCAGCAACTGATGGATGTTGCGGCACGGCCCAAATCAGTGCTAGCATCATTGCTTTTTTGCACTTTCAGGGAGCATTTTCTTCTTCGCGTGCTTTGTTGAGATGTTGGAAGCATCTCGAGGTCGAGAGCGGCTCCAGATCCTCAAGCCCTGTCAGTTCTGTGAGGTGAGCGATCCATGCGCATCCCCAATACCCTTTCGATTCGATTCAGATTTCGTGCTCCCACGCGTGCCCGTATGAGAAGTTGCTTTGTGCCATCTGTGAGTCCTCTTGCCAGCGTTTGCCAGTTCACCTCGCTGTGCTCCCTTCCCTGCCGGGAAGAGTCGCGAGGGGAATCGATGAATGGGCCCTGCACAAATTCAATCTGTACAGTTGTTGTACAGTTCGCAACACTGCGACCGGGACTCTGTCCGAGTTGCTCACGTCGCGCTGCACGTTGGTCTACTCAGGTTTGCACCTCATAAACCTGAAGGTTTGGTGGGGTGTCCTGCTGGTACCCGCACAACTGTTTAACCTTCCCCGAATGTAATGGGGACAGGAGAAATCGAAGGCAATTGCGGAGCAATTGCTACGCGAAGGAGAGTCGGCCTCAAGTTTTATTCTCCTTCGAGCCTCGGACTTGGCCCTAGGAGCCGGCACATGGCACCAGTGCGAGAAAAAGAAAAAAGTCGTTGCTGGTCGCTGTACCGTTTCATGACAGGCGGGGTCACGATTCGCGATGGACATCTTCACTCGATTCTGTTTGGAGAGAGTTCGGGCGTAGGCCGATATGTTGTTCCACTCAGAATCGGCTCTGGAGCCAGTTGAGCAAGCAAGCTGTAGGCTTGTGCACGTTGTGCATGTAATTACAAAAATGTCAGGCTGCCGTTGTTCATGAACCGTCGACATATGTTGGGTATGTTTCAGTGGCCTCTGCCTGCGGTGGTAGAATGACACTTTCAGAGGGTCATGGGCTACCAAGCGTCACCTGCTACATGAGGCACATGGTAGTCTAGCGTAGGGGCTGCAGCGGTTGTGCCGCAGCACCAACTTGCCACAAGGCGCCTTTCTAGTATTAGTCGCCATGGAATGAGCAGCCGAGAGCCGCATGAAGTATGCGCAGTTTGTCATGGGACCGGCCGGCTGCGGCAAGTAGCCTGCCTGACTGTTGTATTATGTTGTATTGCATGCTGAAGTTGAGAGTTTTGGTTGTAGTGGTGGTGGTCGTCTCCGTCCTAGTCTCATTCAAGCCTGCCACTAGCACGAAGCTTTGGTTCACAACATGCCGTCGTGCACACATCATCATGACAATGCAAACGAATAGCATAATAGCACCCTCACCTCGTCTCGCACTTTCTGCCGAGGTCCACATACTGCGCGATCATCCAGGAGCCGTGCGCTAGTCATTCAGAGATTCTGCTACGTTGTGCTGTTTTTGCATTCGGCACGTGGAGCACCGCTGTGGAGCACTGCTGTGGAGCACAGAGCAACAGCGCCAGGAGCACTTCAAGGTTGCACTGCGAAGAACTTGCAGGCCTGCGTCCCTGCGTCCCACAACGCTTTCGTTGCATTCGTTGCCTTCGTTGCCTTCGTGGCTGTCGTTGTGCTGTTCGTGGTCCTGTTGCTCCCTGGCTGTTTGTGCCAAGGGTGGTCAACCTGGACCCAGCAGCAGAGAACTTCGCGTATGACTGCTATGCTGATGTGCGCCGCAGATATGTAAAATAATATGCCTGTGTCGAGAACATTGGCTAAGCTCATTGTGCATCTTTTTCCGGATGTTGCTGTGTACCTCGGAATCTTGGGCGGCAGGTGCGCGACCTCATCTCTGTAGACGATGTTATGGAGGCGTCTCGCCCGGAAACTGGCGTGGGTATGTTTAAAGTCCGTCATTTCCATGCTTCCTCGCCGCGGAAGTGGAAGGAGCTCGACTACGGACCCAACGGCGGCCTCGTGTATGCCATGGAGTACCTGTCGGAGAACATGTCGTGGCTGGAGGCCTCAGGATGCTCCCCACTAGACTTAGCAGACTTAACATGACTCGTGTGTGTGTGTGTGTGTGCAGGAGCAGATCTGCGATGCCCTGGATGATGACTACTATGTCTTCGACTGCCCAGGGCTGCATCCTCAGAAGCCTTCCGCCGGTCTTGAGAGCCTCACGGACCTCAATGACACCTGGAAATCCAGGCAGATCGAGCTGTACTCGCACTTGTCGGTGATGCGGGAGGTAGTGGACATGCTGCAGAACGAGGCCGGAGGGATCCCAGTTGGACAGCCAAGCGTGTGGGCAACAGCCGTGAGAGGACTTTAGAGTCGCTGGAGTGTACTGCATCGATGTCAACTTCATTGAGGACAGGTGAGAGGGGGGGAAAGGACCCTTTTGAGGATGCTTTGATCGTCATCTGCCAGCTCTAGGACAGCGCAAAGTTTCTCTCGGGGGTCTGAGCCTTGCTGGGTCTTTCGCGCTTTCGCACTTTCGCCACCCTCTGCTGATTCCCGTTCCCCAGGCGCTCTCGGCATTGACGGCGATGGTCAATCTGGAGCTGCATGGCACACAGCTCGTGCGCCATCTCGAGGAGATGCAACATGGTGAGCCTGTGTACGGTCTCTGAGTTCTTAGGCCGCACATCAATGTGCTGACGAAGTGTGATCTGCTTCCTGAAGGGGTGCCCCTCCTGACAGCTTAATAAGAGTACCAATCAACGCCTTGGTTCTGTTGCCGCTTTCTTGGAAGTTCACCGCGGCAGGCAGATGTTGAGCGGTACGTCGAGGGTGATTCCGAGGTCTGCGACTTTGCGTTGTCACGAAATGACTGGCGATTGGCAAATGACCCCAATCATTCCCGCAGCAGCGGCAGCAGCGGCAGCAGTTGCCTTTGAGGCTATCTTGTCGGAGCTCCGTACATCCATGCATCCCAGGCTCCAGTGTCTTGTTTGTTTGCGGTCTTCACGCCGTCCACGAAGACCAAACGTGGATGAAGACTATCCGGAAGGTATCGGAAGCTCAACGTGGCCCTTGGGCAGGTGCTGGAAGAATACTCTCTGGCGCTGGTGGCTTGATTTTGCTTGCTAACTTGGCGACTTCGACGAGGGTCTTGGCTTCCTTCAGGGTCTGCTTGCCAGGTAAGCTTCGTCGCCCTAAACCGCGACGACGAGGCATGGGCTGACGAGTTAACATCGAGTGTCGCTTGGGATGGCCTCCTGGGTCTGAAGAGGCGCCAGGGGGCAGCAAGAACAAGTAGCGAGCAGAATGAAAATTCAGAATGAAGCAAGTGGTGGAAGCCATGGCCGTTTTTCTCATGAAAAGAGGCTTTGCTTCCGCCAAGATATGTCCCAAGATGTTCGCACATCTTCGAATGGTTGTCTAGACATCCGTAGACTGCGGTCTCATGGTTCTCTCCCTCGGTCAGGACTCCATCGAGCTGTGCCTGGCGCATATCAATCATTGCTGCTCGGCTCTGCAATTCACACGTGCGTGGCCCATGTGGCCTAGGTTGACGCACTGTGCGACGCTTTTTTGAGATCTTGTGAGACATTGTGAGACATGATGAGATATCGCGAGATGTTGTGTGGTATTTGAGGCATCCAGTACGGTGAGAATCTGGAGCCGGAAGGCTGTGCGCTGGGAGCAGTGCTGATGCAAGTAGGAGGTTCCCGGTGAAGTTCCTGGCTTGCCACAGTTTTAGGATCTTCCTTATTGGTATGTATGAATTAGACTTTACATGTCTATATCCAATATGAATAAAGCAACAAATAACTCGTGAAACAAGTACGTATGCATACCTGTATGTACTGCACACGTAAACCAAAAAGATAAGGAACTGATTAATTGTTAGATAGATGAATACATATATATATATATGCTACCCCCCCCAGCGACCTACTCGTACCCTTTTTAGGCCTTTTTAACAAAAAATAACAACGAAGGCCCAAAGCCGCGTAGTTAATCACCGGGTAATGAAGGACAGTTAATGGGACACCCACCTCACAGACCCCGATAAGCCGGCATTGGATTAATCTACATTTGAATCTGGAGCGGACAATGCTGTTTTTAGATATCTAGATCTGTGTTTTTTTCTATGCAAGTTGTGCGTTTAAAGGGCATTGCAACTAATTTATTTATACAGTTGTGTTTGCACGAGGCAAAGCATTAATCAAATAGTGAAACATTTTTCTTGATTCTATGCGAAATTAACTACTAGAGTATTTATTAAGCAAAGAGCCCAATTGACTCAAGTGAATACCATTTAAAGGACCATACTCAACCAAAATACGAAATAAGCATCATATTCAACCAAAATATGGCAACGTGTGGTTCAAAGGGCAAATAGTGCTTTGTTGAGCAACTAATGCATTGAAACAGTTGTGTTTATACCAGGCAGAGTATTATTGAAATACTATCTGCAAAGTCCACTGAAATACCTTATGTTTACATATTCATGAGTTTTTTTTTTGAACTAATCTTTCTATGCGAATTTAGCTACTAGAGTAATTATTAGGCAAATAGCCCAATTTGACTCAAGTGAATACCATTTAAAGGACCATACTCAACCAAAATACGAAATAAGCATCATATTCAACCAAAATATGGCAACGTGTGGTTCAAAGGGCAAATAGTGCTTTGTTGAGCAACTAATGCATTGAAACAGTTGTGTTTATACCAGGCAGAGTATTATTGAAATACTATCTGCAAAGTCCACTGAAATACCTTAGGTTTACATATTCATGAAACAGTTCTTTTGAAATCATTCTATGCGAATTTAACTACTAGAGTAATTTTTAAGCAAATAGCCCAATTTGACTCAAGTGAATACTATTTAAAGGACCATACTCAACCAAATACGAAATAAACACTAACGGAAATTGAAGCGGGCCTACCTACATAACAATGAAACAAAGATTGCTGAAGTATTCAATAAAGACCACTTATATACTATGTCTGAAAAGCACAATTTGCATAAGCAAGCTTAAAAATGCACAACAATGGAAATAGAAGCGGTTCTACTTACATAACGATGAAACAAAGATGTCTGAAGTATTTAAGAAAGACCACTTATATACGATGTTTGAAAAACACAACTTGCACAATCAGGCCTAAAACATGCACAAGAATCCTAGAAAAGTACTTAGTGAAGGCCATACACAAGCAAATTCACAAATACAAAAAAACATCCAAAAGCGCAAGCTAGTCAGGAGAATCCCTGGTGAAGTTTGGATTATAGGGTTTTGGGGTATCCCTGGACGAGTAGGAGGTACTTTTTAAGCAAACAATTTTAAGCAATAAATGCTTTTTTCTCAAGACAAGTATTGCAAATGCTGCTTCTAGATAATTAATCGCTTTTACCAGGCAACTAGTATCCATGCGAATTTAGCTACCAGAGCACCAAGTAATGGCTGAATAAGGTCTACTACACTTGAGTACAACCAAAAGATGCACCAAGCACTAGTTGAAAAAGAAGCGAAGCGGTTCTACTTACATAATAACGAAACAAATAGTTCGGAAGCACTAGAAAGACCACTTGTAGACTATTTCTGAAAAGCACAAATAGCATAAGCACACTTAAAAATGCGTAGTTGTTGCTTCGTGACCGTGAAGGCGAACCAAAAAGCCAAAATACCAGAACCAAAAAAACCAAAAATAGCAAAACCAAAAAAACAAAAAACCAACACCAAAAAAACCAAAAGAACCAAAAAAACCAATTTTCCGGGACTCTTGGAGAAGCCTCATAGGGATTCCTGAGAGTTCCGGATTTGTTTTTTGTTTGTTTTTGTTTTTTGGTTTTGTTTTTTTTGGTTTTGGTTTTTTTGGTTTTTTTGGTTTTGGTGTTTTTGGTTTTTCTACTGTCCCGTGTATGCGATTTTAGTTGTGTTTTCGTCTACGCCTTAGGAAACACGCTATGTTGCACACCGAGTTTGCTTGCAGTGCAGCTGGGTGACTTGAGACAAGGCGAAAAAGGGTAGGTCACTGGGGGGGGGGGGTACCACATATATATATATATGTGTGTGTATATATGTGTATATTTAATACGCAGAACATCGTTGCAGTACCGTGCTGCGAAGGTGCCTTCGATATGCCTGATGACGACATGGGCGACGAATAAAACAGTAGTCCTCTTCCAAAGTCTCATGCGAGGGTTTCGATGGGTTTAGGTTGTGGGGCTTGAAGACTAGCTTCGCGTTTTGACTGACTGCTGGCCATTGAGCTGTATGACGCTGCAGCCAATTAGATCACTCGTTGCACGAAGTGGAGATCTGAAAGCTGTTGCGACATCTTTCACCAAACAGCCCGTGCAAGAGAGAGAAGGTGAGAACGAGGTCAAAGTACGGCTAACCTTTTGCCACAATGTTCTCTGGATCTCCACGGTTCGGTGCGATGCTCAACTTAACGCATCCAGTGTTCAATAGCAGAACAACTTTCGTCCCAATGAATTCCCAGCCATGGCTGCCGATATTGTCAGCAATGAGCCCGCGACGTGTGCGGGGGCCCTTGGCCTCGTCGAAGACGAGCCAGCTGCTGGGCGGCAAAGTTAAAAGACACATGGTAAGTTCTCAAATTAAGGTCCCTAATTTAGAGAAGTGACCATACAAAGGTTTTAGCTTCGTGGCTCGCCCAGGGTTCCTCTTGACTTGCTCAGTTGCAACTCCTGGCTGCTCGTGCTGAATTCAATAGAGGAGCCAGTCCGGACAGTCTGGAACTGATCGGCGAAAGTGCTAGGTGCTACATTTGCGAGTGCGATCAGCACACCCGGGTCAGAGGGATTCAGACTGTGCTTTGTCTGCAAGCAGTGACGTGGCTCTTCCATGCTGGGCTTGCAGAAAACCCTAACCGAGACCCTAGACCCTAGACCCTAGACCCTAGACCCTAGACCCTAGACCCTAGACCCTAGACCCTAGACCCTAGACCCTAAACCCTAGACCCTAGACCCTAGACCCTAGACCCTAGACCCTAGACCCTGGACCCTGGACCCGAGACCCCAGACCCCAGACAGACCCGAGACCCTAGACCTAGACCCTAGACCCTAGACCCCAGACCCCAGAGACCCTGGACCCTAGAGACCCTGGAGACCCTGGAGACCCTAGACCCTAGACCCTAGACCCTGAACCTCTAAACCCTAAACCCTAAACCCTAAACCCTGAACCCTCACTCCTTTGTCTGGTAATCGTGAGCCCCTGCAGGCATTAATCTCCTCGCGAGACCCCCAGCTGCAGCCGTGCTTGCTGTGATGACTCCGATTGCCGCGTGCCAATGGTAGGTCATGCCCTTCAACACTTGCAATATGATCAAAACACGCATCAAGGCCGGGAAAGGGAGAACTGTAGACTTCAGCATGATGCATGATGACTGAGTCAGGAACTGCGGAAAGGCCTGAAGGCTTGCTGCTGAGATGTCTTGGTGTGAGATCTCTTGGTGTGGCACAGTGACAGTCAGTTGGCGGCATACACGACTGCTCAGCTTGTGCTTCCCAGCGACGTTGCATAATGAGGCTGTGCGCGACAATGACATTAGGCCGGGCATCAATCCCAAAATTCGACTGAATCACGACTCTGCCGTTGCAGTCGCACTTTTGTCGCCGCGTTACGTGGGCAGGCTGCTTCACAAGGGCATTGAGCTTCGCGGAGGGTATCCTTTAGATTACTACCTCAACACCGCCACCACAAAAGAGAGGCTCGAACCAAGCTCTGGTGTGGCGCATTGGATGTTGCGGATGTTGCTGCGCCCTGCACAGCCCGGCCGAACTCCAATACCTCGTCAGCAACCACGGGGCCAAGGTGCCTGGCAAGGAAGTTGAGGAAGCACTAAGGATAACCTCTGCCTTGCGACCAGGCCCAGAATACCGGTATGTATGTCGCACAGCAAGTGCCCACTCCACATGACCTACTGGACCTGGCTGCACGCTCAGATTTTGTAGCTGTTCTTTGGCTTTCTCACGAGCAGGTTTGTGTCGACCAGACCTTGCGGCACTGTGCGGAGTGCGCAGGTGGATGAAATCTCAGATGCAATGTGTGGCGGAATCAAGCCCTCCTTGACGGACGATGGAACGGGCGCAACGTCCGGCAGGCATGTATTGAACAGCTACCTATGAGCGTTGGGTAGCAAAGAGCAGCAACGTTAGGCCACAAGCAGAGTACCATAGAGTCCCAAGGTACATGCTTCGCGGACCCTCATCTTCGAAACCTCTGGCTGTGCTTGCCTCTTAAGAGATCCTGCGATTCTGCTGCTCATGGTGTTGAAGCTTCATGGAAAGCACACACGCGCACACACTCACTCTTGCAATCGAATGTCTTTCGGAGTTTTTTGCCCATGCGGCTTCAGCGCGTGGTTATGCTTGCTACAGCTGCTACAGGTTCAAGCCCAAAGACGAGGAGGCGTTTGCGCCGAACAATCCTCGAGGTTATGCGGGAAAGGACAGGGACAACCGCATTCTGCACGAGCTTCGTTTATGCTGGCGACTTTGTGCAGACTACCAAGTGGTATCCAGCATACGCTTTCGCCGATGAGCAGGAAAACTCGAATGGCCTGCGGCCTGGCGTCCTTTCGACGCAGCAAGCTGCCCGCGAGGTGCATCAGAATCTTCATTTCAACGTACATGCGCTGTCGCAGAATGTATGACAGCATGTTAAATCACAGCGATTGGATCTTTCAGCGTCCAGTGTATCGAGACATTGTAAGGGTATGCAAATTCACGAGCAGGTTGCAGCCTTTCTGCTTGACCATAAGAATTTCGCGGGAGTGCCTCACACCACTTTGGTGCGCCAGACATTTCTACTCGTGCAGCGTGTGGACGAGACAGGCGTGATGGTTGTAGAAGTTGACCTGTGTTGAGGTACACGCCAAGCATGAGAAGTTCGTCAACCCTGATAAGAGCAAGGCTGTCCTACATTTTCCTGCATGGATGATAGGATTGTGACAATTGATGTGTTACACTTGCATTGAAACCTCCTCACAGATCCGCGAACGCTGTTTTCGTCGTGGTCGTCTTGCTGTTCGTCGTCGTGGACGTCGTCGTGGTCGTCGTCGTCCTCGTCGTCGTCGTGGTACTGGTATTGGTAGTGGTAGTGGTAGTGGTAGTAGTCGTAGTAGTAGTAGTAGTAGTAGTAGTAGTAGTAGTAGTAGTAGTAGTAGTAGTAGTAGTAGTAGTAGCAGTAGCAGTAGCAGTAGTAGTAGCAGCAGCAGTAGTAGTAGTAGTAGTAGTAGTAGTAGCAGTAGTAGTAGTAGTAGTAGTAGTAGTAGTAGTAGTAGTAGTAGTAGTAGTAGTAGTAGTAGTTCTAGTTCTAGTTCTAGTTCTAGTTCTAGTTCTAGTTCTAGTTCCAGTTCCAGTTCCAGTTCCAGTTCCAGTTCTAGTTCTAGTTCTAGTTCTAGTTCTAGTTCTAGTTCTAGTTCTAGTTCTAGTTCTAGTTCTAGTTCTAGTTCTAGTTCTAGTAGTAGTAGTAGTAGTAGTAGTAGTAGTAGTAGTAGTAGTAGTAGTAGTAGTAGTAGTAGTAGTAGTAGTAGTAGTAGTAGTAGTAGTAGTAGTAGTAGTAGTAGTAGTAGTAGTAGTAGTAGTAGTAGTAGTAGTAGTAGTAGTAGTAGTAGTAGTAGTAGTAGTAGTAGTAGTAGTAGTAGTAGTAGTAGTAGTAGCAGCAGCAGCAGCAGCAGGAGTAGTAGTAGTAGTAGTAGTAGTAGTAGTAGTAGTAGTAGTAGTAGTAGTAGTAGTAGTAGTAGTAGTAGTAGTAGTAGTAGCAGTGTAGAAGTAGAGTTGAGTTTGCCGGCACCCTTCTTACAAACCGACAAAAACACAAAAGAGCAAAGGAACAACATGTCTTTAGCTTGCCCCGAGAGGGCGTCAGACCTGACATCACAGGCACCGCCCCACCCACCACCACGGGAGACTGGTATCCACCGCAACCTCGCCCGTGTCTAGCGGCCCGGTAGCCCCATTCCATACACGGAGTTCCCAGACGGGAGCACCGAAAGAAACGGGCCATCTGCATGAACTGCTTGAGTGCAAAAAGTCTTCATTGTTGCATGGCTCCTCCTGGGCAGTCCTCGTGTGCGAGGCCAAATGCAAGCAAAGAGTCCTAGAGCATTGAAGCCCGCAGAGCGCCCCTTCTTCATGAAACCAATATTTTTCTCGCCATCAGGGTAAGGGTTCCACGGTGCTCGATTCCTCATCACGGTATCACTATCAATCATCGGCGCCTGCATGTCTAGCTACTTGTAGCAGACGTCAGCATGTCCGAAAGCTCTCTGTACAAGCTGCATCCTGCCTGGCAGGTTGAATGGAAAGTTGGAGCGTTCCAACAATTTGTGAATTCATGCGGCACCTCTGGCGACTTCGGGATGTCAGCTCGGTGCCTAGGGGGCCCCAAGCTGCCACTCGCGTCGCTACTCTGACTATGTTGTGCTTCCAGACTCGCTAAAGACGCCAAGGTCTTTAGTGTTTCATCTGTGCATAGAATTGGAATTCTGGATGCATTGGACTCAGAGATCAGTGCACCTGTAATCTGCATTTGACGTGTTTGGAAGCTGGGACGGAGGTCCGGATCGTGAATCTGGACAGGAACGACGGCAACCTTTTAGTTGCCGACAACAAGAGGTGGGAGAAAAACACAACACATGCTCTTCCGATCACAGCTTCGCTTTCGGTGTTCTGCCAGGCTGAAGCTCATACCCATTGATCATGGGCTGTCCCTTCCAGACAGACTAGAGGCCGCAGTGAAGTTATTGCCGGATGGGGATGTTCTCGAATGGCTTCTGATAGGTGTATACATCCGACGTCGTCTGGATGGACTGGCCACAGGAAGCGCCTGCTTTGGCCACAACTTGTTTTGGGAGAACAGCTGGGCCAGGCGAAGAAGCCGTTTGCCCCGGCCGAGCTGGAGTATATCAGGCTGCTGGTCAGTTTGAGCAGGATTTTAGCGAATCTTCCCACCTTTGGCCAGGAGCTTGGATGCGGCGAAGGATGCCAAGAACATCGAGACACAGCTTGGAGTTCGTCGGAAGCTGTGCTTCAAGAAGCTCGAGAGACGACGCCTCCGTACAACCTTTGTGACTTGAAGTCCCAACTACCTAGGCCGGGAATGCCTTCGCTTGCTGGAAGTGCTTGTGCCTCAGACGGGGCTTTCTTGTACCGCACTGGGCGTGACTTTCCAGCACCCTACCTGCCCGGCCTTCACCAGGACGACAAAATTACTGCAGTTTGGTGCAGAACGCGGACTTACCCTGTACCAAATAGGCTGGGACGGGGGCCCTCAGGCCTGAAGTAGTTGGCAGCAACCTGGCCCCAAGGCCTGATTCTCTACAGAGAGGATCCGGACGATGGTGACGGCACGCACAAGCCAAGCTTTCTGGTGGCACCTGGCACATGAAAGCGTGTTTGCTTCCAAAAGACAACCGCCAAGGTGTGCTCGAGGGTATCATTGGCAGATGCCCGGCTCGCAGAGTTTTCGTGCGTGTCTCTTATGTTCTCTCGCATGCTGCTGTTACCGACCCAACCCCCCCCTCCCCATCAACTTGGGTTGACGAGCAGGCGTGGAGTCTGCGTTCGCCTCTATTGGTCAATCTTCCGGAACGGCGTGGTGCTTTGCGCCTCAGAACTTTAGTCGAGCTCCAAAGTTGAGCATTGCCCAGGCTTCTTCGACTGTGGAGGGCCTTGACCTGTTGTCTTCTTTCCGGCCTGAAGGACGTTCGATTCGCCGGCGCCCGGGACACCTTCACCAAACTTACAAACGGATTGTGAGTCGGCTCCGCTGGTTCCGAACAGACTGGTGGAAGGTCGGCAAGTTTCTGGCGGTGGTGGGCAGACACATCAGCCGCACTTTTAGCAGGGGCCTTGGCTCGACATGTGTCACACCTTCACAAGTTCGCACATTCCACCGACTGCTCATTGCCATTGCTCTGCGTGCTAAGCCCATCTCCGCAACCGTCGCCAATGATTGGGCCAGGCCACTCCCTTGGACAAGAGATGGCCCTGTCTTTGCATAGCTGCCCAATATTGTCCGGTGCAATAACATGCGCGGACCCGTTTCCTCAGTTTAAAATGGTTTGTGCCGTCCGCTTTCGCGCGGCAGAGGCCGGCCACCCGCGGAGGGCATGTTGACATTCACCCCCCTGGAGAGTGGCGAGTCCGACTCGCTGGGCCTTTAGAATTGCAAGCGCAGTCGTTGTGCCGACTTGTAGCGTTTGGAGTTTTTTTGCGCTGTGTTTTGCATTTTTTTGCTGGCACTTTTGTAGTCCCTCATTGCTTAGGTTTGACGTGTCCAGAGCAGCCAGTCCCGGTGAACGCACAGGCCAGAAAGCGCTGGAGCACTTGCCCAGGATGCCTCCATCAACGTGAGCTTTTCTGGAAGCTGCAGGAATATCTCCGCAGTTCGATGGACGCCCCATGAGCTCAGGTGGCGTGCCCTAAAAGCCCTAAAAACGACACTTGTTTGGCGTAGCATCTGACCAACGCGCGGCTGAGGCGAGCAATCTGGAAGCGAGCATCATCATACCACCGAAGCCAAGGCCTGCCCAGCCAACTGGTACTTGTCACGACCTCCTGGCGTTACAGTGGCACAGTCCGGCACAGTCGCTTGCTCATTGAACGGGTTGCTGGCGCGAGCTGTGAGGATGACAGCCAGGACGAGTTGACGGAAGGGCGGGGAAGAAGGTGCTGCAACGCAGCTGGCAGTCTGACAAGCCTTCACTATGCCGGATGCTGCTAGGCGCGACACAGCTGGTAGATACAGGCCCTGGCAGCACTGGTGTTTTGTGAGATGATTCCGAGCCATTCCTTTCGAGAGTTTTCGTGGTGACTGATTTGAGGCGCTCGGTGAGGCCTTCCGCAGCTCGGGTTGCGGCTAAGGAAGGCTCAGGCCCCGTGCATCTCAGTGCATCTCAGTGCATCTCAGTGCATCTCAGTGCATCTCACAGAGTCGGAAAATTGCTCTGTGCAGTGGCTGCAATCAGTGGCACGCATGGTACATGCTTCAGGCAGTGATGCATCAACCGGCATCTTCGCAATACCTGGGCGAGCCAGTCGACGACTCACTTGCGGTGGTTGCTGGCTTTGGCAATTCGCAGATCAAGCAAAAGGAGCACGAGTTCATGGAAAGGCCTTTCACAAGAGCCTTCGCTCTGCAATTTCTCAGTGTCATGAAAAGCGCAAGACGAAAACAGGAATACTCGACTTCTTATGTCTGCTTTCCGTCGATGCACGCCCAGTGCAGATGCCTTCATCTGTTACACGGGGGGAGGGGGGGGGCCAAAAGAGTGGTCACTGAAAGATTGCATCAAAAGGAAGAAGGCTGGGGGCATACCCTGGGCCTTTACGAGTATTGATCTGATCTGGTGACTGTTGCTTCACAGCATGGTGAAGCACCCTGAAGCAATTTCACCTCAATACCCCGCAAACTCGAGAAGGGGGTGGGGATTGTTATACATCGTTCGACATGGAACAGCTTACAGGAGAAAAGGGGTCAAGGCGGGCATGTCATGTGCACAGACGGTGGAGGCCAACGGTCGCAAATGGTCTTGGTTCATTGAGAAGTGTTTGTGCTTCACCTACGTCCCTGAGGTTTCCAATGGCCAGTAAGGCTCGAGAAGGCGGGAACCAGCTGATGATACTCCTCGACAGCGGATGATAAGTTCTCGAAGCAGGCGTTCTTCCGCCATCTGGCAGTCGAACTGTGCCTCTACTTCGACAAGCATTTTCCAGCGGTGACGGCCTTGCGCAGTCGAAGCCATGTTGAAGCAGCCTTGCACCCCATGCAGATGCTGTTTTTTGAAATGCATTTAGTACAAAGCCAGATGCTCGGCCTCGAGGCAGTGACCGTAACAGAAGGAGCTGCCGCTGATGAGGTCCAGTGAGTCGAGTGTTGAGTGGTCAGAATCTGCAGCACAAAGGTGATTGGCCCACGCTCCTCCTCCAAGATTTCTATTCTGATAATGAAATTTTGGCAATTAACGGCTACCGGCTCGGCCGCGTTTATTGATCTGCGGCAGCCTTGCCGGATGCCCCCACTCCTTTTGGCTATTTGCGGGGGGGCCTTACAGGGGGAGCTCGAAAATTCACCAGGATTTTTTTGAAAATTCTTGTAAGGTGGGTGTAAGGGGGGTGTGAGGGGGGTGTAAGAAATATAAGGACGGGTATATCATTCATTCACAAATTTCAGGACGGGAATATCATTCATTCGTAGGTTCATTCATTCTTTTATTCATATATTTATTATACTTTGTTTTTGTATTATTAGAAATGAATGAAATAGACACATGAATAATAATAATCAAGGGGTGAAAGAACGCAATGAAGCGAAAGGAATTCACGAATATTATGAAGGATATGAAATAGAGAATAGAGTGAAAGATAAGGAATGAATATGGTGGATCTACAAATTTCAGGCTTTTGGACGGTTTTTCTTCGTTATGCGTACGCTTATTACTTCATTCGTAGTGTATTATTTTAATAAGTTAATTTGAAAATAAGTATATCCCCATAAAAGGCTACGGGCTCGACCCTATTTTCGCTCTGCGGCCGCCCCGTCGGATGCCCCGCCTCCTCTTCCGGTCTATTTGGCTGCTTGTGAGGGCCTTGCAGGGGGATCCTGAAAATTCCGGGAATTTTAACACTTTTTGTCTAAAAATCCTGGGAATTTTGGGAATCACCTGGAGCTGAAAATTCCCGGAATTTTAGGAATTGTCCGGATTGAGGTTTGGGCTTGCCGGGTTGGATTTAAGGTTCCAGCGCAACAGTGATGACGTGGGTGCCCCTTCACCTTCAACGGTCGCCGCCCGCCAGCTGTTCAAGGGGCTTCGGCCTCACGATCACATATCAGCAGCAGCTCTCGAAAAAGCCTAGGAATTCAAATTCCGGGAATTTTTGGGATCCCCCGGGTTCAGGGTTTTACGCTTTACGGTGTAGGGTTTTGGGGTTTAATAGAAATTGTATAGGGTTTGTGTCCGGAGTTTTGTCGTGTTTTGGGGGGGTTTTGTTTTTTGCTTTTGCTGTAATGGTTTGGGTTCTGTCGGGTGTTGGGTGGTTTTGGGGTGCTGAGGGGTTGGGGCTGAAAGGTTTTTTTTTTTTTATCAAGATGAGTCCATGAATCCGGTGCGAATGGCATCTGCACCCAAAAACACCAATTATCTTGCGAGTCAGGTGAAACTCCTCGCCCAAGCGGCATGTGCGCCCAAGCAACTGAAAGGGAATCCATAGCCAGAAAAACGGTTGGGGTTTTGGGGGGTTTTCCCGAATGCCCGTGGTGGTGGTCCGTGGTCCCGTGGTGTTCGTCGTGGTGGTCCCACAGCGTGGTGGTGGTCCCGTGGTGGTGGTGCTCCTTTGGTAGTGGTGGTCTGTCGTGGTGGTGGCAGTGTCCGTGGTGGTGGTGTGGTGGTGGTCCCTGGTGGCCGTCGTGGTGGTCCCGCGGTGGTGGTCCCATGGTGGTGGCCGGGTGGCGGTGGTCCGTGGCGGTGGTCCGCGGTGGTGGTCTCGTGGTGGTGGTTCCGTGGTGGTGGTCCTGTGGTGGTTGTCTCGTGGTGGTGGTCCCGTGGTGGTGGTCCCGTGGTGGTGGTCCGTGGTGGTTGGTCCGTGGAGGTGGTCTGTGGCGGGGGTCCGTGCGGGTGGTTGTGTTGGTGGTCGTGGTGGTGGTCTCGTGGTGGTACACTGAATAGGGTAGTCCGAGCACAACTGACTTGCTTGCTCAACTTTTGGTGGAGTCAGTATGCTGGGGAGCAGCCGTCACCAACTAGCTCCAATTTCTGGTGGGCCGGTCCGAGATGGCAGGCGCATTTCCCACGCCGGCGCCCGTGCCGCTTATTTGAGAAGCAGCGGGCCACCTGGGGGCAGTCAAAGCCGAGGCGCAGCCGGTGGGCTGGCTGGCCGTGGAGAGGGAAAAGGGTTGAGGCCTCCAACCCCGGACCCGGGGCCGGACCTGTCCGACGAGCCCGCAGCGGCTCACTTCTGCGAGGGGATACCATGCAAGTTGATCTGGGTCCAGTCGCTGCTGCTCCCGCTGCTCCCGCTGCTGCCCCCTCACGGATGTATTGCCCCGTTCCATCTTGTGTCTGTAGTGATCCAGCCCGGGCTCGCGGCTGGGCTTCAGAGGCCAACATACGCTTATACATAGATGCTCACCTCTCTGGAGCTCTGCAGGGCGAAGTCCCAGCCATCTGGATGTAACAGCACAACCGCCAGCGCTGCCCGGAATGTGGCTCCAGCGTGGCCACGCAGGTGGGGATTCATCCCACCTGCCGCCCTTCCGCCCGTGCGGCTCAAGGTGTTCCCAGGCCGGCCAACGAGGCTGGCCTGCCAGACTTGCCGGACTTTGAGGAGATCCAGGTTGGGGGTACCCCCGCACTTCGGCACATTCCCTCTGCGGCCCGCTACCTTTGGAACAGGGCCCTCAGCCGGGCCCTGACTGCCGTTGTGCATCACAACGATGCTCAATCGTGGCGCGAGCTTCTGATGCTCCCGCAGAGTACGCTCGACGCGCCAGCTAGGGGTGGCCGAAAGCACTCCCGTGCCAGAGCTGCCTACACTCTGGACCGTCTTCAACGTTGGGACAGCGGTGAGCGGATGAGTTTGTGGGCCAGCCGCCAACTCCCCAAGAAGGGCAAGCGCCACCAACTTACTGCCGCTCAAAGGCGGGACATTGCCACCAACCTTGCCAGAGAAGGTCATGACGGCAAAGAGCTTGCGCCGCCCTCATGGCCGAGGGCCTTTGCCCAGAAACTCCTGTTGTGGCGGAGGCCCTTCGAGGCCTCCACCCTGTCCACCCTGCACCAGCCGTGCCACCAGCACAGCTTCAACCACCAGCCCCGGAAGTCAGCGCTGAAGAGGTCGCTCGGGCGCTCCGTGGCTTTGCATCTAGTGCTGCCCCTGGACCAACTGGGCTCAGAGTGCAGCATCTCCATGAGGCCTGCCTACCTGGTGCGAGGGATGCCTTGCTTCAGCAGCTGGCTGCAGTGGTCGCGCTCCTGGCGCGGGGTCAAGCCTGTGCTGAGGCTGCCCCAGTTCTGGCTGGCGCCGGACTTGTGGCAGTCCCCAAACCAAAAGGCGGTCTGCGGCCCATCGCCATAGGCGAGGTTTTGAGACGGTTGACTGGGAAGTGCCTGATGGCGCAAACAAAAAATGCGGCGCGGGAGCGCCTGGCTCCGGCCCAAGTGGGTGTAGCGGTGCCGGCCGGGGCCGAGGCCGCCATTCATGCCACCAGGGAGTGGATGGCGCGCCACGACACTGCTGAACGCCGAGTCCTCCTCAAACTTGACTTTGAAAATGCATTCAATACCGTTTCTCGGCAACAAGTCTTGTCCAAGGTGGCGTCGCAGTTCCCAGACCTTGCCCGCTGGGCGACTTGGTGTTACGGCGGCACCACATGGCTCCGCTTCGGCTCCTACAAGCTGCGCTCTGCAGCCTGCGTGCAACAGGGAGACCCCCTCGGGCCTCTGTTCTTTGCTGTCGCGCTGCAGCCGTTGGCGGAGGAGCTTTCGGCAATGGGCTTGGAGCTCAGCTTCTTCTACTTGGATGATGGCATCATTGCAGGCGAGGTTGGGGCGGTTGCAGCCGCACTTGCACACATCCAACGCCGGGCTCCGGAGCTGAGCCTGCGCCTCAACCTGAGCAAATGTGAAGTTGTGGCCGTTGGCCGCACTACGCCAGGGGAACTTGCGGCACACCTTCCCGATGCTATGCTCCGCCAGGGGGATTCCAATATGGTTCGCCGCAGCTTCGAACTCTTGGGCGCTCCGCTTGGGGATGATGCCTTTGTGGCGCAACACACCACTGACAGGGTGCGCAAGGCCGGCTTGCTGCTGGACGCCATAGCGGAATTGGAGGACCCGCAGGTTGGCCTTCGCCTCCTGCGTGCTGGGGCTGGACACGCCAGGCTCGTCCACAGCATGCGGATTGTTCCGCCTCAAGCCCACCGCACTGTGCTTGGCGACTTCGATGCCAAGGTGCGGGGTTGCCTTGCTGGTCTTACTGGGGTGCACCTGGGCGATGAGCAGTGGGCGCAGGCTTGCCGCGGTGTGGTCTACGTGGGTTTGGGGCTCCGCTCTGCTGTTGATGATGCTCCGGCCGCATATCTGGCCTCGGTGGGAGGATCTGCTTCATGCGCGCTTCGCCTTGATCCACACTATCTCGACCGGGCTCTCAGCGCCTCACCTCTGGTGGTCCGCGCTCTGGCTGAGTACAATGCCTTGCATGCTGATCCGCCTCTTGCTGCGGAGGCTGCCCTAACCTCGAAACAACGAGAGCTCACGGCTCGCACTGAGAAGGCTGCCTGGCAAACCCAGCTCCGTCAGGCCACGCCGACTGCCAGGGCAATCCTCCGCTCAGAAGCTGAGCTTGGGGACCAGGGCCTTCTTGGCCGCCATACCTACTGGGCCTACGCGCATGGAGCCAGCCGCCTTCGTGGCGGAAGTCCGCCAGAGACTGGGAGTAGCGGACAGCCCAACAGACACCTAGTGCCCCAGATGTGATGGGGTCATGGATCGTTTCTCGCACCATGCTGGGGTATGCTCTGCGGGGGGGGAGAGGACGTTGCGACACAATGTTCTGCGTGATGCCTTGGCTGGGTGGATGGACAGAGCCGGCATGCAACCAGAACGAGAGCGCCCAGGCCTCCTTTTGCCGCAACGACCTGAAGACACCCAGATCGCAACCAGACGCCCAGCTGACATCTACGTGCCCTCTTTCATGGGAAGTGCTATTGCATTCGACCTGGCCGTCACGGCCCCTCAGCGGCAGCACACCCTTGCGGAGGCAGCCAAGGCCAGCCTCGCGGCAGCCACCACCTACGCGGATGTCAAAGCTGGGCACCTTGGCATTGCTGACGCATGCCGGGCCCAAGGAGTGCGGTTTGTGCCGCTCGTCGCGGAGACGACTGGCGCATGGGAGCCGACGGCCGCCAGGGCCCTCCTGCACGTGGCGCAGGCCGTTGCTTCTCGTGAAGGTGGGGAAGTGGTAGCCGTGCATGGCCAGCTACTGCAGCATCTCTGCGTCCTCGCCCGAGGACACAGGGCCCGCGCGGCCCTCCGCAGGCGCGTTGAGTTGGCGTCTGCAGCGGCCGAAGCCGGCGTGTGACTGCATCTGGGTGCTCCTCCTTGCTGACATCTGCAGTTCATGGGGGTGCCTGGGCATTTCCCTCGCACTTTAGCAGCAACAGCCGCTTCCGGACCATTTGCTGGCCTTCCCCGCAATCTCTGGGTCTCCTGGTCTTTGCCTTCCTCCAGTCATGCTTGACACTGCTTTGAGACGGCCAGTAGTGACGACTTGCTGGGATTGGGCCTGTCTGCAACGCTTGAAGTGTTGCACTGAAGTTGTTTTCTGTTCGCGCCGGCCTCAGAAGTAGGGTTGGCGTCGTGTTCTTTTAGGCTCCAGGGTTCCTTTAGCGCCGCCCTCAGAAGCAGGTGTGTGCCGGGGGCTCTGAGGG